TGCAGTAATAAAACTAAGTATATGTTTAGAAGCCCATGTACAAAGTTCTTTCCATACTTTAGGTCATTTCCATAACCACTGACACCCACATCCTGAGGTAGGTAGAACTAGCTCACTTATCTGCATTCTGCAGATAAAGAAACTAAGGTTTAGAGGCAGGAAAGGTGACAAAAGTGGAAGTGAGAGCCAGGACACAAACCAAGGTCCTCCACCCCAAGGAAGACAGGTGGTTACGCTGAGGAGCTCACGAACAAATCTGCAGTCGCCCAAATATGTCCAACAGTGAGTGGTGTGATAAACAATATTTAATTTTAATTCAAATCGTTTACCTTCAAAATCAAGCAACATAATCAAAACAAAATAAAAACACAAAGTGCTATAAACCATGCCTTTGACAGCTTACACAGAAGCAAAATACCTGGTAAAATGAAATCCTTTCCACTAATCTTTCCTCTGTCTCTTCCACCAAACTCACAGAGGGCAATGTAGATACAAGAATTTCCAGGTCCTTCTCAAGAGATGCATAGTTCTCATCAAAATCTTCCCATTTCTAGAGGATCAAGAACATAAAAATCAAAGGGGACCCTTTTCTAGATTAATTCTGTTATTTTCTAGACAGCATAAAAATAAAAATGAACTCAGGCTGTACAAACTTAAAGTACAGGTTCCAGGGGCTTCTGAGAGATGCAACCCATTCTAGTAAGAGCTGTGTCTAATGGGAAATAATTCTGCTTCCTTTGCAGAGAAAGTTTTTAAAAATCCAATAGACACTAGTGTTTTATGCTTGTTTCATCAAAAAGGAGTACAAATATGATCAAGTTAAGTGACATTGTGTTCCCAGCATACACCTCTGTGGAGGCCTCAGAGCCATATGAGAGTCTCTCCTGTTTGGAAAGGCAAAGGTATCATTTTTAAAGCCTTTCTCGGCAGAAGCTCCTGTACGGCTGTTTCCGCCCTCCCTGCTCCAATCCTTAGCGCCTTGAACACTATCCTACCGTAATGCTGAAAGCGTAATGCCACTGTTTGAGATGATGGGGTACGGTTCATCAGGGGAGGACTATTGCTTGAGTATGCACCTTGCCTTGTCCTGGCTCTGTTTCCACAGAAGCCCACCTCTAGGTTCTCAGCACACTATAATATTATCTATTGGAAAAATAACCACCTTACCGACTCTCATATCCTTTGAAAGAGTGGGTCACCTGGCAATTAGGGACACTCACTGGGATCACGAAGTCTTTTTTTTAATACCATGAAGTATTACTATGAATATCAATTTGACACTCTCACTAGAAAATTTTATTAGCATAAAATAACATATCTTATCACATCATGAAGTTGAATATTCCCTTGTTTTTTGTTTACCTTCCTGTGTGTGCTAACATCCACTGTGTTCAAAAAGTTAAAGGGGGAAAACCTTAAAACTGAGAAAGAGCTTTGTGCAAGCTTAAATTTTTTTTTTTCTTTGAATTAGGACAAGATTGTCATGAATCCACTTTAGCAACAGAAAGAACACCTGAGCCTGTCCTCTGGAAAGGACAGTTTCTGAACCACTGAATATATCGTATGCATGATCTCATTCAAGATCTCGATGTGCTTTCAGTTTTGTTGATTTGTACGACACAAACCTAGAAGGTAGAAAGACGCTGTGCCAACCCTCATTTACATATAAGAAGCCTCGGCTGATATTTCATTCAGGGCGTAACAGTCAGAACCAGACCAGGGGAATACATTTCTCATTGTTACTTCCCATTTAATTACGGTTTAATGATAACGAGATGCTTGTTTTCCACAACTGGAGGTGGCGGTTGAAAATCTGGTATTCCCAGCTTCAGTACAAAATTTAAGTGACCCAAATACCTGCAACAAACTCTGAAGCTTTATTCCACACTGGTGTGCCTTTTCTTCGAGTAATTTAACCTCTTTTATTTGTTCTGCCCAAAATGACTCTTTCTTTTGCAATAAAGAAGGAAGCATTTTGTTGGAGTACGTTTGGATCAGCAGCATGTCAGCAACAAGCTTCTGGAAAAAAAGCTGTAAAATGAAGGTTTTTAATATTTATTTCTACATTGTGAAAATAGTAACGACCAAGTTACCTCAACTTTTTATACTGTTATACAGTATTTGCCTTTTTAATCCAAAATCCCAGGACAGCCATGTAGAGTCAAACACAGGAGGAAACAAAACAATGTACACCTGAGTCTTTGAACAGAAATGGCATTTTAACACATCATAAAGGAAAATCGTCCTAAGTCATATTTTCCACAAAATGGTCCATGTCAAAGGGCAAACATTATTAATTAGTCAATTTCAATTTGCAGTGAGATCTTCCTAAATCAGTTATTCAGAGGTTTAAGAAACTTTACAAAAAGGTCGATACTAACGTAGCTGAATCATTTCAAGACCATAAGCTGGACGGATAGCTGTGTTAGCCTAAGGAGCCCAAATACGCAACAGCTGGGGGTTCCTAGACTCTGACTCAATAAGAAGACTAAATAAAGGGAATCTGTGGACATGGTCTATTGGGACACTGGTACATACCACCTCCCAGAGGGCACTTTAAGAACATTTAAAGGGGAAAGCTTTCCTTTGCATAGTGGCTCTCCATTTACGTCAGCTGTCGTCTCTAATTATTTGGAGGAACCTCTTATGTGAATCCCTTCTCTGATTCCTTGAAAAGGATACATAGAAGGGTTTATAAAAGCAGCTAGCACAGGGCCAGGCACACTGGAGATATCAACTGATATTATTTTCTCCTCTTCCCCTCCATTCATTTTTTGTTGTCTTTTTTTTCCTTTTAATTATTTTTTATTATGAAATACACATTTTTTTAGAATGTTTCAGCTGTACAACACAGTGTAATAGTTATACTTTTTACCCCTTGAAGTGACAACCCGCCTCCCCCGATCCACCGTCCCACTTCCCCCCAATATCATACATATCTATTCCCCCCTCCATTCTTTATACATATTTACCTTTGGATTTCTTAGACTCAGGTCTCTTTATCAAAGGCCTTGACTTAAGCTTGTTGAGAGTAGGAATTATGTCCTCCACATTTTTTTATTATTTGCACTTTAGTTACTGCATATCTTTACTTGGTGAACATGAGTTTTTGTTTAATGAAACAAATGGAAAACTAAAGGGTTTACTGTAGCACACACTAGGTATATATCTATATATTTAAATAGGTATTTCTTTTGATTTCAGTTCTCAGGGAAACCTTTCCGAACCTCCTAAATTCAATTTCCGCCACTGAATGCTCTCCAAACATGTACCGCAAACTTAACTTTAAATTTGTTTGAGTGACTCCTTGATAAATATTTTTTTTCAATCAACTGAAAGCTCCACAAATGTAAGGAACTGCATCTGCTTTCATTCACAATCACATTTGTAGAGTTTAGCAGGGCTCCTAGCACACACTGAGCGCTCTAACAGATGTTTGCTAAAAGAATGAATGAATGATGTATCATTTTACCAAGGAAGAAAATGGATGCTCTCTGGTCACACTCAGAAAAACTTCGTCTATGGAAAGGTGATCTGACCTGTGTCTCTTACCTTGTGATTTTGTACTTCAGCCTGTAAAGCAGCTTTACTTTTGGTTTGTTGTAAGTGGTCATGAGCAAGCTTTTCCTTTCCGATATTCACTAGTTCCACCATGCCTTGCAACAAAGCATCTTGCTGGCTCTCACTGATGAAAGGGCTGCTGAGTTCTGAGTACCTGGCTCTCAGGATACCCCACATGCTGTCAAGTACATCCTGAGAAGAAAGAGCAGGTGTGCACAAACATTTTCATCCAACCATGAAAATAATCTATATGAAGAACATACCTAAACTCTCTTGGTGGGGAAAAAAAAGTCCTTATAATCATAGTAATTCACGGATGGACTGTTTTCTGCTCAGACATACCTCTAATTTGTAAACCTCTTGGAGTAAAGCATAAGGTAAACGAAGCCTCTCCCCTTCGGCTCTTAGTTTTGCCACCCGGCTCTCAGAGTTCTGCAGCTCCACTGTATACGCATCCGCTTTCTAAAGAGACAATACAAAAAAGGAAAACCCTTCAGTAAGCTAGAGAAAAATAAGGATTCATTTAAAAAAAATCAAACAGCAAAGAATTAAGGGGAAAATGAAAGTCCCCCCTTCCCGGCCTCACCTCCAGCTCTCCCCAAGAACCCACGGTTGACAGTTTGTTCCTAGTGCCCTCTAACCACGTAGCAGCAGAGTACATGTGCCCATCCTTAAACTCGCTGAATCGCACACGTTCTGTTCTGCAGTTTGCACTCTCAGCGATCAGTTCCTCAGCATCTCCTCAAACAGTACACACATTATCTGTCTCCTTGTAAACACACACGGCACGCCATGGTAAGGCTGCACACTGTGTTAGTAACAGCCTGCTCCTAATGGACTTCTGGGCTGGTTAGAGTTTTTAATTCAGGCAGTGCTGCCACGTCCGTCTTTGAATATTTATGTACATATTTACCTTCATGCACTTGTCCTATTTCCTTAGGATACGTGCAACCCAACATCGAGAGCAGTGCCTGCACAAAGTGTGTCTTCAACTAATACTTGCTGAATAAATGAATGAAGTGAAACTGCAACTGGATGGAAGAGCATTTATGCTTAAAATTCTGATATCGTCCAGCCAATGATCCCTAACCTGGACCAATCAGCACTCCTACAAAGAGGGTGTGGGTCCATTTCCCAACACTGCACAAACTTAAAATTCTGCCCAGTTGATAAGTGACAGTGGTCTTTTGTTGTTTTGATTTATACTTTATAAAGTACTACTTAAGAAATGTTTTGGGCCGGCCGAGTGGCACAATGGTTAAGAAATGGCTTGGCACGCCAGAGGGCCCCGGTTCTGATCCCACATGTGAGGGCCAGTGACACTGCCCTCCACAGCTAAGATGCTGAACAACAGCTCAACCTGGAGCTGGGCTGCCGTGAGTCGCCGGCGACGGCGTAGGCTGCAGCCCCTGCTGCAGTGGGTTGCCATGGGCTACCGTGTGTAGCCAGCAGCCAGCGTGAGCGGCCAGCAGCCGCAGTGAGCGGCCGTCCAGAAGCCGGCGACTGATCTGCCTCGCCCGGGAAGAGCGCAATGATGGTGCCAACTTGGGCCAGTGAAGCAATGTCCTCCACAACTAGACTGAAGAACAAAACGACAGCAACTTGTCTGTTCCCCTTCCCCCAATTCCCCAGCACTGTTCCCATCCCCCAGTTCCCCAATTTAAAAAAAAAAAGTTTTTTAAAGCTCAACATCTATATATCTATTTTTTAATTTACTTAAGCCTTGCCACTACTCACAAAGGGAAGCGGTTCAGAAGCACAGCTTATATACAAGACTCTTTGGTTAAGATGAGGTCAGTTTCAATTATTTTGACTTTATTACCTGAAACAGTTCATCAGGACTCTGGCCACTAATTTCATTCAAAGACTGTTGTAAAGATGTTTTATTCTTAATAAGTTGGTCATATAATCGCTTTATTTCATTCTGTATAAAAAGATAAATGCAGGAAGCAGTGAGAATTTTATTTAAGCGTTTAAGCCTTTGATACCTCTTTTTTTTTTAAATTAGTTGTCCTTCAACAGTCTAGTGGTGACCAGAGGGAAACGGGAGAGACAGAGGGGTGGAAAAGGGTAAAAGGGGTCAAATACATGGTGACGGAAAAGGAGATTTGACTTTGGGTGGTGAGCACGCAATGCAACAGACAGATGATGTATCAATATTATAAATTGTATACTTGAAACCTACATAATTTTATTAGCCAATGTCACCCCCATAACTTTAAAAAATAGATACAACAAAAATAAGGTTTAGTTGTCCTTTTTATCAGAAGTTTCAAACACATACCAAAATAGAGAAATCTGTGCGACCATGACCCAGCTTTAACAAGCATTAACTCGTGACTGGTCACCACTCCTCTGTGGTCTTCCCTGAACTTTCTGGATTGTACCCAACCCTCCTTCCCTCACATCATTTTGAAGCAAAACCCAAGTATCATATTATTTCATCAGTATGTGTTTTACTAGGGATCGCTAAAAGATCAAGATTCCTCCCTTTAAAAATACTACCAATCAATAATTCCTTAGTATTAACAGTCCAGACAGGGATCACATTTTTCTAATTCCCTACAGTTTATCTTTTTGGTTTGTTTGAATGGGGATGTAAATGAGGTCCAATAGGTCGCCAAGGATTAAGAGGTGTCTTAAGTCTCTGGTCATCTCTGCAGGCTCCCCACCCATCTCTCCTTTCTGTTTCTGGCATGGGGGTGGGGGTGAAAAAATGGGTTATTTATTCTGTACAGCTCCCCACTGCCTGGATTTGGCTGACTGTACTCCCACTGGGCCACTTCCCTTGTGTCTATTTTACTTAAATCCTAAAGGCTTTATCAGATTCAGGTTTGATTTTATGGGCACGATTCCTTCATACCTGTTGTGTTTCTTTTCTTTTCTTTCTTTTTTTTTTTTATTAGACAATTTTAGTAGCTTCCTAACCAGTCTACCTGCCCCAAGTTTCTCCTCCAACCCACATTAGACAACTGCCACATGAATCCACTTGAAGCATTCATGAACTGTCATTCCTTTGCTCAAAAACTTTAATGGCTCCCTCTTACCTAGAAATCTTCCCATGCAACACCCATTAAGTGGCTGAATGTAATATAGGAAAGAAACATTACTTTAGCTCAACATAACAAATTCATATCCGAGGATTCAGAAAGGGCCTCGCTTTTAAATGGTCTCTAACTACAAGCAGCAGAACTTAAAGACCTTTACAGAAAGAATGTACCATCGCTTTCCTTAGCAATCCTATTCACGAATGATGCCAGGAATAGGAATTAACGGACATTGGGAGCCCATGCTGTAACTTAAAACAACGCCAAAGTTGGCTGAGTGCCCAGAGCTGTACCTGGTAACTACGGTTATAGTCGACGCCAGCTTTCAGGGACTTGCTTCTCGACGCAGCTGTAGCCTGTGTGTGCTCCAGGTAAAGTTGGAGGCTATCAAAACAGTCAGGGAATGCGCTGGTGTTCTTGCCAGGCCAAGCCATGGCTTTCAAAAGATCTCCTTTCTTGTCACTCATAGCTAAGTAAAGCTTTTTCATCTCAAGAGCCAGAGTCTGCAAAGTGGAGAGGCAGGAAGACACAGTGAATGAGCTCTGAGCTAAAGAGACTTTAGCTCTGGCTTAAATAGCGGGCTGTTGGGGGTAATGGTCAACACATGGGCTCGTCAGAAGTTCCCCACCTCGTAGTGCACCTGCTGGGCACCGACATCCTCTCTGACGAGCTCAGGCGTCTGTAGCATCTCCTCCACACTACCCAGGCATTGACTGAGCGTCAGAAATAGTTCAAATAATTTTTTGTCCAAATTTAAGTATGTGTATTCGGTCATATTTTCCTGAATCATGAGGAAAAAAGAAAAAATGAAAATCATTAGGATTCCTTGCCTTCCTACGCCTACATTTTTTCCATGGTTGCCATTACAGTTTATAATTTATGTTATACTTTTTTATAAGTAATCATTTTCAAACACTTTGTGAAATAGGTAGCAGAATAAATAAAATTAAGATGTGAACTCTGAGAGATACAAGTTTATGAAGCTCAGTGTTAGGCAGGGAGTTGACTACTGAATAGAATTAAAAGGTAAATCATGAGGTAAATCCTTAGTGGGGCCACCCAGGTGGAAGTGTGGTCCCAGGTAGATCACACTATCCCTCCTCCCACTGCTCTCACCGCCCACACTTTAATGCAGGAGAAAATGGGTTAAGGAAACCAGGTATGTCCTGGAGAAGGCAAAGAAGTCAAGAAAGTTGAAGGGATTGTTTGGAAAGAGGTATAATATCTTAACGCTAGGGATGGTACAGCATGGTGACTATATAGTTAATATTATTATATTGCATATTTGAAAGTTGCTAAGAGAACTTAAAATTTCTCATCATAAGAAAAAAATCTGTAACTGCGTGTGGTGGATATTAGTTAGATTTACTGGGTCAGCATTTTTCAATATAGACGAATATTAAATCATTACGTTGTACACCTGAAAGTAATATAATGTTAAATGTCAATTATATCTCAATTTCTTTTAAAAGGAGAGATGGGCTGTGGAGCAGGGAGGAGTTAGGAGTGTCATTTATGAGTTGACTGTAAGAACTAAGGCCACTCTTAGATGCAGGACTCCAAGGGGGGACCGTAGGGTTGTGCAATTGTGCCCTGATGAGTTTAAGAGCCACAAGTGTGTTTTAGCATAAACTGCTGGGACCACCTCTTTTTCTTTACCCATGATCACCTTGAAATTTTTGACCAGTTACAAGTGATTTAGGAGCATGTCAAAGCTAGTAACACCCCAATTTGGGCTGTTTCCTAGCCTCTTCTCTGATGGAAACTTAACATTACCCAGCATACCATCTCAGCGTTAAGCCTACCTACGCAAGGTGGAAACCTTGCCAATACTCCATCCCAGCATCCCTCCCGCATTCCTTTCTCAATCATCCAACCTCAGGGCACCACTGCAGACAGTACTAATCAATCGCAATCCTTATTCCTGCTAATTGTGGACTGGGGTTCAAAAGCATCTGCACTTGGTGGTCTAGGCAGCCACTACCACCTTTATGAGAGCTGGCAAGAGCGATAAATTCTATTTGCAATCCTAGGGCCCATTCCATTACGTGGTCTATTATTTGTCTGCAAATAAAATCATGACCAATTTACAATATTATATCTCCCTTCTTTTTGGTTATTACAATGAGAAAAACATATAATGTGCAGCTGCTACCTGAAGATTATTTGCTTCTTGACGCAGGTCTTCAAGTTGGGTGGTGTAAGTTTTCAGTTCCTCGGCTGTTGGGTATCTAAAGTTATACACACTCACACTAGGTAGAATACTCATATCTGAGGCAACCTGTTTGAAAAAGGGAAAGCTTATTACAGACGGTTTGAGATCCTGCCCATGTTAATAAAAATGCCTTAGCATGCTATCTTTCAAGTTACCTTCTTGGTTTATAAGAAAAAATAATTAAATTAACTACTAAATATTTTGGACAGCTTTGAAAAGTCATGGCAGGCTTTACTTGATTCGAGAGTCCATTTAGATATCAAAACAAGGGAAAACACAACCATAATTTGAAAAACAGAGTAAAATCATTAATCTTTAAATTTGGCAGCACTGCTACCCATGTTGAAGCTAGCTGTTTCTCTTCCCACTTAGTAGTAGACTCCCAGTATATAGCCAAGTGTTAAGATAAAATACAGTCACCTCCAGAGACAGATTTGCATCTCGATTTGCAATTAAAAAAGCTAAACTAGTACTGAAAATGAGCTGTGACTTCAGAAGAATGATTCAGAGTTCATTTCTTTTTCAAATTGGAAAACTAACACATAAAAAGAACCGGGGTGAGGTGATAGGTGACTCTGCTTAGGGAAAGAACTACCAATGATGCTCTTTTCTTGGAAAGAGAACTACATACATGTTCCAGTGTGTATAACAAGGAGAAGCCAAGTCTAAAGCCCTACCAAAGAGTTTCATTCAACTTGAATTGGTCAACTAAAGGTTGTCTGCAGAGTAGAAGAGAACTGAAAAGTTCCCACCAGATTGGGGCACTGGGAAATCATTGGCAACCTTTGCCTGGGCAGTTTGAGTGCAAAGTTGAAGGCAGAAGCTTGATTAGCTGTGAGCAACAGTGTGGTGCTGTGCATGGACTGTCTGTTTAAAGGGAAATCTAGCAGCAGCTGGCCCAGTATAAATAAAACCGGTAATGGCAATGATATGGTGTGGTGGTGGGAATACTTATTGACAGGTACCGCTGGCACAGGGGCGGGCACACTGCAGATTCCAAATAATCTTTTGATGGATGAAGGACACTCATATAGCACTGTATCATTTTTAAAGTGCTTTCCACATATGTTATTCATTCCTTTGTTCATTCAATAGAGAGTAACTGAGATTTTATGATGGTTCAAGTGCTGTGCCAGGCCCTCAAATGTGAACCAGGCAGACACAGTTTTCTTCTCATATTATTGAATGAGGAATGCAGACAGATAAACAGGCACACAGTCCAGTAAGAGCTGTGATCAGGGTGCTCTGGAAGCACAGAGGAGGGGCACTTAATGCAGATTTCCAGGAGGATGGACGGGGGTCAGCCAAGTGGAAAAAACCCACTTGGCATCTTTGCTTTCTGACAATAAATTGCCACACAATGCAGAACATATGTGTGTATTTAATGAATGCCTGTTGGACTTTCAAAGATAAACATGCTTGTTTGCACTGTGTGCAGACTCACGCTGACCTGAGGCTCCACAAGCTCAGGAAGAGGCAGCCTTATTTTTGATGAGAGTTCATGATCTAAATATTGCCACTTATCTCCACTTTGGCTCTGAGCTGACAAGGCTGAGTCTGAGGCATCCTTTTCAGGGCTTGATGCTTCATCACTTTTAAGGAAACACAAAAGGTAAAAAGAATAATCAACGTACAAAAAAACGTATTACCTTCAGACAATGTTTTATAAGTGAAACACATTCTTAGTTCTCCCAACCATCAAACTACTGAAAGTCCCACTCTTTAAAAATGTTTTACCTCACAGATGATTTCTGAGTTGTATCTTTATCGCGTTGGCAATACTTGGGCCACGTTTTCTTGGCATTAAATTCTATGAATTTGATTAAGTCTTTCTGTTCCATTGGTTTCAACTCTAGAATCTATAATTGAATAAGATTCAAATGGTTCAGTCAATCAAGGTTTTCAAGTAGTATCCAAGGGTTTCTTCTGTTGAGATAATCTGCTTTTGAAACACTTCCTACATCATAATTTACTTATTTTTCTTTTTTGCTTGCTTGTTTTCATTAACTTTTATTTCTCAAAAACCTACTTAAAACATTCACACAATGACCAAGTGTTGTTTAAGACATATTACATGCATGGAAAATTGCCAAAACTAACACATTTTGAAACAATAGGGAAAAAGGGGTTGCAGTTACAGAGGTAAGTGCACCCTGAAGATATTTGCTTAGTTTGATATAAGATGCAAGTTAATAACGTAGCAAAGTTAGAGTGTCCCCAAAGTAGCAGCGAAAGCAAAACAACTGCCGTAGTAAACGCCCAAAACTCAGTTACTGCACACACAGGAAGGTCCACACATTACACTTTCCATTCAGTCACATAAGAAAGTGCTCCAAGGGCAGTTCAGTTTTTAGTTTGAAGGGGAGTTCCATGTTGAAAGCTTTATTCTTATCCTTATAACTGTTAGGGGCTGAAATTACCTGTTGCTGCTGGAAATCTTTTTGTCGGCTAAATTGTGGCCTTTCCATTACAACAGATTCAAATTCAGAAAGGTTATCTGTTTGGAGAACTTTTTGATGCTTTGAAGGTTTCTTCAGAATGGCAGAATGCTGCAAAAAATTGTATGATGGCAGACTATTTAAAAAGTTGATCTACTTTATTTCAATTTTAATAATGAGACTACATAATTGAAACATTTTATATGAAGTAAATGATTGCATTTTGTTATTCACTATAATTAATACTATGATTTAATGTACTTATTTTATAACAACTTCAAAAACCACTACATTTGATGAAGTGGCCATCTTTCATTTCCTCAACTTACTTCACCCAGTGAATTACTAAAAGTCAGGACTTCTATTGCTTTTTTTTCCCTTAAGGACAAAGCAAAAAAAAAAAAAATCAAAAAGAGAAATAGCATTATGCTTATAAATTCAAATTTTCCCTATGTCTACAACTTAAGTAGATTTTTTAAAAGAGAGAGAACATATTAGGATGAAAGGGGAACCATATGGCCTGTGTATCTTCAGTTAATCTTATTTCTGTGAATATAAGTCCTCCAAGTGGGAACCACTATCTCATAAGTATGGATGAAAATCTTATACAGTAAGATCCTACTCGTAAGATGCACATTTGCATTTATAAATATCAAATGCTTTTAAGTAACAAGAGCATTTTATGATACTTTAATCAATGCATATAAATATTTGTAAATGAATAACAAAAGTACCCAGGAAACAGGTTTTATGTTTCTAATGTCAAATTTTAATTTTATCTATAAAGGCTTCATTTTCCAGTCAAGTGGAGTCACAAAATTCCTTTAAAATACATCCTTCTTTTATGAAGAAGACTTACGCCAGACCACACTACCAGCAAGATCAACCCAATCAAACCAACCCAAATCAAATCTACATCATCACTAATAACAGCCTAGATCAGAAAACTGCACAGCAAAATGAAACCAATAACAAAAGCCAGAGCAACCATCCCTTACAGTCGGAAGAGGCATAATTCTTAGTACAATTTCCCCGTAGTTGTTTCATCACCACCCCCCAGAGTTCCTTCCTGATGGCCGACGGTATATCTACATACATGTCTATACACAGCCTTATGTTACCTGGTCCTCGCTGTATTTGTCCTGAAGCATCAGCTGGACTTTTTCCAAATTGCACTTCACAGTTTTTAGTTTCAAGGAAAGGGCTTCAGCCTCCTGTTGAGTCGCTCCACTATCTCCCAAGACCTGATCTTTGCAGTTCTCTAACAGAGAGGCCACCTTCTGCTCAATCTCTGTTAGCATAGTCTAGGACATAAAATCATTTAATTATTCATAGTTTTGTTCTTGAACAATGGTTATAGCCCAACATGTCAGAGTCACTCTCTCTACCTAAATGTGTACAAGAAGTTCCAGAAACACAGGTTGGAGGGGATCTTGGGGGAAGAAAAAAACACCTTCCACATAATTCTTGTGCTTTTCAACAGGGGTACAACCAAACCAACCTCAAATTGCAGCTGTCGTTCTCTAAAATAATCCAGCATAAGTGATTCTATACTCACTTTAGAAAACACAGCTGAATGTATCCAGCATGGCACAGTGGTTAAGGACAGACACTGGAACTAGACTGCCTGGGTTCAGACCCCAGCCTTGCCACCTGGTAGCTGGGTAAACTCAGTAGCTAGGCAGCTTACTGTGCATGAGTGTGCCTCTAGCCATCTGTAAAATGGGGATAATAACAGAACTTACCTCTTGGGGTCACTTTGAAAAGTTAGAGTTAAATCCGTGCACTTTGGCCAGTGCTTGATACATAGTCTGTTCCCTAATTATTTTTTTCCCCACTTTCCTGACCTATTTCTGTTGCAATCCAAGTGTTGAGAAGTGATAAAAAAAGAACTCCACAGAACTCTGGAAATTCTTTGCCTTTTCTTTCTCAAGCCAAATAAGCTTCCAAACTATCATAAGAAGACCACGCAAGAAATAATTTGGAACCTAAAACCCTAAGTCACTGATACAACTGACCAACTTACGCACAGATCTAAAAACAAATCAGCTGGACCAAGTTAGGTTTCCCAGTAAGTCACTGTCATTCCTCCTCAGCAGATCAAGTTCGCCCTCTCCTGGGGCCCAGGGGCCCCAACAGCCACGCCAACTGGCTGGGCACACAAGGCGGCAGCAGCGTTCAGACTCACATTCCGTCACTGCGATCATCTGTACTAAAACTAAAACCTCTGTGCATGACTAAGTTCATTCAGTTCTTTGAGAGAAACAAGGAAAAACTCTATCCTTAAAACAAATTTTTCAAACAATGTATCTTATAACTCCTTCATCCAAGCAAACAACTTGTATCCTGTATACACTCTTCTAAGCTTAACAACATGTACTCATAGATTTCAAGTGGCTATAAACAAAGTGTACTATAATTTTGTGCACTTTGTTTCCATTTAGCTATTTTATGTATATACTTTTTAATGTGTCTATATACATATGCTTCATGAATCCCATTTTAATAGTTGCAAGTTGATATTCCATTAGTCACTTAACAATACGGATATTGTTAAGCCTTTAAGCGGTTTACAGTTCTTCATTTTTGTAATTAATGCTGCCATAAATATTTCTCTCCTTTTTGTGTTATTTTCAGAGGGTAATTTTAAAGTAATGGCCAAAGAATATTAGGTCAAAAAGATGGACATGTTATATGCTAACAGCTGACCTCCCAAAACATTGAGCCAATCAGACAGGACTATCCTATCAGCCATTAGTGGATCTATTTCTCCAGTTTTCCAGGATGATATAATTTTTGCCAACGTAATGTAGGAACAAGACAACAGCTATTTTGATCTCCATGTTTTTAATAATCAAGGCTGAACACTTCTCAAACTACCAAACATAATTCTTCTCGACTGATCTGTTTCCTCCTGTCCTTTGGATATTTTCCCACTGAAAACTTAGAGTATTTTACAGACTCCTATGGGGCTTTTTGTTTCAATATTAAATTATATGTGGCAGGGTGTGATATAAATGAGCCAAAGCTAGCCCCTGTATGTTGGCTGCTATGTTGTTTATTTGTTCACAGCAGGCCAGGACCATTAGCTCAAACCCCACTGGTGCCAAACTCAAAACTGGCCCCCCAAATCTGCTAGCCATGGTTAAGACAATCTCTGGGGCTCTAAAGGACCCCAGCCTCCACTGCCCTACGGAGCTCAGACATTACCTAGACACATAGGGCTCCTCCTGATTCCCAGATCCCCGGGGAAAGTCCTTGTCCTCTTCCCCTTCCGGGTTGTGGCCCCACCCCTATCCCATGCCACAGCCTCTGTAAGGTCTCCTGCTGGGCCAGACGGCCCAGTCCAACAAGATTCTGCCAAAACAGGGCCCAAATAAAGCTCGCTGTGTGCTACCGCCACCTTGTGGTTGTGTCTTTTTCTTGAGCAGCCACCAAATCCTTGAACTCACTACAAGTGCACAGAGAGGATCTGGTTGACCATCAAGGAATCGGTATGGGGTCTACCCAGTCAGCAGGACAAGAAATTGGCAAACTGATCCTGGATAGCCTTAAGTGGCTGGGACTCAGCATTTGAAAAGCCGCAGGTTCAGTTTAGCACAGAATTGCTCTGTGTCGTAGTATACTCTTTTCCAGATTCCCATGCCTCATTAGCCAGGCCACCTGGTCGTGACAGTATCTGAGTGAACCCACCCCTCAGAGGTGACTTTTAGGGTCAGAGGTGCTTAGCTGGCCAGGAAAGGTCAGCCTGCCTGAGTCCCCCACTAAGCAGGCACTGGATATTGTAAGACTGTGGGTCTGAATGGAAAGAGGGGAGGAGTGCCTGCCTTGGACAAGGGGTGGACTGTCCACCACCCCATTATGGTCTATGGTGGGAGGAGTTCACTGTGGCTGGGCCAGTGATACGGGGTACTCTCAGAGGATGTCCTCATCGTCGGGGACCGCTGTGGCAGACAAATGAGCCAACCAGGCAGAGACTGCAGTCAGGGCTGGTCGAAGCACCTCAGCTGTGGGGACACTCAATCTCAGTTATGCTGCTGCGATGTCATCATTCCAGCCCCTCCCTGGAAGGATGTACATATAGGGATCTCAACCTTTGGGCTGAGCCTGCCAATTTTACTGAAAGTGACTAAAGGCGAGGAAGTTTCTATTCCTGCCCCTCCCAAGGAAGTGCGGGCGCATCCACAGTGAAATGGCAGCAAGGCCCTTTTATACTCTATCTGCAGTCTTACAAATCAGGATATTCAATTTCATTTCATCCTTTGAATAAAAGTAAGTGTTTATTGAGCACTTTTTATATCCTTTATACACCAGACACTGGTTTATACACCCTATCTCATTTAACCTTGCCAAAGTCCTAAAGATAACCTGCTCTATGATGAAAATGAGGTGAGAAATTAAAGTTCACAGTTAACGCGACAGACCTGGATTTGGACTCTAGGTTCTGAGCGCTGACCCACTACTGTCTCCCCCAAAAGTTGAGGCCAAGATAAACAGAGGGGTCAGAGTAACAGCAGGAAACACACTGTTGCTTTAAGAAAAATTCACTCAATCTTGGAAGGTGATTGGTGAAGAGGCAAGCCCTGAACTCCGACCCATCAGCCTTACCTGGCACCCTACCAGCTGCTGTTCCACCACCTGCTGCATGTCTGCGTTTAATGTTTCCGGCTCAAATGCCACGTTGGCTTCATGCAGCCACAGCTCCAGCTTGGCCACCTGGGTCTTGCAGACATGGAGGACTTCTGCAGGCTCGGGCCTAGGATTCTCCACCGTGGCCTCAGAAGCTCCTTGCTTGTCAGAAAAGCCCAGAGATGCAGCCTTGATGGGAGGTGTGGCACCCTAAGATAAATCCAAAGATAATCCAGCAGTGAAAAGCTAAGAGTCCAAAGTTTTCAGATTTGGGCCTGCAAAGACCTGTGAACTAGCAGCATTTCCCCAGTTACAAGGGAAAATACATACACGGGCAGAAGCAAGGAAGAAAAGAAAACTGCACTTCCACACTCATAGCAACAATCACGTGACCTGGCGCCCCAGGTTTCCAAGCAGCCGATCTGCAGGTACACAGGTACAGTGTTCCCGGGCACAGAGGACACAAATGGGCTCCCAGTTCATTACACAGCGGGCCCCAGGAGACAGGTGAGTGTAGCGAGAGGGTGTGCTTGTGGGTGTGTGTGTGTCTGAAACATTTCAGCGAATTGGCCAGTGTTTAAAGTTGCGTGACACATGATTAAGCAATGCTTACATTGCTGTGCACTCTGTTCAAACGGAAAGAAGAGATCTTTACACACTGGCTGGGAAACAAGGAAATGCCTACGCTTTTCACTTAACATCTCAAGTATTGTAGTTTGAGTATAAAATATTTTAGGTTTTTCTTTTCTTGCTAACATACATGCTATTACTCATCTAAACTTCTCTCTATTAAAAATAGCTTGAGGCAGTCAAGTAATGAGCTTCAGTGGGATAATTTGGAAACTTTTCTCCTATTTTTCAGAGAGAATCCCTAAAACTACTTTTCACCTTCTAGATACTGAAATATTATTGAGTTAAGGACTAGATGCTTATAGTATATAAAAAAAGTGTGATGTATTTTTATATTGAAACAACAGGGTTGCTTATCGATCCAAGAGAAAATTTTCTCCCAGGTACCAAATAAAAACGTTCTAGCAATTATGTAATAGGTATTTTCAATTTGGAGGTAAAAGGATTTGATACAGAGCTATATTTACTTCCCATATCCTTTTCCAGAACATTGAAATCCTTCTAGAGACATTAATAAGATTTGTGTTTTGCTCTATAAAATTATTGATCTGAATAAATATTTTATTATGATTATGATGAAATACAATGTTTTCTACATAAGACTTTACAAACTACATGTTAGCATCTAATCAGGCAAAATTTTGGCCAAGCAATTAACTTCTAATCAGAGCTGCTGACAAATCTGTCAATTCAAGTGCACATTTCCCAATGTTTGTGGAATTTTGTTTAAACACAGAACTTTCAGTACAACTGAAGCAAACAAAATTGGCAACAGGTAGCAAAAACAGCAGGGTGTGACAATCCCATTCATTCTCACACACACTAATGGGTATCATGAAAGCTGGTTTGCCAAAAGTATCTCTGGGTTGTACTTGCTCCCCTTCACCATCTATTAACTTCATGTGTGCTCTTTTCTGCCTAAACACTATGTCCTTCTCCCCTGCCCTTATCAACATTTTCTTCCAGAATCATCTTCTTAAAAGAAGTCTTCCCTGGGCCAACCGAGTGGCGCATTGGTTAAGAACTGGCTTGGGACGCCAGAGGTCCCTGGTTCGGATCCCACATATGAGGGCCAGTGACACTGCCCTCTACAGCTAAGATGCTGAACAACAGCTCAACCTGGAGCTGGGCTGCTGTGAGTCGCCGGCGACCGTAGGCTGCAGCCCCTGCTGAAGTGGGTTGCCATGGGCTACCGTGTGTAGCCAGCAGCCAGCGTGAGCGGCCAGCAGCCGCTGTGAGTGGCCGTCCAGAAGCCGGCGACTGATCTGCCTCGCCCGGGAAGAGCGCAATGATGGTGCCAACTTGGGCCAGTGAAGCAACGTCCTCCACAACTAGACTGAAGAACAAAACGACAGCAACTTGTCTGTTCCCTTCCCCCAATTCCCCAGCCCTGTTCCCATCCCCCAACTCCCTAATAAAAAAATCTTTAAAAAAAAAGTCTTCCCTTGCCTTGCGTTTTTTCTGGAGTTCACACACAGTCAAGTCTGTACTTGAATTTACCTGATTCAATTTTCTTTTTTAACCTTCATGTTTTATAATAGCAACAATTGTGTGATTTTACTGCCAGACACTAATTTCACATCATCTGATTATTTTAATGGCAAAGATACTGGGGTCCTCTTTTTTGTCACCTGAGATAACAATTGTTAATATTAATATATCTGTAAAAACAGATTTATTATCCACCTTCCTTATTTATTCAAAAACATTATTTGAGCACCTGTCATATGCCACACACATTTTTTAAATGACAGTATTGAGTTTCATTGCTTTCACACTTATGAGGAAACAAGAAAGCTGGATAACTAATCTAGGCTTTATTTGCTAGTTATTTGAACCTGAAAAGAATACAAAGGTGAGCAGAAGAAAAAAAGAATACTTGCAACCATAGAACTTCAATAGCCTGGGGAACCTGCCAGTAATCAGTTCATCCATTTCTTTTTATAGTCAAAGAAATCCAAATGTATTTAATGTTTAAACAGCTCACACACCTGCCATTTCACCCTTTGCTTCTGAGGAGCTCAGGCCCAGACATAAATTACGTGCCCAAGGTCACACAGCTTTGTGGTATTTTAAACCTGAGTTCACAGTTTTTCCCACAATAGCGCCCCACCCCACTCCGTGCTCAATATTGTCTCTAAATTATAGTTCCTAATTCTAAAAGCAGAAATTATTCAAATAAGTGTTTTATGGTTGTACACTTTGGTGGGGAGGGGGCTAAAAAGTATCACCACAAGTGTTTCTCGTGGCAGAGAATTATGTCATCTCTACAGCATAACTGTACATTAATAATACCTAATCCTTTACTGGGCTCTGGAGCCAGGCCAGTGTGCTACATGGGATACACAAACCATCTCAAAATTTTACACCACAAGCCCGTTATTGTTCCAAGTGTACAGATGAGGAAACCGAGGAATCAAACCCCTACGGTCTGTGAGTAGGACAAGGTTTCCATCTCTGATTTCATTTATGCCTTAGAGACAAGTCCACATTCTTGACATAATTGAGCCCACCCTCTGGTATCCAAGTTAGCCTCTCAGTTAATGAATGTCATACTGACTGATTTCTGTATCAACACATCACTAATCTAAGTAACTGGACCCGGTTAAAATGCAAACTAATTTTCTGGCTGTTGCTATTACTTCATGTCAAAATACCAACCCTTTAAATTCACTCCTTAATCTTTCAGTCAGTTATACACATATGTGTATGTCACCCCCTCCACCCCCCACCTACTTTTTCTAAAATGCAAAATTGCCTGGCTAAGGTGCAGTTGCACAGACACTAGACACGCCACTGGGAAGGGGTGGTGGCGGTTTGTTTTGTGAGGCCAAACCTACCTTGGTTTTGTATCTTTCAATACTATTTGAATTAGGAAGGCAGCTTGGAATATTCTGGGTTTGACTCTTTACTCCTCTATTTACCAACTGTACTTTTACTTCCTGAATTTTGATTTCTTCATTTTTAAACTTATGGTAGGTATTAACCTACCTGATTTAATCTGAGGATTAAACAGCAAAAATAAATGCCTCTAATGTAATAGGCAGTTAATACTAGTTCTCCTCCACTTTCATTGTCCCCATAAGTTATATCTATGGAAGAAAGTAGGTGTTGTTACTGGAAAGATGAGTTCACCCTGACAAATGGTGAGTGAGTGAAAAATCTCCGCTTGCTCTGTGCCATGCTTACTTTCTACGTGAACATCTGAGGGCAGATTTTCCAGTTCTCCAGCTAGACAGCATGCATGAAGACCTTAAGGTTCACAAAGAACGCCTGACTTGAAATACACAGTATTGCAACGCACAGAAAGCTCGTCCTCTCTAGGTGCTGAGAGCAGTTGGCTTGTTACCAACGGGGACTTACCTCTTCTGTTTGTTTGGGACTCAGGGAAACTTCTGGGCCTTGGTCAGTGTTTAGTGAGTCTGGCGCAAGAGGGTGTGCCACGGAACTGTCACACGTGCTCATTTTCCCAGCTGCCTCCTGTAAAGAGAAGCATCAGAGGTCCAGAGAAGTTCCCGTTCTAGTGCCCCACAAGTCACTCTTCCCGCACTGGATGGTTTTACAAATCGCCGGCTTGCAAAAATGTACAGAGAAGTCAGGTGGCTTTCGAAAAAAAGTTTGTTCATTAGGGGGAAAAAAAAAATTGATCAACTTCTTCAGGTTTGTCTTTATGTGAAAGGCAAATTCTCCACAACTCTCTAATGAATGAGGAGCACAGACGGAATCTATAGAGAATTATGTATTTCAGTGGCTTATTATGAGAATTAAAATTAAATGAGAGTATATGATAAAGGCCACATTCCAAATAATGGGGGAAAAGATGAAATTATTAAATTTGGGAACAACTGCCCAGGCATTTCATGAAAAATACAACTAGATCCTGACTCACTCCAAATAATGAATTCTAATTGTATCTTACATTTAATGAAAAAAGTTATACCATAAAAATTCTTGAAGAAAAGATGGGTGAATCTTTTTCTAACATAGGCGTATGGAAGGACTTTTAAAGCATGACAATAAAGGAAAAGAATGTTAGTATAAACAACATAAAAAAATAATGTACAACACAAGAGACACCACAATCTGTTAGAAGAGAAATAATAGATTGGGATAACAAGTTACCAAGTGTTAATATCCTTCTTATTCTTACAAATCAGTAAGGAAAACATCAACCCCTGCATAGAAGAACAGTGAAATGGCATGAATAACTAATTCATAAGAGAATACATAAGCCAATATGCACCTAAAGAGATATTCAACATTCCTAGAATATAAATACAATTTAAACTACTAGCTAAATTTGGCTAAGATTGAAAATATACAATATCCTCTTGGGGACAAGGAAAGAGGCATGTCCATGCATTCCTGGTAGGAATAAAATTGATAGTCTTTCTAGAGCAGCGGTTCTCAACCTTTCACAGGGGTCGCCTAAGACCATCGGAAAACATATATTTTCGATGGTCTTAAGAACCGAGACACCACTCCTCTATCCGTCTCCAGGTCCACATGCAGATACGCCCACATACGAGTACCCGGCGACCCCTGTGAAAGGGCCGTTCGAACCCCAAAGGGGTCGCGACCCACAGGTTGAGAACCGCTGTTCTAGAGGGTAGTGTGATAATGTCTGCCACAGTTTAAATAGATGTATCCTTTGATCCAGCACTTACACTTATTAGGTTAACCAAGGTTAAGCAATGGGAAAATGTCATGTACACAAAAAAATGGACATACTGTGGTAGGAAAGTATGGATGCTGTCATTGACCAGTCTTGATTGCTCAACTTATAAGCTGCATGATCTTGGACAAGTTAACCTGGACTCTGAGTCTCACTTACTTCATCTTTAAAGTGGGTATATAATCTACCTCACCCATGCCTGTGATTATCAAACAATTACAAGTGGTTTAAAGCAACTAGCTGTTCCTAACAAAATGTTACGTTTCAGTTCCTTGTACTAAAATCAGTAACTCCTATTAGAAAGGTATAAACCAAGAATTAAAGGTAAAGCTTGGTTTACCTTTTAAGGTAAAATTGAGAAAGTAGGTTGGGGTCATAAAAAATCTGAACTGCCAGGCCAAGAAGTTTGCATTGTATTTAGCAGATAATTAGAATCTGTGAAAGACCGCAGATTGTTAATGGTTTTATGGAAAGCTATGAGTCAGCACTGTATAAGATACATTAGGGAAAATGACTGGAGGCTGTAACCCAATGAGAACGCAGCTCCAAAAGTCTACAGAAGAAGTAACAATTTCCTGGGATACGATGATGGCAAAAATAAACGGAGAAGAAGGATGTAAAGATTGAGTGGACCACTGATTGGAAAAAATAGGTAAGAGAAATGAGGTATCGAAGATGATTCTGAAGTTTGTTTTAGACTCTGAGAAAACAGTGGTATCATTAATAGATGCTAAGAAATGGAAGCAGCAGCAAACTTTAAAGGAAAGTTGGTAAAATGGGTTTGAGATGAAGAACATACATCCAAAAAGAGAAATCTATCAGGAAGGTAGACATGTGGAACAGATTTAAGGGAAGTCAAGACTAGTGATTTGATTTGGGAATGACTGGCATAGAGGTGACTACTAAACCTTCGGGGGGAGAGGAAATTGCTGTAAGAGAAAACAGAATAAGGAAAAGAGCAGAACGGTAGCAGAATGCCTCCCATCAAACGGATGAGACAAGAAAGTGCAGAATTAAGAAAGCAAAGGAACACAGCATTTCAAGAAGGAAGAGGTAGCCCATAGTGCCTAATGCTGGAGAGATCACTAAGGATTAGGACTAATAAGAGGGCATAAACCGACATTCCAGAAGTCAGTGGAGGCTGAAGTAGAGCCTGTAAAACCTGGATTACAAAAAGGGTGAGGAGAACCAAGTAAAGACATTAAGCCATAAACGAGAGTAAACACAGTAACCGACCTGGAAAGCAGGACCAAGAAATTCAACGCATTAGAGTACCATATTAAGCCCAGGACAGGACAGGAAAATGTAGTCGAGTTCTTACCATTCATGTCAGTATATGTATAAAAACATGGTAAGTCATAACTGAGGTTCAGAATACTATCGGAAACAAAGGGGAAGAGACAGGAGGTTTCCTGGAGGTGGAGCCTTTGTGGATGGGGAGGAAGTCTGCAGGCAGCTGTGGAGAGAAGAGCTTCCCAGGGATGCAAAGCAGGTTCTGAAGAGTCTGGGCTCTGGGACTCTCTGCTTTGTTTGGAGGGGCGGGGCCACAAGAGGGAACTTGTTAGGGAGGGGAAAGTGAGTGCTTCTGAGGTAGAGAGGGAAGGAACCTGTCAAGAGGCAGAGGCTGGAGATACAGCTAGAAGCTTGGCGCCAACCACTAATGAAAGGACTGGCTGGGGGCTGGGGTGGGGCTAGTCTGGGCAGGAGGTGGGAGCTGGGAGGGGTATGGATCATAACGATGCAGGGGTGTTTCGGGAGGAAGGGAAAAGCATCGTGTTCACGTCAGCTTATAATGGTTTTTCTAAAGTGAGGGCATTTTGCCTTCTACTTTGAGAGACTGGAGATTTAGGTCATAAGGAACAAAAAGCCTTATTTCATTAATTTGTCTTACACACTACTTTGTTCAAAAAAAAAAAAAAGATTAGGAGGAGACCCCTCCCCCCAGCTACTCCCAAAAGAGAGGTGTGTTAAATGCGTTGAAACACTCATGGTAAACTCTTTTAGGTGCTCCTTTGAGTTATCTGTTTTCTCAGTTTGGAATGTCACATACTGCGTTTTTCCTCAGAAAAATACTCTCCTTTTATCACTGAGTGCACAACAGAAATGCAAATAAGAAAGTACTTGACTATCTTTGCATTTGTGCAGAGGTAATGGTGAGACACTTAAAAAAAATTCCAGCCCAAGCAGGTTCCTTTCCTAATCAGTCTTTCCAACAAGAAAATCTTTTCTTGGATTTACTAAATTTATCATCCCGGTGTCCCCTCCCCACAAATGAGTTATGCCCAGTGTTACCTGAATGATAGTTCCAGAGGAAGAGGATGCTCTATCGTCCTCCATATCCTTGTCATGTTTCCCAAGTAAAGACCAAGACCCGGAAGATGTCGCTTTCTTGTCTCCACTCTAACACAGTAATCAATTGATCAAAAGAGGGAAGTGATTTCCTACTATCATAACCGGCATCCTTACTCATCTCTTTTATACAAAACTCTGCTTATCAGACAATATAATTGTAGCCCTTAATTCCACCTCTCCCCCTATTTTTCATCTCTTTCTTTGGCTAATTAAATCATATGTCTCCAAATGCTCTTCCTGAAGCCTAAAAAAAGTTCTTTTTTTTTTTTCAAAAATAGTTGACATTCAATATTATTTTATATTAGTTTCAGGTATATAGTGTAGTGACTAGACATTTATACAATTTATGAAGTGATCCCCTGATAAATCTAGTACCCACCTGGCACTATACATAGTTATTACAATATTATTGACTATATTCCCTATGCTGTACTTTGTATCCCCGTGACTATTTTGTAACTATCAATTTGTATTTCTTAATCCCTTCACCTTTTTGCTCCCTAACCCCTCTTCTACCTGGTAACCATCAGTTTGTTCTCTGTATCTGAGTTTGTTTGTTTTGTTTCTTTTGTTCTTTTTTTTTTTTAATTTTAATTTTTCTTTCCATGCGGGAGTTGAACCAGTGAGCTTGATGTTAACAGTGCACGCTCTATCCACTGAGCCATCTGGGCGGCAGCTCAGCTCAAGGTGCTGAGTTGAGACCCCCAGCCGCAGGTGGGTACAGCCCTCCATAAAACAGTCAATGTAGTCATTATCAGCATGTGCTCTCACCAGCTGAGCCATCCTGCCACCTGTTGGCAGCTCAGTGGCAGCTCAGCTTGGGTGCAGCTCGGACGAAGCTCACTGGCCCATGTGGGAATCAAACCGGCGATCCTGTTGCTCAGAGCTCGTGCTCTTAAGCAAACTCTAAACCAATGGAGCCACTCAGCTGACCTCTTTTGTTCTTTAGATTACACATATAAGCAAGATCATATGACATTTGTCTCTCTCTGTCTTATTTCACTTAGCATAATGCTCTCTAGGTCCATTCATGGTAAGATTCCATTTTTTATGGCTGAGTAATATCTCAGTGTGTGTGTGTGTGTGTGTGTGTGTGTGTGTGTGTGTGTGTACGTACACACATCACATTTTCTTCTTTCCATATCTTGGCTATTCTAAATAGTGCTGTAGGGAACACAGGGGTGCATACATCTTTTCGAATTAGTGTTTTGGGTTTCTTTGGATAAATACCCAGAAGTGGACTTGCTGGGTCATAAGGTAGTTCTATTTTTAAGTTTTTGAGGAAATTCCATACTATTTTCCATAGCGGCTGCACCAATTTGCAATCCCATCAACAGTGCACGAGGGTTCCCTTTTCGCCACATCTCGCCAACACTTGTTTTAACAAATATTTTTAAAAGTTGGGAGTCAGCTCACATCATACGGAGGAGATCTTTAGAACTGTGTTTCAGGAGTTGAACCTGCTTTGGTAAATGTAACCTTAAATGCTATCTTTAATGTAACAGCCTGGTGAACACGTATGTCTTTGTTGTTGTCGGAGACAAACAGTGAACATTATAAACATATCAGCTCAGAGGCAAATACAGGTCTCAAAACAGAATCATACTATGTGCACTCTTTTTTTTGGCCCCTGGTACCCCCTCCATTCTGTCTGCCACTAAGGGGCGTGACGATCAGATTACAAAATTGTCTGATGGTCAGAGTACTGTAAACCTGCAAGCGGCTCCCCCGTGTCCTAGCGATACACGGTGACAAGGCAGCTATGGGACAACCTACAAAATGAGCAGAGAATATGTCTGGTGGTTACATGTAAATAAACTGCTGTAATTTTCTTCCTTTTGGCACAAGACCCATTATTACTTTAGCTTTTAAAGTATGAAATGGCAGTTGGTATCAGGAAATACAACTATAAATGTCTCATTCAACCGGTTCTAATGAAGTAGTAAGGATTAGTGACTAACATATCTCTTTGTGTCCTTGGCAATGCTGTTTTAGGCTAAAAAAGTAATTCAAATATGGAAAAATAAAAGTTCTAAAAAGCACCCCAGGAGTGTCAACCCAACAGCACACTCTCAAAACTTCAGAGAAAATACTCAGAAGTCAAACTTCATCTTCTCCCTGATGCCAACGAGTGTCTGAATTACATTTCTCCCACTCTGGCGAAAAGCAGGTTTAGATGCACTTAAACAACGCTAATAACATAAGAGAACTATTTCAGTCACCCTTATAAAATATCGCCATTAATTTTAAAAAATCCTTATGTTTCCATTCATTGTAAGATCTTCCCATTGACCTTCTCTTAGAGATTTCGGTTCTAACAAACTTGAACGAGAAAATCCTTTTCCTTACTTCACTCTTCAGCGAGCTCTCTTCCACCTCTTCCTTGACTGCTGGCAGGAACGCCATGGAGCCTGTCCTGTTCAACTGAAAGGCACAGCACAAAGACACCTGTAGCCAGGTTGCCATCCAACATCCCCAGGATCCCAGCCTGGCTGTGTTTTCCTGTAGCTACTTGTTTATTCACTTTATCCAAGATGCCCCCCTACGCAAATAGCCCTCTGGGTCTGGCAACTGCAGCTCATCCAGCCAAACATCACGACTCAGTCAAATCTTACATCTCTTTCATTTGCATCACTCTCTGTGACCCCCTTGTCCAACAATTCAAAAATGTGATTCCTTGATGTGGATGCAGAGGGGGCTTAGAGCAGTGCTGGGCCGTTCTGGGGTCTGCAGCGGGCTGTTTAGCAGGAAGATGTGTCATAGGAGGGGCTCCCACCCACCCACCTGTGGCATTTCATAAACGGCTCCTGAGGAACTTGGGCATAAGAATTCTGGGTGGAGTCCAAAACAGACACACCTTTGAAGATTTACATTTACTAGTGAACAATCTCAGGTAGAGTATTTCCACTGTTTAAAATCCCTCCAGGCCCTAGGCATAGATGCCTCTGGTATTTCTGCCCCTTCAAAGCTCTTGTGGAACATGGGACTGGCATGAACCTAAAGTCATACCCACCTTCCACTCAGAAACATCCCTCTCAGCTCCTCCATCCTCCTCTGCTGCTTCAGCAGACAGCATTTCTTTTTCCACTTCTCGCTGTTCTTGCTGTAAATGCTGGTGAAGTTTTAACACGGCAGCCTTTAACTCCACCAGCAGGTCTTCTTTTTTCTGGTTCAAACTCATAACCTGCGTTTCAATGCCTTCGATGTCTCCCTGTGCAGAAAGAGTATTTGCTTTGCTTTGGGGTGCCTGAGGCCTTGGCATACTCACAGGAGCCTGCTCATTTGTGCAAGGGAAGGAGATTTTTCTGTGCTGTCGGTGTGCAGAGCCAGGGGCCACTCTCTGGCACCACGGAGCTCCTCTACCTCCTGGCTGTGCTTCCCAGTGACCTGGGGAGGGCTTACAAGCTCCTTATAGAATGCCCTGGCCTCACCTCAGGCCCTGTCGGTCAATCTCTGAGAGTCAAGACAAGGCTCGGAAATTTGTAACAAGCTCCACAGGGCACTGTGACGTGTGCCAGGGTTGGCAGCCACTGCTTCGGTGGCCACAGGACTGGCTGGCCAGAATCTACAGGGTCAGGGCCCGGGAATCTGCACTGTAACAGGTGCCCCCAGAGATTCATGAGCAGACTAATATTTGGGAACCACAAAGAGAAGGAAGACAAGGTTAGAATTCTCGAACTTTTATTATTGTGTCTGAAGCCTTCTTTAGTATTATGAATTCATTTACTTTTTCCTACAGTCAAAGCTTCCTACTAAATGGGAATAAATAAATAAAGGTACTGTGAAGTGTAACTTACTATGGGACTGATGGACAGATGATTACCAGCTTTATAATGTTACCTTAAAAATTTATATGATAGATGATGTGTGAGAATAAAATTTTTTGTACATGGTAGAAATGCAGATGCCCACTGTCTGTCTACAAGGATTCTAGAATTATAAATCTGGAAGAAATAGCAGGTGTCACCTAGTCTCACATCCTCCTCTCTAGCACCCCTGAAAGTATCACTCAACCTCTGCCCGAGCTCTGCAGGAAGTGCATCAGAAGACAACCTGCTTCTTTTTAGCAAACCTTCCTGTGTTCAAATTTTGTTCCTTATTGTCCCTTAAACCTCATTCTCTCCTTCTCTCCCTCCCTCCTTCCCTCCCTATCTACCTACAGATATTCATAGAACCCTTTACAGACAGAGAACCTTAACATGGCCACACTTATAAGTGACAGAGCTTAAGTCCAGGGCTGCAGCGAGCTAGTGACAGTGCACAGGCCCGCACTCCCTGACCCCCAGCCCCCACGGCCTTTCTACTACTGCACAGTCCAACACCAATACCCCCATTCTGCCTGAAGTTAAACTTCTTGTGTTTGCTTTGGGAAATGATAAATGAATTAAATCTGAGTTGGCTGTTGTGTGTGTCGATTTTTCAATAAACACTAAATTTCATAGGTACAGTGCCTCCCAACAGACATAATATTACAGCCATTAGAATGACACATAGAGAATCAGAACAGTCTAAAAGCCACCAGCACGATGGAGCACTAATGGAGGCACAGTGGAGCACTAAGCAGCCATTCTCAACATGGCTCCACACACTCTATGAGGTCAAGATCGTTTTCATAATACTACAGTGTGATTTGCCTTTTTCACTGTGTTGATGTTTTTCACTATGCGATGACACAAAAGCAATGGTGGGTGAAAGAAACTACGGCATGTTATATGAATCAAGGCAGGGACAACAACTATTTTAGTAGTTACTAGATTCTTCACTATCGTGCAGCACTTAATTGTAAAAAAAAAAAAGCCAGTTTCACTTAAGAATATCCTTGATAAAGAACATGTAGTCTTAATATTGTGTGAAAAAGTGGGAATCATGATTAAAGCATTTCTCCCACATACCAAAGAATGAGGGTTGAGGAAAAGTACTCGTGTGATTATTTGCGTTTCGAGCTGAATTGCCTATTTTTTTCATGGAATACTATTTTTATTTGAAAAAAAAAACAGCTGGTAAACTACATTTGTGGATGTAAATACTAAAAGATTTTTCTGGAGCTGGAGAGATAGAAGTTAATAAATGTAAAATTTTCAATATCAATTACTGAAATGTGTTTAACATTTGGAGGACCTGCATAACTAGTGAAATGGTATTTTCCAAATGATCAAGCATGATGTTATAAAATTGTGCAGGGTGAGAAAATGCATTCAAAGTATAAGACAGACCAATGGATTTTAGTGTAAGCTATGTAAAGTTCATTGACATGGCTTCAGATTCCATTCATCGACGAACCTTCTGAGTAACTTCTACTTCTTGTAGTTTCAAAGAATATCTACAATTATTCAGAAGGTTTATTAAGATATCCCCCTCTCTCCCATGAATGTCTTGAGAGGTTAGATTGTTTTTATATACTTCAAACAAAACTATATACCACAGTACATCGAATGCAGAAGCAGATGATATCTAGCTGTCATCTAGTAAACCAGACATTAGAGATTTGCAGAAATGTAAAACAGTGTCACTCTTCTCACCAAGTTTTTTTGAAAAATATAATTTCTTCCACAAAAATGTTTTTCCTATGAACAGGTAATGGGTTATTATTTTAAAATAAACTAAAACTATATTTTTACATTTCTGAGTTTTAATTTCTTTCTATATCAGTACATATAACTCATATAAACAAAAGCTTCTTGGGGTCCTCACATTGTTTAATGTAAAAGCAAATCTGACGTTTTTACAATATTGAGTCTTTAATATTAAGTCTGCCTTATTGAGTTCACCACTGGATCTGTGTCACCGTGGACCCTTCTGTCCTTTTCCATCGAGGGTAAGTAATTTGCCCAGCTAGCAAGTGGTAAAACCTGGTTTTGAATACCATAGCAATTGCCTGCCTACATCACCTTGATGGCAGGAAAAAAGCAGCTCTCTACAATCCTTGGCATATAATCAAGTGGCTTCTTCACAGAAGTGCTGACTCAAAAACAAAGACGGAAGAAAACCCTAGCAGTAGAGGGTTAACATGCAAACCAATGTAAGTGGGTCCACACGACGCTGTTAATTACGGCACATGGGACTACTGCTTAGTATATGGAACTTTTCATTGTAACAGCGTTCGGGGTCTTTATCTCTATTCTTTTTTTTTTTTTTTTTAGCTGAGCCATCCTGCTACCTGTTGGCAGCTCAGCAGCTGCTCAGCTTGGGCTGGACTCGAACTGCTGTTGCTCAGAGCTCAAACTCTTGAGCGAGCTCTTAACCAACTGAGTCACTCGGCCGGCCCCTTGGGGTCTTTACCTCTAAAGGCCAGCCTGCCCATGATGCATGCCCCCTATCCCAGAAAGCTAGCTGGAGAGTCAGGCTGTCCAAATACCTGGTGTTAAATCAGCTTCCTTGGTACCAGAGCCAATTCAGACCGATATGCACCAAGCTGAGGCTAAGGGCACTTGAAGGGCCTTCCATAATGATAATTATATCCACCCATTTTATTAAACAGGAATGGAAAGTAAATATACACCCAAAATACCTTCAACTGGAAGAGAAATGTAGGAAATACACTGTACCATCACAAAGGCTTCTAGACACCAACGCTTAATAAGTGATTGCTGAATGAACTGCTGGATTGTTGGATGAATGAAAGAGACATACCTGTACTTGTGGCAGGTTGGCAGCTTGGTCTGGTGACATATGTTCATGGGAGAGCTCAGTGGAATAATTATTTAAGGTCTGCTTCAAATTTTCTATTTCTTCATCGCATTCATTAGCTTGTTTTATGACTATCTATAAAATAAACCCCCAGAAAGAAGAATCTTTGTCATAATCTTAAGATTAGATCAATGGGCTAGTTCCAATGTCTATCCCCATCACAAGCGCCAATCAATTATATTAATAGCAAATATGCACCCATACAGATTTCAACAGGAAATGGTAGCCTAAAGATAGAGAACAACCTTTGCAAAGCTGGCACCTGACCTTCTTGCTCGACCAGATACCAGGCTACCTTGTGCAGAGCTTGGAGTACAGGCCTAAGTAGACACACCTTTGTTCCTAAGTATTTCCAATCTAGTGGTCTTATGCTGGGAAGCATTTTATGGCAGGCTAATACAAAGTTGCTAAGTTTTATAAAATTGTTGATATGTCACATGTGCCATTTTAAAATATATTCCATGTGGAGCTTTCCACATAGAAAGATGACATTATTGATTCAGAGTGGAAACGGCATGTGATTTGAGACATGACAAATTTTCCTCTTCCAGCCATGTCCTCAGTAATGCACAGTTTATGAGTAAAAGGTTGAGGGTTCAAGAGAAGTCTGAGTTTGCAGAATAAAGCAAAACCTACCAGAACAATACCTGGAATCTAGTGTTAACAAGCAGTAGAGCTCGAACCTATTTGTGGACTGACTAAATGAAATGATATGATCAAAGCACGATGAAATGAAGAAATGGACTTCAAAAGAAAGTCTAGATATTTCCTTGACATGCTTCACAGTAAAGCAAAACGCCTTTTAAACTACAAAGTTTCTGGCCAACACAGAATTCTTCCTTTGTTTTCTTTTAATATTTAACCACACTTTCAGCTGCAGGCTGGAAATGAATAACTATGTTCGCTGCACACACCTGTTTCCTGGCCCTCAGTAACCAGCAACATCCCATTACTCCCCCCAAAAGTTAACTTGTCTCGTTCTCCACAAAGAAAGCACTTACAATATCAAAAGAATTAAAATAAATGTACCATATTCTAATGCTTTTCATTACCAATGGGTTACTTAGCTTTGAAATATATGAGATGACATCTGATTTCCACCAACACAATAAGATGGAAAATTTTAGCACAGTTTGATACCTAACGTGGCACAAAATATAATTTCCTCTTCTATTTTACCCCTTTTCATCTTGTGATGAAGCCACTTTCAAGCACAGTTAGAACTATTATTTTCTTTTCCGGACCAGGAGACCAACAAGAACAAACAGATTAAAAATAATAGATCAAATTTTATATCCTTCTTTTTTCTTTGCTTTATACCATTATGAAAACAGTACATTGAGTGTCAGATCTTTTTTCTCCTTGTGGGCATTAGGAAATGACATCAGCTGACCAGTAGCCAGACCAGAGAGATATATGAGTTAAGACTCAAACCAGAGATCGCAGTGTCCTCAAATCTTAGAAGAACACAGAGCGGCCACCTAAATGTGAATGAAATTTAAGAGGGACAAAGAGGCAGCAGCTTCTTCCTACAATCAGGTGGTGGTTGGGAAGGAGGGAAAATACACCTTTTTTCTACCCTGAACCATCTAATCAGGAAACTCAGGTAGAAGGGCAGGTCGTCTACCAAGAGGATTGAAAAGTCTGTGGAATTTAAGGCTCTTTCAGTCACTTTCTGTTCTTATGAGAGTGGCTGTTGACCTAGGAGTACAAACCAAAGTGAAATGTAACATCTATCTAATGATGACTCTTGATTTGTCACTGGAGATCAAACAAAGCTTAAGAAAAAAAAAAATCCTCTGAGGAGAGACTGAAAGATGTCATGAGTTAGAAGGAAAAGACCCCCCATATGGAGAATGATACCAGGAGTGTAGAAACTCAAATTCTTGTCCTAGCTGTACACAAATGAATCTTGACACAAGTTAACTCAGTGGTCTTTTAGCAAGTCATCTACGTTCTAACACCTGTCTCCTTATAGGTAAAAACGCAGATGGCAAAGTGCCTACTCTCCCTGTATCAAATGTTTGAGGGTAAAATGAGATGATTAACATGAAAGTGGCTGAGATGCGTACATAGATTGTTATGGGGATGATTACTGTATGAGTTTGTCGGCACCATGTGATTGCAAATGTATTATTCAAGAGTGAATCTCTTCCCATGGCATTTTACCCATGTAGGTCTTCAATAGCTAGAGAATGGAAATAAACAGACCATAACTGTGCTTTAGTATCTTCAACAACAAGGGTAAGAACTGAGAAAAATGACCTTAGCCCCATTTGGGCAAGAAGAGACACTCTTCTATCAAAAGCCACTCCCTGGATAATAGCACTAAAATACCAAAAAGAATCAACACAGGCAGCATCTTACTGTCATGGGAATGTGATCTCCCATTAAAACTGAAAACAAAACCAGCTTTTGCTGAATCTTGTCATCCAATAAGTTGGCTGTCATCATAAATGACTCACCTTTAATAACTCATTCTGTTCCTGAGTCACATTTTCCAACAGTTTTATATCTTGTAAAAGCTGATTTGTCCGCTGAAACACAGGCAGAGGTCTCATTCCTGTCTGGGGTAACCTCAGTTCCACTTGGTAAGACATTATTTCAGCAATGGTTTTCTTCATCGGATGTATATTTTCGAGTATGACCTTAATTAAATCAGATAAGCATGGTCCATAAATGAAAAAAAAAGGGCACTGCTAAATCTAATTATTCAAAATTATAATACTGTATAGTTTAGTCATCTATAGTTTTGATTTTTAAAATATTTCCTTAGCTGCGATTGAAAAGAATTATGGTATCAGTTGTGATCTGGTAGTTAAAATCCTCAGTTAAAGTTAAAGAATGCCTGGAGCAAGAGTAACCTCCCAGCACTAAATTATGCCTTTGGACAACCCTTTCCCCACTTCCCTCCTCCCCACTCTGTAAAACTGTTGTTTTGATTTGTGTAATGTCACCAGCCAGTGAGCTGTGTAAGGGCGGGAACTGCATCTTATGCACTTTCGTAGCAACTGCACCTAGCACAGGCCTCTCCACATAATAGACCCTCAAAAAACTGCACATTGAACTGAACTGTTCTCTCAAATTTTATAAGTCCCAAACGTATAATTATTTTGCTTTAATGACATCTGATCCATAGAAATCTTGATTTACATAGGCAATAAATGAAAAGAGATTATTTACTTTGCTAAATACTTCGTATATATCATTTCATTGAATCCCCACAATGACCCTGGGAGGTAGGTATCAGGACCTCCATTTCACAGGTAAGGAGAGTGGGCTCACAGAAGCTTGAAGACTGAGGAGAGGTCAGGCTGTAAGAACCAGGGCTGGGATTACAACTCAAGCTGCCTGATCCCAAAGCACATGCTCCTAACCTCTAGGCAGAGGTGGAATCAACATCTGTGTGCTGTTTAGTATGTCCTAGTTCCTGGGCTTCGGCACTTGATGTATTATAATTGTCCAACATAATCACTGCATTACTGATGTGTGGTTATGAAAGAGAATCCAAGAAATGTTAACTAATTGCTCAAAGTCACGGAGCTGGTAAGCAGTGTAGCTGGGGCTGGAACCCAGTTCTTCTGACTTAAAAGCTCAAGCTCTTGGACTATTAAACAATTAGATTTGACTTGAAGGCAAAACTTCTAAACTTTGATGTTTTTGGAAGAAGTTAAGTGAAAAAATAACCTATAGAAAAATTATCTTTATATAGATAGTACTATACGATTTAAAACATGATATTTACAGTCATTCATATCTCCCAACTTTATTGTGCTATTCCTCTAGCAAGACTACTTTTTATTACATATTGTTACATATTTAAAAATAAACGTTATGAGAATATATTTTAAATAATAATAATCCATGCTTACCTCCCCATGCTTAAGATGTTCTTCAGGTGAAAAGTCAAATATTTCTTTTGATAATAGGATAGTTTTGATTTTTGAAACTCTTTTCTCCATTGATTTTACTTCAGTTTCAATAGCAACCACATCCTAAAATTTCAGAAACAAAAACACTCATGCAGTATATGTTGTATGTTAATAATTTATTGCTATTCATTCTTTTCTCATATTAAACCAAAATATGTTTTCCCACCTATACCTCTTAAAAACTAACCAAGTGCTACACAGATAATGTTGACGGTTTTCAATAAAAATTGTTATTCTGTTACAAGCATGCCACCCTACAAAGCACTGTTTACACTTTATTGAGTTAAAGATCCTTATAGGGCCAGTTTTCAATTACTTACACTATGAGAACAAAAGTACAGATGCTCCTTGACTTACAATGAGGTTATATCCAGATAAACCCATTGTAAGTTGAAAATATAATACATCAAAAATGCATTTAAGGGCCGGCTGAGTGGCTCAGTTGGTTAAGAGCTCGCTCAAGAGTTTGAGCTCTGAGCAACAGTGGTTTGAGTCCTGGCCTGAGCTGAGCAGCCACTGAGCTGCCAACAGGTGGCAGGATGGCTCAGCTAAAAAAAAAAAAAAAAAAAATGCATTTAAGACACCTAACCTACCAAACATCATAGCTTAGCCCAGCCTACCTGAAAAGTGCTCAGAATACCTATATTAGTCTACAGGTGGGCAAAATCATCTAACAATGAATATATTGTAGGGTATCGGTTGATTACCCTCATGATTGTGTGGCTGACTAGGAGCTGCTGCTGTCTAGCATCACGAGAGAGTGTCACACCGCATATTAGCCCAGGAAAGAACAAAACTCTAAGTCTGAAGTATGGTTTCTGCTTAATGCGTATCACTTTCACACCATCGTCAAGTAAAAAAATTGTAAGTCAAACCATCATAAGTTGGGGACCGTTTGTAGTATATACATCGGAATTAATTTTTAAGCAAATTCTTAATTATCTACAAACTTCTTTAGCTTTATCTTTGGAATGTGTTTAAACACTTGAATACAAGTGGGTCTAACATTTAAAAAATTCCCACCACTTTAAGTAAAATGATAAAGTCACCCTTGGGAAATGCACATACAAAGAACTGGAAAATTGACAGGATTTTCCTGCCAATCCTCTAATGAGCTTGTTGCCATGCAGAGTCACTAAATTACTGTATAACACACCAATTCATTTAAACAGTAGATCATTTATCCAGTGGTTATTCTCTTATCAATATCAACTTCTATAACGCTGCAATATGTGCTATAAAACCTGCATTTTAAAGTCCACCTATACTGTAAAAGGTCCTTGAGACCTTTATTTACTTTAGACCTCAAGGCAGATGCATTACAGCAATAAACAGGTACAGCTAATAATCAAGGGGACAGAAAAAACTACATAGAAATAGACTGACAGTTTCAAATTATAGCAGTTTGGAGCCATTCAATACAGGACAAACACAACTTTACGAGCAAGTGAAATAGTGAGCGCAGTAACTTTATAGTGATAACTCCAAATTACGAAGGAAAAGTTAAATTATACTGAAATGATTTTTTGCACCTTATATTGAAAAAGGTATATAAAAGTATACAATGTGTTTCAGGGTAATTTCCATCAAAAATTGTAGAGGTATTTAAAAACTTTGGAGTAAATTTCACTAGCCCAGAATATTCAACAACTATTATTCCCTGAAGTTACATACGTGTGGTGTAAGGAATGTAACTGAGAAACAAAGGTAAATAATTAAGACTAACTTAGCACCTGCCTTTGCTATGTCACTCCATCTTAAATAAATGCCTCACCCATTTCAAGCTAAAATAAATAAAATTATTTAAAAATCCAGTGGCTGGCATATAGCAGCCCCTCAGTACATATTTACTATCAGTGAATGAAGACTTGGGAGGTTATTTGTTTTAATTCCCTCTTGGCCAATCTGTGCTTTTAAATCAACCATATCTTCTCTGACAAAGAAAAAACAATGAGCTTATTTGATCAGCATCCTTCCCTTTAAATAGACCATTCATGGACTGAGCATGGGGATACGATTTTTTTTTGTTATAGTTGCACTATAGGCTGCAAAGTAAAGTAAAATATAATTTAAGAAATAAGAACAAGAATGTACCAGAGCAATGCATCTTCTTATAATTAGGAGTGATTAGCAGTATAACTCTAATTTACCAAATGAAATATAAATGAAAATTAAGAAATCATATCTTTATAGTGCCAGCTTACGTCAGCCATTCGCTGAATCTGTGGAAGGCTTTGCATGATGTTTTGTTGTAAAGCTGCTACTTGATGGCTTAACTCTTGTATGGACTGCACTAAATCATCTGTTTCAAAAATTACTGACAAGTCTTCCAGGTCAGTGAAAACTGAATGTAAAACATTGTGCTTCTGTTCTGAATCTTCCAAAGCCATCTAGATAATTGGAAACAAGGGAGGAAAGAAAAGAGAAATATCAAGATACTGAAAATCGATTTAAATGTAAATTAGAGAAAATTCTGTAACTATGTATGGCAACGGATGTTAACTAGACTTACTGTGGTGATCATTTCACAATATATACAAACATATAATCATTATGTTGTACACCTGAAACTAACAAAATGGATGCTGATTACACCTTAATAAAAAAATTTAAATCAGAGAAAATTTAATTTGTCTCAACATTTCAAACTCCCGTTTGTTTCTAGTTTTGTAATAATACATTGAACACTCTCTATTGTCAACAGTAGTGGATGACTTCAGAATGTCTATTGCTTTTGGTGGGCTGCGGTCTGCTCCTCTTCCAGCCATCTTTTTTTAAAGATTTTACTGGGGAATTGGGGAAGGGGAACAGTGTTGGAGAATTGGGGAAGGGGAACAGCCAAGTTGTTGTCCTTCAATCTTAGTTGTGAAGGACGCAGCTAGCTCAGCTCCAAGTCCAGTCGCCATCCAGCTGCCCAACGACAGCTCACAGCTGCTCAGCTCAAGGTGCCCTGTTCAATCTTAGTTGCGGGGGCATAGCCCACCATCCCATGTGGGAGTTGAACCATCAACCTTGTTGTTAGGAGCACATGCTCTCACCAGCTGAGCCATCCTGCCACCTATTGGCAGCTCAGCGGCAGCTCAGCTTGGGCGCAGCTCACTGGCCCATGTGGGAATCGAACCAGTGACCCTGTTGCTCAGAGCTCTTGCTCTTAACCAACTGAGCCACTAGGTTGGTCCTCCAGCCATCTTTAATGAACCAGGAACACCTGACCTGTAGTCCATCCCTCTGGAATTTGGAATTGGAGCCAAGAAAGCCACTCAGGCTATTTCCAATTGGCTGGACTTATAATTTTGGGAAAATGGGTTTCAGAGAAACAGATAAATGAGGTGGGAATGAGAAATGAAGAGGCAGTCCTGTGGCTAGTCAGGCTGGTGCCAGTGTCCTCCTAAGGCCTAGCCACGTGATGCCACTGACTTCTGTGAGATGTCGCTATAGCGTGAGTTGACTTGTACAATGTGATACTAAAAGAGCTCTATCTGATAAAACCAAATGAAAGTGAAAAACATCTATTTTTAGAATTTCTTAAACATCCCTCCTCATAATTTCTTTTAATAATTATTACGTATTTACTTTAAAATTTAAGGTTTCAAAAAATCTCAGCCACCTATTGGAAATGTTCAACTTGCTAGTGTAGTCTTCAGGTAATTCCATAAAATATAACTGTTATGAGAAAGAATATTTACTTATGCAAGTAGAATTCTAGTCATAAGTTTCTAAAATTAATCAGGTTATCTAGAATTTTATAAGGCCTTAATTCAAAACACTAGATAGAGAAAACTTTAAGGAAAATGAAACTTAAAGCCAATGCTTTTTTTTTTAACCAATAATACTATTTACAATAGCATCAAAAACCACAAAATACTCAGATAAATTTAACAATTCATATGCAAGACCTGCTGTACACTAAAAACTACAAAACACTGCTGAGAGAAATTTTTAAAAGACCAAAATAAATAAAGAGATATGTCATGTTGCTGGATTTGAATAGTCAATATGGCTAAGATGTCAATTCTTGCCAAATTGATCTATAGAATTAATGCAATGACAATCAAAATTCCAACAGATCTCTATACAGATAGTGTCAAGCTGATTCTAAGATTTACATAAAAATGCGAAAGACCCAGATCAGCCAAAACAAATATGAAAAAGACGAACTAAGTTGTAAAATTTATGCTACTTGATTTAAAGACTTACCATAAAGCTACAGTAATCAACACTGTATCATATGGGTGAAAGAATAGACAAACAGATCAATAGAACAGGAAAGGGAGCTCAGGAATAGACCTACATTTATTGATTTAAACAAGGCACCAAAGTAATTCATTGATGAGTCTTTTCAACAAATGGTGCAAGACTAATTGGATATCCCCATAGAAAATAAAAACAAACCTTGATTCTTACTTCATATCATCTACAAAAATTAACTTCCTTGAATGAATCTTAGACCTAAAAGTAAGAATTAAAACTATAGGGGCAGTGGGTTAACTCAGGTGGTTGGAGTACAGGCTTATAGCACCAGGGTTGTCAGCTCAATTCCCACATGGGCCAAGGAGCTGCGCCCTCCACAACTAGATTGAGGACAACTACTTGACTTGGCCCTGATGGGTCCTGGAAAAACACACTATTCTCCAATAAAATAAGATTTAAAAAAAAATAAAGAGTTAAAACTATAAAATTTCTAGAAGAAAAGTCAGGAATAAATCCTTGTGACTTTGAGTTAGATAAAACTTTCTTAGATACAACACAACAGAATAATCCACACAAAAAAAGATAAATTGCACTTCATCAAATTAATAACATTTTCTCTCTGAAAGACAATATTGAGAGAATGAAAAGACAAGCCACAGGCTGGGAGAAAATATTTGTAAATCACTTATCTAATAAAGAACTGTTTTTTAGGATATTTTATAAATAACTCCTGTAACTCAATGAAAATAATAAAAAGACAAACCAATTTTAAAAATGAGCAATAAAAAACTGAAATGACACTCCAAAAAGGAAGTGTACAAATGACAAACACATGAATAAATGCTCAAATAAACAAATCATTAGTCATTAGAGAAATAGCATTTAAACTACAATGAGATACCACTACTAGAATGGTTAAAATTTAAAAGACAGGTAATATTAAGTGACAGCCAGCATATGGAGCAATTAGAACTCACATTGCCAGTGGGAATTAAAAATGGTACAGCCATTTTGGAAAACAATTTGGCAGTTTCTTATTTAGTTAAATACCATAAAAGCCAGCAATTGTACTCCTTGGTATTTACCAAATGAAATGACATGAAAACATATATCCACACAAAGATTTGTATATGGATGTTCACAGCAGCCTTGCTCATAATGGCCTGTGGTAGGCAGCTTTTAGGTTGGCCCCCAGTGAGCCTTACCCCGTGGTATTCATGCCCTTATCTCAGCAGCTCCATTAAACCTAGGCTGGGCTCACTGATTTACTTCTAACAAAATACAGCAGAAGCAATATGGTATCACTGCCAGGATTAGATTATAAAAGGACTATTTCTGTCTTGGGAGCTCTCTATCACACTCCTTTAGGTTGTTATGGAGGCAAGCCAGCTGCCATGCCGTGAGGCAGCCTTGTGGAGAGGCTCACAGGGCTGTGCATGCATGTGGATCTTCTGGGGCCTGCCAGCAGCCACATGAAGAAGCTTGGATGCATACCCTGTCTTCTCTCTCACCCAAGCTGAGCCTTCAGCCGAGACCATAGCCTTGGCCAACACCTTGACGGCATTCTTATGAGAGATTCTGAGCCAGAGGCACTCAGCTAAGCCATGCTGGATTCTTCACCTACATTAACTATGAGATAATAAATGCTTGTTGTTTTAAGCTGCTAACATCTGGAATAGTATATTAAACAGCAATAGATACTGAGTACATAGCCCAAAACTTGAAACAACCCAAATGTCTATTAACTGGTAAAGAGATACACACATTGCATATTTCCATAAATGGAATACTATTCAGCAATCAAAGAATGAACTACCTATATATGTAACAACCGGGATAAATCTCAAAAACATTATGCTAAGTAAAAGAAGTCAGGCACAAAAAACTACACACTGTACAATTATTTACAGGATATTGAGGAAAAGGCAAAACGATAGTAATAGAAGGCGTTGAATAAGTGGTTTTGAAGCCTGAGGATAGGTGAAAGGGGACTCACTGCAAAACAGCATGAGGAAACTTTTTGGGGTGATGGAAATGTTCTTTATATTGATGGTGGTGGTGGTTACACAATTGCATACTTTTATCAAAACTCATCTAGCAGACACTTGAAATAGATATATTTTACTACATGTAAATTATACCTCAATGAATCTGATTAAAAAAATAAGTTGTTTTTCTACTTTTACAATAACAATTTACATTTCAATGATTCTTAATTACAACAGCAATCTTTGGTTATAAACAGCACCTTTAGGTTATAAAAATCTATTTTAACAAACACAATCTAGACAGAAGGTTATAGTGCAATTAAAACAGACTTTTAAAGCTTAGTTGGGAGTTTTGATACCTTTCGAAGAGTCACTGTAAAAACCAATGCTTGGTAATGCTAGAAAAATGGCAAAGGGTAGGACAACGTTTTTTAAAACAGGGACAACTAAAAGTAGGACAACCATTTTCAAAATAGGGACAAAATTGGGTATTTACATATGACTAGTTATTTGAGACTTACTTCCCATTGGGGGATTTGTTAGGATACCTGTGGTGGGAAATCAGCCTGCATCTGCCCTGTCCCTAGTTCCTCTAACTCATAAACCAGAGTTCTACTCAGCTCTGCTCATCTAGGCCAGCAAATTCGGGTGTCCTGAACAGTTTGAGAGGTGCTTTCACACTTTTACATTTGTCAGTAGAAGGTAGCAAAGTCCAGCTGTTTTTGCCTAAGTTCACTCTTGTACAGTTTTGGAAAAAAACGTCATTTCTCTCTTCTGTCTTTGCAAACTCCTTGAGAATGGTGTAAAATACAGGCGATAATAAAGGGGGATGTGGAAAGTCAACCCACGAGGTGGGGCAAGGGGGGAAAAATGGGTGAAAATGCAACATCTTTACTACTGTTACCACAGGTAAAAATATGCCAACAAATCTCAAACACCAGGGAGGTATGATGTCACTTGTTCCCTTAGGAACACATTGTGCTATTTTAAAGATATAAAAAAGGAGTTGGATCAACTTTGAGGTCTGATTACTCTAAAAATTTATAGAATAAACTTTTTCCTAAGAGATTCTTTCTCGTGGTTGAATAGTATGATGGAAGGGAAATATGCCTTCACAACAAAACTTAAGCCAATACTTGGCATCTGGAAGATCTCTTGCAGTCATGGCCCCGAGTAGGATAATACTTTTGTTTTGTCTTTGTAAGCTAGCATGGAGACACAGGGCATCTGTGGAGAACCAGGAAGGGCAGCAAATTTGGAAAGATGGCATGCTAGATCTGGGAGGAACCATGGATTTGTTTTCTAATTACCACAAGTTTAGCAGCTTAAAACAAAACAAATTCATTATCTTGTATGTTCCATGGCCCAGGAGTTCAGGCGCAGATTAGGTAGGTCCTTTGCTCAGGATGTTATCAGGCTGCAATCAAGGTGCTATCTGGTGCACAGGTTTCTCTTCCAAGTTATTTCAGGTTGTTGGTAGAATTCAGTTGTAGGACTCAGATCCCAGGTTTCTTGCTGGCTGCTAACTGGAAGTCACTCTTAGCATCTAGAGGCCACACTGGGATCCTAGCCTCATCTCCCTCTCATAATATAATATGGCTGCGTCCTTCTTTAAGCCAGCAGGAGGCTCTCTCTCCAATCTGTTACCAGGGAGTCTTATAATCATTCAGCCATAATTAATTATGTATTTTGGGAGTGACTATCCCATTACCTTAGCCATATAATAATGTAACCTAATCAATGGAGTGACTATGTCATCACATACTTATATTCCTGCTCACATTCAAGGGGGAGGGATTACATAGGTCATGTACATCAGGGGACAAGAACATTGGGAGTCATCTTAGAATTCTGCCTACTAAGACCATTAATACCATTCACTGCAACATTCTTACTTCACAGATGGGGGAAACTGAGGCCCCTGGAGGATACCCATAAAGTCATGTACTAGTTATTAGGACAGAAGGAATAAGAGCCTGGTCTCCAAAATCCCTGTCTAGAGCCTGCCACTCTTCCAAACTTCCTTTTGCCATTTAGCATGGCTGAAGATAAGGGGGTTTTTCAGGAAAAAAAGAAGGGGGCAGGGGAAGCGCCATGCTGGTTAGCTAAGCCACTGATCATTACGTAGAGTCATGACACCCAGGGAACTGAAAGAGCGCTTACCTGGAGGACGCTAGCTCGGTGACTCAGTGTCTTTGAAGAGTCATAGTCAGCAGAATTAGCCAGCAAACGACTGGTATTTTCTATCCAAGCTTCGGTGCTCTTCAGAAGATCATGATACTCCTCCATCTTAATTGTGGCCTGTGAAAGAGAGGCAGTACCAAACTCAGTCTGACTGATGTCTGTTGCATGAGCTGAATGATTCTTGAATGAAGAAACCATTGCTGTTAGTCAGGGGCACGTCAGGCCTTGCAGGGCTCCCTCCCCGTGGTGGGGCCACTCTCTCACCCCCGCCAGTTCTGATGCTTCCAACTTTTAAGACTAATCCTGACCGCAGCTGGAAAGGACTTTAAAAAGCTCTACCCCAAAACTACAGGCCTCAGCAAGGTTCTAAGTTAGCGTTCCCATTTTATGCTTCATTCTGAAAACTGGGTTTGTATTTTGTCCTCCTGTACAGGGCCTTGTCCTGTAATATCCCATTTCCGACCCCATTCCTGTTAGATCATGTGTACCACTATCTACCACGACCACTACTTAGAAGGGAAAGACGTTCTGAATGACGTTCTTTCTCATTGCTGACTCCCTCCCTGGATGGCTGAGATTGCCTGCTGGAAACGTCCTGCTGTGGTCCGATTTGGGGATACCTGCTTGTGCCTGCCCCAAACCTTCTTCCTGAAGACTCTCCTGCCTGTGCCAGCAGGAAAATCTGTCCCCTCGGTGCCCATCTGAACCTATGGTGCAGCTCTAGCTTCAAGTCCTAAAACTGGCCATTCGAAGGAAACTGGCTGCCTCTGAACATATATTTTTGTTTTGTTTTACATCCATCTCAGTGCCACCACAGGCTATCACAGGCTATGTGTAGTTGTCATGTGTTCCCATCACACCTTATTCAACTGCGATGTTCTAGATTCTGCTCTCTGTGATACTTGCTGATACTGCTGGAAAGGAACCATCAGGTTATCCATCCATTCTTGAGCCTGTCCTGGATCCTGTTCGACGATGTCCTGAACTTCAGAATCCAGCTCATTCAGCTTGGAATGCCAGAGATCCAGCTCATCCCACATTTTCTGGAGAAGGAAATCACAAGTCAATGTGAACGCCAATGTCATGGTTTATTGTGTTCATTTCTACTTTTCACATGGTACTTGCACTTATAAATGCGACCAAAACAACATCACAGGCATCTACTCACTTAGGCCCAGGAACCTCTGTGACCTAAACTGAAAAATACTTTTTCTGAGGTTTCTGAACTCTAACCGTATTCATTTCATTACAAATTAGCTGTAAGGGAACAGAATGATGTGGACATTTCCAGAGATGAATGACACCAAACAAGGTCAACATAACCCTAATCTTTCAAGAGTGAGAAGTTAATATTATGTTTAAAAAGGGCTTTGGTTAATACTTAAACCTATTTGGACCAGTGCATACATGTACTTAACCTAGACGACAATTTTTTTATTAAGTGCAAAAATAAAACTAGTAAAAAGAAAATATCTGCAGTGACAGAAAATTCTAGCCACATGTATTAGCAGCAAACGCTTTTGATCAAGTAACCAATAGTTTGGATTCAAACCTGGACTTTTCTGGGCAGAGGACATCTCAAAGGTAAAATATTTAATTCTTACTTAATATTTGCTTAAGAACATAATTTCTAGATTTGGGAAAAGCTGACTAGTTAAATTAGGTTCCTCTACTTACTAAGAGTCCAGGATTTTGTCCCATGGTGAGCCCTCTTCTGACCTATTGTTTAAAGTCTCAATTCACATTAGAACATTTCCTTAAAATGTAGAATAAAATAAGAAAGCTTTCCATATGCAGGAGTTTACTTGGGAGTTAAGAGCTTAAATATTATGTTTATGTACAGTTTTATTTAAGACTTTATTTCCTAAGACATTTCACAAGAAAAATAAAACTGGAATTTCTATTTTCCTGTTTCCCCTTGCAGTCTACACAAAAGCTGCTAATACTATTCAAATTCTATTTTTTACATTATTTTATTTTTCCTTGCCTATCAGAGTATTTTTATTTTTTATTTTTCAATTACAGTGACATACAATCCTATTGGAACATTTTTCAATTAGTTTCATAAATATTCCATATTGTATTCCTCAATACTATTTCACTTTAGAAAACCAAAGACTCCAAAAAATGCTCCAAAAGAGAAACATACTAGCTTTTGTTTTTCATATTGATATAGTTATAATATTTTCATATCAGTCTTCCCAAGATAAGATCCTTCCTCTCCTTTACTTGTGAAAAGGCTAGTTCACAAATACAGGCTGTCAGGGGTTTGGACATATTCCCATCATGGGAAAACTGAGAACAATTCTGAAACGCCACCTTCTCCACCAAGCCTCTGAGGGGGCACTCTCAGTAAGGGTGGCCCTGTGGATCTGGGTTAGGAACTCTGTAGAGAAGGATACAAAGAGCACACCCTGTGATGACTGACAGGCAGGGGTAATACCGAATTCTGAAGAAAGTTAAAGGAGGATGTTACCTTTTGAATTTCTTGAGCCTTCTCAATATTTTTGCTTTTCTGCTGTAACATCTTCTCAACATTATGAAGCCCATTGTTAATTTCATCTATTTTTCTACTCATTGCATATGATGGTGAACTTTTCAAGACTTCATTACTAATCTGTTACAGGATAAAGACACATTTGGTTTAGAGATGTTTTCTGGACTCCATTCACTGGCTCAAATGATAAAAGGGGCAGTCATACTGCTATGTGCTTTTACTTGTAAAAAACTTTTTATGAGTTCCAAGAAAAATTCCAAACCATACAGGCTAATGAGTTAATGACAGGGTAGATTAACATACCTAATTAAATTAACATTTAAATCCCATCTTAAAAAAGAAAGCCAACAAACAAAATTTTTTTGAATGCAATACCCACAGTATGAATTACACATATGTGCACTCTTGGGCAAAACTACTGAGTGGATTGCTTGAAACATACCCCGATGAAAGATATGGAAGAATTCCTGGGAGACAAAATTATTTATTATAGTCTCTCCATTTTATAAGAAAATCCTCTGCACAGAACAGTTTTGTTTTGTTTTCTTAAAAAACTTATTCTCAAGCCAACTTTTAAAAAATGTAATTCTCACCTTAATACTCATTTGGGTGAAATAACCTTCTAAAATTAGCTATCTCTTGGGAATACACAAAGCTTAGTTTTCTTTGTGTGTTTCTCATGTATGTTTTCATAGCTATCAGCAATCTAGCTGCTGAACAGTGTAATTTTTTTTTATCTGAATGATTTTCTTAAGAAAATAACTTGGACTAGGAAAGATAATAAATGAATGCTGAATGTGTCATTTTTCAAATACCTGATTAGCTCGTGTTCTTGTTTTTTTAAGGCTATGTTGATAAGACTTGCTCCAAGCAGCCACTAAATAACCAAATAACACTTTCTGCTTTTGTATAATCCATTAACTCTTTTAAAAACCACTGATATCTGTATAATCATTGAGACTAGAATGTTCCAGTGCAGATGGGATACAGATGCCAAAACTAAACACAGGCTAAATGATTTTCCATAAGGTCACATATCCAGGTAGAGGCTGAACTTGTCCCTAAAGCTTTAAGTGGTCAGACTCCAGAGTCCCAGGCTCTTTTCACTACTTTTATTAAATGTTTTTTTATTTCACTGACCATCTACAGTCAAAATTTTTAGAAAAAAAAATTAATCCTGTATTGGGCTTTTTATTGCTGTAAACTTTTTATTGCTATGTAAAATGAAGTTTTCTGGTCTCTTGGGCAGTTATTCTCTTGGCAGAAATGTACATCATTTAGGAACATTAGGCGAGATCGTGATTTAGGAAAAGTAAGCTGACATCTGAATTATACAGAATGGTACTGTGTCCGCTGCCTGGATCTTTTAAATATATCACACAATAAAAGGCAGTTGCTGTTTGTTACAAATATATTTTACAGTCCAAAATTTCAACCTTAAATTTAAAAAATGGATTTTGATTATTAATTCACTTTGTTAGGTATTCTCACATGAAGTATTCACTAGAACAAATTTAGTTTCTCTCAAAACATTTAGTATTCTCTTAAAATAAAATCCATAGTACATGAGTCTTGAGCAAGTACCTCACAACAGATTTGCTTGTGTGTTAAATCAACAAAATTTCTTATAAATATATATTAGGAGTTTGCATGTTTTTTACATGCGTGAGATTTTCCTAAGAAATCTCACAGAAGTTAACCAAGTTTGAAATCTTTTTTTGTGTGTGTGTGCATTTAATATCTATTTTATATACTAGGTTAGAGGTATTCCAGGCTTTAAAAAGCAAAACAAAAATCCTTCTGTGGATGCTGGACCAAATTAAATTGTTCTGTTGGATTTGGGATGCGTTTTTGCAATTCAATAAAATTGTCTTGCTAAACTCCTATGTCTCCAGTACTATGAAACATTTCCCACTCTTTCTTTCAACCTGGACTTCCAGGTATAAAGATTTGCCCAGGTATATTTTGTAAGAATTGTGTTACCACCATCATTAGAAAGGCACTGTGTGTAAAGTGCTATTTCTAGTGAGCTGTGAAATTTGTATTCTTATTGCCCTCTGGTGCTATTTCAAAATGTTCACAGGGAATATGTTTTAAAGCTATTATTCATGTCCCAAATTTTAAAGCGATTCTCCAGGTTAAAAAAACAAACAAAAAAGCCAAGTAAAAGATAATGTATAACTCTATTTTTCAATACAAGAGAAGAAAAACTAAGCATTTTGACAATTAAAACTAAACAGGTTATCTAATTCTGTTTTCTGTCACTTGTTTAGAGCAATTTCATCTCAGTATTCAATAAACAAAACTGTCAACTAAACTTTATAAACACAGTTACAGCTGAAATCAGGGCAAATGAAAATATATCATATTTTCTTCTTTATATTCATTCAACTCTACAAATAATACCACTAGTACAAATATTATTATTACCTTCTCATCTACGTCTTCTAAAGCTTTTCTGCATTCTTCCATCTGGGATTCAATCTCTGCGGGAACTATGGTGTACATTTCAGAATACTTGATTCGGAGTTTTTCCATAATATTTTCAAAAGTTAGCTTCCCTTTCTTAAAAATGCTTTGAAGCTCCTAAAAACATCAAGAGAGTTTCAGTACTCACTGGGTGGGGGAAAAGCTTAACTCTAAAAATGAAAGCAAGCTTTCCAGCACACCCTTCTGATTTAAATGAGCAAATTTTGCATGACAAAACCTCACTATTGATACAAGCTGATTAAGCCTGAGAGATACTCAGTTTGGTCAGATGATGCTTTCTAATTTGTAAGGATTAAACTTGATATCTCTTCATAGTGTCAAACCATTGTCCTTAAAAGACATTACAACATCTCCTGCTTCTAAAGTACCTCTAGGATTTAACTGTATCTCAGTTGCTGTCTTGATCTAAAAAGCTGCAAGTAGCAAAAAGTTTCAAAGAAGTTTTTTTTTTGTTATTACAATAACTTGTTGCCATTTCTGCTTCTTCCTACATTATCATCACAAAGATTCAAGGCCACTAAAAGCCCTATGCTTGAAGCAGAAGTGTCTGCTTTCATGTAATTAGACAGCCCAGCAGAGATCAACTTCTTTCAAACAGGAGGGTTCCAGTTCCATGCAAAGAATGCGGGTTTCAGGAGATAAAAGAAACCTGAACAAATAGTCTATTGGTTGTGGCCTAGAAACAAAATCTGATCTACGTTCTCCTGCACTAATTATAAAGGAGAAACTCATTTGTTTGGGAAAGTTTCCCAAAGATCAAGTGGAAAAATACTTCTTGACTTCGCTGTAGCTTTTTGGGGTTTGTTTTGTTTTTACAGTAGCTGTTCAGTGGCATTACTTGTGTTAATGGGTGAGTCACCACACTGAAGAATGATTACAATTTTGAATGACTCCATGATGTGTCACTGTTTTTCTTTAAACCCTCGGCAGAGAACAAATCTGGAGAGAGTTAAAGAACAATGCCATTCAGACAAAGGTGGAGTTTGAGGTATAGTGTCATCCTGTTTCATCTAGACCTAGTCCGGGAGGACAGATCTTCATTCAGAGCTGCACCCAGATGGCTTCCCAAAGAAGGCTGCTTCAGTGAGGGAGAGTAAGTTTCCTTTTTCAACACTGATAACCAAAAACTCTAATTAACAACAACTTTTGAATAAACTTCCCAGTGTCATTTTTGCCTGTTACCATTGGACCAAATGAGAAGAGATTATGCTGAAAAAGTGAGTTCTCAAATGACATAGCCTCTGTGATACTGTAATATGTATACACACATACATGCACATTCGCACGCACACGTGTGTGTGTGTGTGTGTGTGTGTGTGTGTATGTGTGTATGTGAGTGTATTTGGTCTTCATCATTTGTTCCTAGCACAGCTTCTAAAACTCTTGAAATTTCCTGGATAGGGGTGCGAGGAAAGTCTTGTTATTTATAACAAGCATTTTTTCAACCTGAATTTATGCCAATGAGATGACTCTTGGGGCGGGGGTCGGGGCTTGATAGCTTCTGGACACGGGCTGGTGGAAGCAACCACTTGCTTAGAGGGTTAAAACTTGCAGCTCCACTTCCCAGCCTCTGGCAAGGGGAGAGGGGCCAGAGGCTGTTAGTCACTAATGGACAATGATTGAACCACTCATGCCTACATAATGGAACCTCCATAAAAACCCCTAAAGGAAGAGGTGCGGAGAGCTTTGGAGGAGTGAATACATCAGGGTGCTAGGAGCATGGCACACCCAGAGAAGGCATGGAGATCTGTACCCTTTCCCCATACCTTCCCTATGCATCTTTTCCTGAGTTGTGTCTTTTATAATACATTGGTAATAGTAAGTAAAGTGCTTTCCTGACTTCTGTGCGTCATTCTAGTAAATTACTGAGCCTGAGGAGGGGGTGTGCCAGAACCTGATTTACAGCCTGTCAATCAGAAGTAAAAGAGGCCTGGGACTTGTCTTTGGCATCTGAAGTGGGGGCAGTCTTGTGGCACTGATGTTGGCCCTTAATGGGAGGTGGGGTGTCTGTACTAACTCCTGGTAGTTGGTATCAGAATTGAACTGAATTGAATTTTAGGACACCCCAATGGTGTCTGGAGAGGTGGACAATAGGTTGGTGTGGGAAGCACACACACACACACACACACACACACACACACACACACACACACACACACACACAGTATCATAAGTGTTGTAAGTAAAAACAGTTCTACTCTGTCGGAGGTAAGGTATTACATCCTATTAAAGTGAGTTATCTAACACGCTACTCAAAAGTGGTCTGTGCCAGTGAAGCAACATCCTCCACAACTAGATTGAAGAACAAAACGACAGCAACTTGTCTGTTCCCCTTTCCCCAATTCCCCAGCACTGTTCCCATCCCCCCAATTCCCCAATAAAAAAATCTTAAAAAAAAAAAAAAAAAAGTGGTCTGTGGCCCTTGTTCACTGAAGCCTCTTAAATGCGGTTGAAAAGGGCTGCTTGGTATAGATTGGCCTCCTCCCCACCTGGTCTCAACCCTGCTCTCTGCTCTCTACCACACTGATCTCCTGTGGCTCTGCCCACATCGTGCCACAGGCCTCCGCAAGTGCTTTCCTCTCTCCTGGACCACTCCTTCCACTCTGTGCACTGAGTGACTTTTGCCTCAAGGATTCTGGATTCAAGATTGCAGACCTGTATCAGCCACATTTACTAGTTCATTTCTGACTTACCTCAAACTGTTCTGCCTTTTCTAGGTGGTCTTGTAACTCCATATTTTGGAAAGAAGCTGTTGTCTGTTGAAATAGAGTCTTCAAAGCCGTTATTTCTTTTGTGAAAGAATGTCTTTCTTGGATTTCAGTCTGCATCAATTCCTTATTTTTTTGAGCTTTCTGAAAAAGCCTAAAATATAGCATCAAAACAAAATTGCTCCTCTGCTCTTCTCTGAAATAGTTTTATTTCAGACAAATAATACGTCCAAATAGCTCACAAAAGATATCTTTTCTGAGAGAAAAGCACCAGTTTCAATGATTTTATATACTGCATATACATATATCAAATCCTATCATTCAATCAAAAACCTTTATAAAATTCTCATCCCAAAATATCCTCTTTTCACACTTTACATAACATTTGCCAACTCTATCCTCCGTTTCTCCACAGAATTTTTGTGTTCCACTGAACATGACTGGAGACATGGTTAGGTTCTTGGGGTAGACACCGCACTAGCCTTTTTATCTCAGCTGACCCCATTTGCTGTGGATGTAACCACAATGCTAGTAAGAGGAGTTTACATGGGTAAAATCTTCCCTGACAGCCATTTGGTATCTCTAGCTATAAATTTATTACATACTCTGACCTAGTGATTCTGCTTCTCAGCGTCTTTCTCAATGAATTAACCACAGAGGCAGACAGAGATGTTGGCCTAAGAATAGTCACTGCAGTGTTTTTTATAAAAATTGAAAAAATTTTCATATATTTAAAGGTTCTATATTAGGGCTTGTTCAGTAAGTTATGGTATATCCACATGGTGAAATATTATACAGCTATGTTTTAAAGAGTACTTACTGGCATAGGAAAATAAACATGATATGCTCATAAATGATTCAGCAGCATATAAAACAGTATATTACTATGTTTGCAATTTGTTTAAAAATATAGTCATAGTAAAAAACGAGAAAAAAGTGATTGGCAGTGGTTGTTGTTGAGTGGGAAAATTAAAGGTGGGTTTTATATTAACCTATAATTTTCTTCAATCTCTAAATTTCATATAATAAATACGTATGTATTACTAAATTAGAAAAAAAGCAAACAAAAAGAAATTGAAAGGTATCCCCCTCTGTAATACCAAGATGAAGAACATGTGCTTGTTTTAATTATCATTATTAATCTTTTCATCCCTTTTATACCTATCAGTGTTGACTCAACTCAATCCTGTCATATCATTTGTGATTATCCTATAATATTTTTGTATTCTTGAAATTCAGTATTTTCTCAATTTTAAACCTGAGTTGTTGAGCGTGTTTCTTTAGTGGTTTTTCCTAAGTCTTACTTGTTGCATCGTTCTTGCATGGATGTAATCTCTTGAACTGCCGGCATCGTTCCCACAGCCCCTGAGCTTTCAGGAGCGTGCTGGACGCTTTTTATGCGCTGGAGAAGCAAGGTCAACAGCAGCTGCTGCTTCTCCACACTCTCCTCATAGTGGCTTAAACAGCTCAGGAGCTCAGAGAGTTCCTCTGTGGTGGCTGCCTCTTTCGTTTTGGAAATTTCAGGGAGTTCTTCTTGATGATTATCTAAGATAATTGCTTCTCGTTCAATCTAATAACAAAATAAGAGAACTCAAATAAGTAAAATACACTCTTCCCATTTCAGGACTGGAAACCTACCTTGGCAACCATAATGTTTGTGCACTGGCTCTTCAAAGAGCTCCTGATGCCATATCCTATTTCAAAGTAACATGGCTTTTTTCATAGCTGGAACTATTATAACTCCACTATCAGAGTCCCATGGTTCCCAGCTATTGGTCATGTCCATGTGCGATTAAAATGAAGTCTTGCCGTTACGAGCTGAAGGAAACACTGTTGAGTATTTCCGTAAATAATTTCTTTTCCCTTCAGATTTCAGTTGCATAAAGCAATTATTTCTCCTGAGGTACCCATAAGGTAGTTACAATGAGCTCCACCAAACTGCATCTACTAAGTATAAGAGTTTGGGCAACTACTGGATAATTTTTCTGTCTCTTTTCTTTTACATCCGATCCCTATATGCTCAAAAAAGTAAGTCCAGTATATCCTCATTAGCCTGATGCCTACACCAAAGGGAAAGCGGCCCAAATTACTGAACTAATCATGTATTTATCGACAGCAATGTGCAGAACCCAGAAAAACATTACTGAATACATCACATAAGTGGAAACTGGAGCTCTATCAGCCCTGAACTCACAATGAATACAGAAAATCAGATCCCTTTTCTGTATCTCCTTGAGCCCTCTGGCCCTCACCTCAGCAACACAGCCCATTTGTCACATTCTGCCCCAGCACTGTTACCGTATTTCCCTATGTATAAGACACACCCATTTTTGAAAAATTTGGGGTCTAAAAACTGGCATCTTAGACAGTGGTTGTAGATTTTTTTACTTGCATTTCCCACAAGTGATGAGGAGTTGTATGAATTTTATGATTAATAAAATTTGAGTTCAATAACTTTATGTAATAAATTTTTTTCAAATTTTGGGCCCCCAAATTAAGGTGTGTCTTCTACATGGGAGCGTCTTATACATGGGGAAATACGGTAAATCTCTTCCTCTATGTTCCAACGAGGCAGGCATCTTGCCATTACAGAATATCACACTGGTCAACTATATTTATGATATCATGCTAATCAAAATGATGAACAAGAACCTAGATGCCAGAGGGTGGGAAGTAAAACCTACGAAAATTGAGGAATTCCAGAATCAATTAAGTGTCCAGGGGCCCAATGGTCTGGGACATGCTAGAACCTCTATAAGGTAAAGGTCAAGTTGTTCAACCTTGAACCTCTACTGCTAAGAAAGAGGCACAGCAGTGGATGGGCATACGGGATTTTGGAGGCAGTGTATGCTATACTTGGAAATATTGCTCAGATCCATTTATCAGAACACTGCCAAAGTTGAGGGGGGCCTGGAGAAAAAGAGGCGCTGCAGCAGGGTGGGCTGTGGTGTAAGCACCACAGCCCATCTAATCCAACTGAGTCCCAATCTCTAGAATACCTGGGTGCAGGTATAGACTGGCCTTTTTCCTAGAGACCCAGTTACGGAATTTATGCTTTCCATCCCCTCAAACCTAAATTCAGTTGGATTAGAAGTCCTGGCTCTTTTTTTTTTTTTCCAATCGGGATTGAGATAATCTTTACAGTGGGTCATTTTGTAGCCCCCTCACCAAAGAACCGGCATGCAAAGAAAGGAACTGCTATATTGACAGTGGTAATTGTACAACTAGGGTTTCCAATATGACTCCAGGTCAAAAGAACGACATCTGTAATCCAGGACTTGATGGAATATCTCGTGGTGCTTCTGTGCCCAGTGATAACCATAAATGGGCAACCAGGACCCAATAAGTGCAAAGCAGCTAAAGGCTCTGACCTGTCCTCTCTCAGTTGTCCTAGTTCCCAAGTCCTGTTCCCCAGGGTCACTTTCCAAAATAAACCACCTGCCTCCAGGCCTGTCTTAGGCTCTGCTGTCCGCTGTGGGTTGGTAAGTGATTAAGGAGGTGAACACAGGGGTGAAGAATAATTTTCATTAGGACAATAATTTTACTCAAAAGCCAGGTAATTCTTCAACTTGTGAATGGATAAACAAACTGTTATATACGTGCCCAGGGGATATCACCCAGGAATAAAAAGAAGCGAACTACTGCTACAAGCAGCAGCATGAATGAATCCCACATGCATTATGCTTAATGAAAGGAGGCCAACGCACAGGCCATACACTATCCGAGTCCCTTCATATGGTATTCTGGAAATGGCAAAACAGATCAGTGGTTGCCAAAGGCTGGGGGTGATGGAAGGGGACGCCTAGGAAAGGGCATAAAGAAACTTTTGGGGGTGATGAAAATGTTCTAAATCTTGATTTTGTTGGCAGTCAAATGACTGTATGTGCTTATCAAAACTCAACAAACTTTACACCAGAAAGGGTAAAGACAGCCCCCAAATCAGTAAAATAGTTGCTACAAAGATTATGCATTCACCTTTCCACCTAGAAGAGGCTTTGCAGTTTCTGAGTGATTTTCCTTGGACACAGAATTCTAACAAATTTGGTTATAAAGCTTAGGTTCACAGTCAATTAGAAAATAGAATCTAGAAAGGAAGAAGACACCCGAGTCGCACCATAAGTGAACACAGCGAAGGAGAACGAAAAACCTGTGACCAGCAGAAATAAGAGCTAATGCAGAAAGGGTTTTTGGACTTTTGGTACAAAGTGAAGAAACCAGCTTTATACCTCCTGCTATTTTGACTATTGGGCTTTATTCTAGCACATTATGATCACTGACGCATAGCATCGAACGATGATTCTGAATAACCAGAAATGAATAATTATATCAAGCAGATTCTGTTTAAGAAAACACAGAGGTAAGATTTTGGGGGGTGGGGTGGGGAGTAAATAAAAATCTAAATTTCTTTCTTAATTTGTAAATGTAAACAGAGCATTTGAGGTTTTCAAAAATCTATTTATGCAAAACCTTTATTCCATGAAGATACTGGATTATTGTATAACTACAGACATTTTAAAAACAGAAATCCATTATGTCGCATAAAAATTTGCCAATCATGCTAACAGGATCTTGTATGTACAGGTCTTTAGACATAATTTTATTGAATAGATGAAAGCTATTTTAAAACCTTACATCAATTTGGTATGTGTAAATATCATTTCAGTTGCTAGTTTAGTGGTTAAACATCCCGTTCTACCACGCACTTGTGAATTTGGGCAGTGTACTCAATCTCACTTTTCTTACCTATAAAGTGAGAATTACAAAACCATCTATCTTATAGGATTCTTGCAAAGATAAACGATAAGACATGTAAAGAGCTTAGAACTATGCCTGACACATGCTCAGTAAGTACTCATTAAGTGTCAGTAGTAGTTGTTTTAGTTATTACATGAGGACATTTTTGTTTTTGTTACTCTTTAAAAAACCCATTTTGTTAGCAGATACTGTCAAACACTTGTATGAATAATTAGAATTCTAGATGAACAGGCTCCAAATGAATAAAAATTACAAATGGGCTATAGCATGAGAGAGATAATTCAATAAAATACTGTACGGTTGGGCTGTTAAAAATGAAGCACTTACTTCTTCACTGACAAATTTCCACTCCTGCTTCAGTTCTTCACACCACATCTCCCATTCTTTAGCAGCTTCCAACACATTCAGCCATTTGTCCCACAGAATCGACGTGGTTCTGAACAAACACACGCCATCATTATCTGTGCAAGTGGGTCCCAGGTATCTGAGGACCCGTCGTAGTTTCATGAACTCTTGTTTGGTTGATGTAAGATTTGACACTAAGGCCTTAAAAAAGAAAAAGGAATACGAAGGATACAATGTCTATTAATTTTTCTGCAAGATATAGACTATTTTAAATATTGAACAATTAATGTTTTAAACCATCCACAAGTATTACATGACCCATTTTTTCATCCTTTTGGAAGCCAATTTGAGACAGATGAGAATTATCTGTGTATTATTGTATTGCACATGAATTTGGAACTATGGGGACAAATAATGACCCATAAACCAGTTTTTCCAAGTAAGAATGTGTTTTCAAAGATAAATGCCCAGAAATTCATTTTGTTATTTTAATGTATGTCTCTTATTTTACTAGATAGTTAATTTGCATAATACTGTTATCAATTTCCAGTGCATTCTTTAGGTTTTTTGTTTTTGTGTTTATTTTGGAGTAGATGTTAAACACAGATGAATTAGAATGCTCTCATCCGAATCCTAATAACATAATACCATAGACTCTAACAGATGAAAATAAGCAAAAACTAAAATTGTTTATAATAGAGTAAAAGAAGTAACCAGGATTTTGCACTTAGGACAGTTGCATTAAATTTTCTGTCACTGATCCAGCAACATCCAACAAAATCATATGAAAAGTAAAGCTTTAGAAAGAGTGATCAATAGGACAGCATGCTATTGGGGAGAGGGCTGTCCTGTGAACCCAACTGATCAAATCTCTCAGAACCATTGCCTCACATTTCCCCTTGGCTTTTGGTTTCAGGAATTTTCTTGAGTGTACAACTCAGGCTGAAGATTTCTGTGTGTCATGACAGAGCACCATTCCCTGCTGCTCCACCTGCTTTCCGCCATTGGTTTTGCACATTCTCTTACCGCAGATTTGCAAATACTATTACCTTGCTCTGTTCCAAGCGTTCTAAAGCTTCTTTGTAAGATACTGGCAATGGGGACATGGACTGCCCAAGAACTGTTTCCATGTGGATGAGGTTAGTGCCAAGTTCCTCTTTAATTTTTCTATAGCATTTGTAATTCTCGAGACACCTAGTGAGTTTGGAAAAAAAGTGATATTAAATTTTATTTAGTGTAAAAATTCTGAAATTCCCAGAATGAATTCTGAGCACTTAAATAAAAAACAGAATACAATTCTTTTTGCTATTCATTGTATTTCAATGAATTTTTATGGATTACCTCCTCCTTACAGAGACCTGCATAAGACTTTTACTACCAACTTTAATAGGAAGGTTATTCTCAAAACACCTGAATTGGAAAAATGCATTCTTTAATATTGCTAATAAGGTGTAAATTGGTACAATTCTTGTAGAAAACAATTTATTCTTAAAAATGTTCATATCTTTGACTCATTAATTCAACTTTTGTAATTAATCATAAGGAATTAATTCTAACACAGTATCCTAAAACTGACAAAGCCTTTTGCACAGTTTACTTATTAGACTATTAATTAAAATGGCAAAATTGAAACACTTTATGTATAACAAAAGATATGGCTGAACAAATTATAACAATCCATTTTATAAAATATTATATAGCAATTATAATTACTTTTATGGGATTTTTGTTACAATAAACGAAAAGAGCTCATGTTATAAATAAATAAAGGAAAAGGCAGTATATATATTTTATATACTGTAATGTGATATATTTAAAAACACTATGAATAAAATTATGTATACAAAACATATAGAGCCTAAATCCCCCACTAAAATCAATGAAGAATTCAGTATCAAGTATTTTTTTTAATTCTTAAAACATAGGAATAAACTGGCAAAGAATTAAGAAATATCCAGAGGCCCCAAACTAAATAAAAGTGGGAATACAGAGAAATAAAATAAGCTCTAGGGCCGTTTTTCATTTTGAGGGTATTTACCCGAGTTTCAGTTTTATTGACTTTCTCCTGTAATGCTGAGGACAGAGGATAAAGCCTGGTGCTTCCCCTAGGATGGGTGTTAATGGGAGACCTGTCTGTAAAGATATGTGTAACACATATAATCACCAAGGACCAACCTCCAAAATATAGAATAAATCCCTATGAATCAATCAGAAAAAGGTGGATAACCCAATGAACACTGGGTAAAGGCTTGAACAAGTATTTTTCAGAAGAGGAAATATGAACCAAGAAATACTCAAAAAGGAGGCTCAAATTCATTAGCAGTAACAGAGAAGCAAACTAAAAGCACAATGAAATATCACTTCAACAGCAAGTGTTGGCAAGGATATGGGACAATTGGAACACTAATATGCTACTGGTTTCAATAAAAATGGGTAAAATCATGTGGAATTAAAAATTTAAGATGTGCATACTTTTTTATCTGGCAACCACAATCCTAGGTATATATCCAAGGGAAGCTGAATAGTAGAGCTGTTTGTGAATGCAAAAACGAGAAACAACCCAAACCTGTATCAATAGCTGGGTGACTGTATTTTACTACAGATAAGAACATGAATAAATTTCAGCATCATAACGATGAGTTAAAAAAAAAAAGTCACAGAAAATACACATACATAAAAATGCAACACAAACACATAGTGAAAATATTTTTAAAAGCACATAAATTATTTAGGATAATAATTACTTCTGAGAGAAGGAAGGAGCACACAAGAAAATTCAAAACTTTTGTTTATCCTTGAACCTTTGGGTACAAAGCTGTTGATCATTATTCTTTATACTATATGCAGACTTTTATTAACATTCTGCTTCAAGGGGATTAAGAGGTACACAGTTATACTTATAAATAAGTCACGGGGATGTAATGTACATCACTGGTATTATAGTCAATAATATCGCAATAACTGTACAGTGACAGATGGTTACTAGACTTCTCATGGTGATCTCTTTGTAAGGTACATAACTGTCAAATCACTATGTTGTAATCTGAAACTAATATTGCTTGTCAACTATGTTTTAATTTAAAAGCTTTACATTCCAGAGTAGGAAAAAAAACAAAAAATTAAAAACGTTCTGCTGTATGTCCTCAATATGAAATAAGAAAGAAATGAATACAATAAAAGATTTGTTATGGTTTTCCTTAGTGAATTATTTTTTTACTTTTCTACATTTTCCAAATTATTTCTAACATGTACATGTGAATTATAAACAAATCTATATTTTATGTTCTTTAAGCATTACCTTAAGAAGTACCTACCTTTCTATTTCAGCTTCCTTTACTTTGGCTGCCTCCCTTAGGGCTGAGTTCTTCGAAACTAACTCCTGTAAAGTATACTGAAGCTGGAGTTTGCCTTCAGGGCTGGATATGGTCCCCAACTTCTCGGTGAGGTCCTGGATGTCTGCTATTGCGGAATCCAGTTCCTCCTGTTTCCAGTGAGGCATCTTCAGTGATTGTTCTGGATTCCCTAGGTCTACTCTGTGTGATGCAATGATGGCTTCAAGGGCAGTGATGATCCCCATCGCCCTGGTGACTGACTCATTATAGCGCGTCATATTTTCATAAGCGTCATTCAAGGCATTCTGGTGAAGAGGAGATCAAATGCTGTGACAAAACTGTCAAACTTTTGGGATTTTCGTCATTGTTGAATTTTTGAGGTGCATTCATAATATGCTTCTGGGTCTCTCATAAGAGTTAGCATCTCATGCTTTTAGTTTGAATGGTATTTTAATATCAATAATTTTTTGTTTGCATAAAGAAAAATTGTTTCCAGATTTGCTAGAAAATCAAATCTATATTCGAAAATACATATCATGAATCATGTCTAACGACATATGTTCCTGCTCTAGAACTCTTGTATTAGACCATGAATTAGATAAAATAATTGACTATATTTAATGTAGACAGCCTTACTCAATATTTGTGAAAAAAGATGAAAACCCCCAGACTGCTTGTGTTTCTAAATTAATGGCTCTGCCACTAACTTTAGTTTTGAGCACATCACTTAATGCCTCCAGACCTCGGTCTTCTCATTGAAATGACAAATAGTTGAAATAAATAACTTAGGTCCAATTCAAATCATATTATTTTGGGAATTATGTACATTACTTCTGGAAACTGTATTAAAATCAAGTAGAGAAGGATACAGAGAACAAACTGGTGGTTGCCAGAGGTGGGGGTGGAGGTGGGGTGTGTGAAATTAGTGAAGGGGGCCAAAAGCTACAAACTTCCAGTTATAAAATAAATCAATCATGGGCATATAATGTAAAACATGGCGACTATAGTTAATAACACTGTACTGTATATCTGGAAGTTGCTAAGAGAGTATCGTATTTCCCCATGTATAGGACGCTCCCATGTATAAGATACACCTTAATTTTGGGGCCCAAAATTTGAAAAAAAATATATTACATAAAGTTATTGAACTCAAGTTTTATTCATCATAAAATTCATACAACTCCTCATCACTGTCAAACTCCCAACCATTAGCTTGTCCTCATCTGTGTCTGATGATGAATCACTGTCTTCATATATTGCCTCGTCCTCAGTTCCATCTAAGGCATTTGAAATGCCACACTTCTTACATGACTTGAAAACGATCTACAACATCTGTATAAGACACACCCAGTTTTTAGTCCCCAAAATTTTCAAAAAAGGGTGCATCTTATACATGGGGAAATATGGTAGGTCTTGAAGGTTCTCATCACAAGAAAAAAAAATTCTATAACTGTACGGTGACGGATGTTAACTAGACTTGTGATCATTTTGTAATATATGCAAATATAGATAGAATCATGTTGTATACATGAAACTAATATAATGTTACATGTCATTTATACCTCAACAAAAAACGTGAAGTAGAGAAGTACTCAATATACTCAACATTTGTTAAGTACCATTTAAATAACATATTAGGGTTCATATAATGACTTTACACTTCTCTATAGCATTTAGACCTATCAAAATGTTGCAAATATATTATCTAATAACTCTTGGAATTAAAGGAGGGAGTTAATTTCCCCATTCTATAAATTTAATGTGACAATTCTGAAAACACAGCAAAAGGCATTATATTAAGCACAGTGTGTTCCCATGCTGCCTAAGATATCCACCCTAATTTCAGGAAAGGCAGGAGGATGTTGGAGTTGCTCTGCAACAGAGGTCAGTCAACTTTTCCTGTAAATGATCAGATTAAATATTTTAGGCTTTGCAGGCCATCTGGACTATCACAACTACTCAATCCTTTTGTTGTAGCATGGAAGCAGCCATAGACTGGGGGAGGGCTGTTTTCTAATAAAACTTTATTTACAAAATCAGGCACTGGGGCAGATTTGGCCCGTGGGCCTTCATTTGATGATCCCCTGCTCTAAAATCAGACTGTTACTGTTGCACAGCCTGAGAAAATTGTTGATGTTTCTGAACTTCAAGATCCTTATCTTAAAATGGGGCTAATAACTCAGCCCACTGAGTTGCTGAGATGATTAAAAGTAAAATGTCAGCCCAGTTCCTAGACATTGTAAGTTCTAAGTAAATGCTAGTTATTATTTGGTGTTCTTTTCTCTACGCCATATTTCTTCCATTTTGCCCTACATTTCTAAAAAACAAAAACAACTTTGTTCTAAGCTCAACAGATGCTACAAGGGATATAGAAACAAGGTGTCAAACTCATCTTTTTCTAACCTGTTGATTTAGTTTACTTAATTTTAGCACCATGTTTAGATGCAGAATGAGATGGGATTACAAAATGGCCCTTTGCAATTTTTTAAATGGCTCTTCTCCTACAGAGAATTTTCCTGCAGAACCTGTACCTCCTTGAGAAGTGCAGATGCTAACTAGAGCAAAACATAAAATCTTTGAAATAAAAATAGATGCATTAATGACTTAAAACTTTTCAAAACTTACTGTGCGCAAATCAATGCTTGTATTAAGCTGCATGTGAAGATCTTCAATGTCACGTAATTTTGCCTCCACATCACTAGCTTCAGAAGAGTGTCCTTCTCTTTGCTTCTCGGTAACAGTTACAGTTTTAATACTGTACATTTCTGCCTGAACTTGCTCTTGAAATGCTTCGCAATTATCCATTTCATGTTGAATATGTTCAATTTTCAAATTTATAAGTAAAGGCTGCTGTAACTGAGATTTTATCTGGTTCAAAACATGTAAGGAATTTTCTAGTTTGTTCTGAAAATTCTTTTCATCCATTGCTTTTGGTTGGAATTCTAGTACTATGTTTTGCAGAACCTTGTGTAACTTATCGTTTTCTTCTGCACACAGCTTTATTTGTAGTATTTCTTTCTCTTTGAATGATTCACCAAAGGCCGTATTTTGACTTAATTTCTTCATTATCTCATGATGCAAGCACATGGCTTTCTCGATTCTCTGATTCAAAATTTGAGCATTGAGCAGATTGCTTTCTGGTGAAGTATTAGGGGCTTTTAGTACTGCTTCAGCCCTTTTCTTAATTTGCAAATCCATTGCCCCCAATTTACTTAGTGATGCTTGATACTTGCCATATTCTGCCATAAATGTGTCCAACTGCTTAATTTTTTCTTCAAGTTCCTTTTCTTTTTCAAATATTTGGGATTGTAATTGGTCAAGTTGGGTACAATCCCACTTGAGTCCCATATAGTGAAACACTTCTTTGAGCTTCAGTGCTTGTAGGATGCTAGACTGAATTTCAGTGAGTCGGTCTTTAAGACTATAAAACTCCTCTTTAACATCCTGATTTATTTCTTGATTTAGTAGCAGTTCATTGTGCTGTATATTATCAAGCTCCTTCTGAAGCACAGATGTTTGCTCATTGAATTTTCTGGAAAATTTTATCTTGTGTTCTACTTCATTACATTTATTCTGAATGAATCTTTGTGTTCTGTTGGCTCTAGTCTTAAGATTTTTCAATTGATCATCCAGAAATAATCTTTCAAACACACTTAGATCCTTGCAAATGTTTGTTAGTTCCTGAAGATGGTTTGAGATGACACTCTCAATTTCTTGCAATTCCTTCTGAGAAGACATCAAAATGACACGCTGCTGTTCTAGCTCAGCCTCTGTGGAGGTCGTTTCCATTTTGGGAATTGTCAGTGTTTCATTTCCTTGGAGTGAAAGCTGAACCTTCCCTATTGCTGCAACAAACTTGCTTCTTTCTTCCAATTTAAATTCCAATAGCTGTGATCTTTGAGTTGATTTTAAAATGAGCATTTGGCATAGATTTTGTAAGTCCTGTAGGAGGTGATTTAAATCTTCACTCTCACGTGCTGTAAGGTTAGGAATATTTTCTTTGACCTCTTTAACCAATGACTCCACAGCCTGCTGCTTATCCAGAATGTCATCATGTGTCACTTTGCACTTTCTGATCTGTGAGAGGACGTCGTCTGGGAGAAGGGAGATGGTAGGAGGGAGTTCACCTAACAGCTTCTTGGCCCATAAGATAGTCTCTTTCACCTTGTTCAGTATTTCGCACTTCTTGATCTGATTTTCCACCACTGTGTTTAATGGCTCCATTGATTCCAACTGCTTCTGCAAGTTATTTATTGCATCTTCCAAAATCTTCTTTTCTTTTTCTCCCCAAATCCTCTTCATCTGAAGTTCAGCCCGCCCCTTTAACACAGAAAACCTATGCTCGATAGCCTGGTGTTCAGTGGCCAAGGCAACCATACTTCGGTTCCCTTCCTGTTCTTCTGGAAATCTCAGTCTTAACTGGAGACTCTGCTGCTGCTGCTGCTGCTGCAGAGAAAAGTCAAGGTCTTGGATGTTAGTCATAAAAAACATAAACTCCTCATGTTCCTCTGCTTGCTGAGAACACTTCTTCTGAATCAGTTGTACCACTTGATCCCATCCATGGTCAAGTTGCTTGATCTGGCTTTCAAACAACTTCTTATCCATGTCACTCAGGGAGTTTGATAAATTTTTCCATTCAGTTTTTATCTTGCTTAAAGAACCTTTTTCTTTTTCTATTGATGCCATCAATTTTTGAATTTTGGCCACATAGGCTGCGTTGTCCAGTGATCCCCTAGAAAAAGAAGAAAAATGGAGCTTGTCAGTATTTATTATATATCATCACAGGTTAGATGTCATTAAAAGAAATTAATTCTGCTTTGAATTCATAGAAGAGAAGATTAGCATTCTGTCCTTAAAATAAAATCAGAATCTTGCTTACTGTGGTTTTTAATTAGTTTGTGAGAATGTAGAGGGTTCACCTATAAAATTAATATCATAAAAATTCATAAAAAAAAAATCCAGAACCACAGGGAAGGAGTCAAGAGTGAAGGGAGCAATGCATGTAAAAACACTGTAACCTGTAAAGTACTTGCTCAAAGGTTATTCTAGGACTAAGAGAAATTATTCAACAGCCAATCCCATTGTTATCTTCTTTCCAATAATAATGATAAAGATATTGACTAAGAAGATATAATCATCAAGCCAATCTTTTTTTTTCTTTCAGGCTGATCTTTTGAATATAAAAGTGTTTGATTGTGGGGTATCATTGAAACAAAACCCCGTTTACACATATGTATAAAATAAACATTTTTACTAATGAGAAAATGTTTACACATTAAGACTATCACCATTTGCCATCATTTTCAAAGCCAAAAGGAGTGCATTGTTTTAAACATAAACTATTATGATACATATATATCAAATATATTCCAAACTATTTAAACCAATTATGCTGCTACTAAACAATTGCATATATAAATGTTTATCTCCATCCCCAGTTTAGAATAAGTTCTTGACAAAAAAGAATTCCACAGAACTTAAACCTATTTTGCAGGTATTTATAGTGTGAATTAACTGTTTAACAAATTAATTTTTTAAATAATACAAATTAATTGTAAAATTAATGTAAATAATATATATTTTTTTGTATAGCACCAACAGAGTTTTCCTCAATGGCTTCCTTATGGAATTAATTTCCATACTGTAGTATTACAATCATAAGATCCTGTATGCAGTGGTTCTCAACCTTCCTAATGCCGCGACCCCTTAATACAGTTCCTCATGTTGTGGTGACCCCCAACCATAAAATTATTTTCGTTGCTACTCTATAACTGTAATTTTGCTACTGTTATGAATCGTAATGTAAATGTCTTTTTGTTTTCCAATGGTCTTAGGCGACCCCTGTGAAAGGGTCGTCCTGCGACCCACAGGTTGAGAACTGCTGCTGTATAGTATAAACTGTTAGAACCCTGGGCCTGCTGCAACTAATGGAGCATGTGCTTGAATAAAATGGATGCAAGCCCCAAATTTTTACACTTACACTTTTAGACTTTCCTTTTCTGTCAACAAGGTTTTCATCAAGGATTCAACTGCAGCAAGGTTTTCCTGAAAAGCTTCTAGGAGACAATATTGGCTTTCTTTCTTTTTCTTCAAAGTAGTAAGTGCCTGAAGCAGACTGTCCAAGTGTTGCACTGACTTCCTTGTACTGTGGGGAGCCAAGGCATCTGTCTCTGCTTCGTTGAGATCTTCAGTTTGTTCTGGTGGTTCAATGGTGGCTTTCTTTGCTTCCAGTTGGGTATATAATTCCTAAAAACAAGTCAAGGAAATCAGTAGGTATATATTCATTCATTCATTCATTCATTCATTCATTCATTCTCTTGCCTGTCCTCATTCCTTCTAATAACAAACTCTATCCCAATTTGTTTTAAATATTTCATTTGCACACAGACAAACTTAAATCCTGACATTTAAAAGATTTTCCAACTAGAATTATGTTAAAAATCTAGACTAAAACTCACAATTGATGTAGTATTTAATAGCAATTAGATCACCGTATTGTGTTAAAAGGTTCTGCAATGTCAAAAGATTTCTCTTATTTTTATTATTTACATACGTCACCCCCTTTCATGTTTTAGATATGCGTTTACTGTTACGTTAACTTAGTTAAAATTGTAAGGGTCATTTAAAAAAATATGACCAGGTATTGTACTTTTAGATTACTTTACATAGCTATAAGTACATAAATACATAAACACAGCTATGTAAACACAGCTGTAAAAACAGAGTACCCCAGAATGTTGATAATTAGAAAGAAATTTGTTAGAATCAGAAGAATACATATGACTAAGAAAAGGCATGATGACAAGTCAGAATCTTAAATTTTGTTACTGAATAAGTAAGTTTTTAGGAACTTTGTGAAAGAGAAAGAACACTAATGTTCATTAAACTCTCCCACTTTTTAAATGGAAAGAGTTATACAACTTACTGATTAGTACATAATTATATAGTTACCACATTGATCATCAGGCAAAGGTTAACTAAGACTTTTCACTCTGTGCAAGCAAGTTTTTGGTAATTAAAATATATTGTATTGCACGGATAAATGATGCAATCATGTTGTCAGTGTGTTTCTTATTTCCATACCTCTATCTCTTTTAATTGTTCATTTCTTAACATAACATCTAATTCTAAAGGTTGATTTTGCAGCTCATTGACTTTCTGCTCATCTTCAGTGTTTTTCATGCTTTCTTGAACATTGAGAGAAAGTTGTTTTGACAAAACCATTTCCACAGCTGAATTCTGAAAACATAAAAAGATTAATTGCTAAACAGTCTACTTTCCAAAAAATTTTTATTTTTCTTGATGAAAACATCTGTGTCTTCTATTTACTCAGATTAAAGACTTTTTTAATACGTATATTGAGAACTACCAAAGATAATTTTTCCATGCAATATTTAATGCTGATATTGATATCCCCCCCAAAATTAAACTTTTTTGACAAGATGGTATAGGTTTTAGCAATGCTCAATTAGATACAGAGGCATAATCCATATAATCAAAGAAAAAAAAATATGAAGACAGGAAAAGTTCCAAAGTTTATACTCAGTATTCACCATGATGCAGAGGGCAGGACAAATATTGGCAGTTTAAAATAATAAGTGGATAAATGGAGGGAAAACCAAATATTAGGAATGAATTATGCCTTAAACCAATTAGTAGTAAGAATTCTAATCTGGGTAAGGCAGAACAGGTTATCTATGGAGTAATTTGATCCTTTATGAAAGCTATATTGAGGTTCTCAATAGGATGGAGAGAGCATCTGCACTCATTTATTCATTCTTTTAACAAATATTTGTTGACTGCTGACATGTACCAGACACCATGTCAGTAATTTTCAAAAATTTCCATAAGTTTGCTAAGATATTAGTTGTTATTTTCAGGTTACTTTATAAATGAAATACTATTTAATTCTGCTATATACTTTCATGTGAGTAAAATCTTTGAGGTATCAAGTCTGTGTCCACATCCCCAAACAAGGCTAAATCTGTTGTCTTAAAAACACTGTCTACCAAGTGGCTCAGTTGGTTAAGAGCTCGCTCATGAGTTTGAGCTCTGAGCAACAGCAGTTCGATGCCTGGCCCGAGCTGAGCTGCTGCTGAGCTATTGATGGCTCAGCTAAAAAAACCAAAAAACCAAACAAAAACCCACAACACTGTGTAGATAGTAACGTAAGACATTAACAACAGGGACCCTTGGTAAGGGATACCTGGGAACTTTCTGTACTATCTTTGCAGTTTTTCTATAAATGTGAAATTATTCTAAAATTAAAACTCTTTAAATAAGATAGATACTGTTTGGAGCTCCACCAATATTAACTGGTGAAAAAATTCAGCTGACCAGTGTTACAGGGTTTGAAGTACTTAGTTGGCACTTAGCACAAGTCACTTCTTTTTTTTTTTTTTTAAGATTTTTATTGGGGAACTGGAGCAGACAAGTTGCTGTCCTTTTGTTCTTCAGTCTAGTTGTGGAGGATATTGCTTCACTGGCCCAAGTTGGCACCATCATTGCGCTCTTCCCGGGCGAGGCACATCAGTCGCCGGCTTCTGGATGGCCGCTCACTGCGGCTGCTGGCTGCTCACGCTGGCTGCTGGCTACACATGGTAGCCCATGGCAACCCACCGCAGCAGGGGCTGCAGCCTACGCCGTCGCCAGTGACTCCTGGCAACCCAGCTCCAGGTTGAGCCAGTTGTTCAGCATCTTAGCTGTGGAGGGCAGTGTCACGGGCCCTCATATGTGGGATCCGAACCGGGGCCCTCTGGCATCCCAAGCCAGCTCTTAACCAATGCGCCACTCGGCCAGCTCACAAGTCACTTCTTTAAAAATTATTGAAATGATTAAAATGATTTTGCAAATTTCTTCCTGTTCAACAATTCATTATGGTTAAAATGTATATGGAGGGCAGCATCTCAGGGAGAAAGATCCCAGAAGGCTGTGAGAGGAAAGGAGAGGTGCCACACCACAGGCTTTATGGGCTAATGGAGGCACTTTGCCACAAGCCACAGGATCTGAGGAGGACATATGCCTCTTTCCCACCTGATGGTTACGGTTACTTACAGTATCCCCACACTCCACATGCGGAACAAGATCTTTAGGTCTAGACTCTAGGAAAACTTTACTTATTACTAATCATCTACCAAGAATTCACAGCCCTCGGTCTCTCTTACCTGACAGACCAGTGACGTAAGAACTAGGAACATCTGTAATGTGCCATTTGTAATCTGCCCTTAGTGGTCAGAGAGAGCATTCTGAAAAATGTGACATCACCCCCAAAACACGATTTGTTTACCAGCCTCAAACACTATGTTTCTACCTTGGCAGAAAGTCCAACAGAATCCCTCAAATGAACATTTCAAATTTAAAAGGTAACATTCCTTTGCTGACGCCAGAGAGTTTGGAACACACCCTCAAGGGCCTGACTGGCTCCTAGAAAGATTCTTTCATAACCAGCAACCCTTTGCGCATCACCCTGGGTTATATTTTATTTTGATTCTGCAGGCTTTTTAAAACATTTTAAATTATAAGCTATTCCAAACATGCTTAAAAGAACAAAATATAACAGATACTCATCACTCATAACACAGCTATAAATAATATAATTTTCCATATTGAAAATATCATTTCAAGCTCAACCCTCATCCCTTTTTCATCTCTTCTCCCGTAGAACTAACCACTAACGTGCACACATACATGTTTTTATACTTTTAATACATATATTAGTATTCACACAGTATTGTTTTATTATTTTTAATTCTTACAAAATTGGAATCACGTATGCATCATTTTATAATGTGTCCTTTTGCGACTTAGCAGTTTTGCGGTTGATCCATGTTGACAGATATAAAACTAGTACAAGTCATTTTAGCTTTGTGTACTGTATGCTGTCTGCATGAACATGACTTATTTATTGGTCAGGCTACTATGAACGATCATATTTTTCCATTTTCCTATTATAGATAGTGCTGCGATAAACACCCTTGGGTGGGTCTTGCACACATGTGTTGAGTTTCTTTAGGATAATTTCCTTGAGCTGTAATACTGGTCACAGAATATGCTCCTTTTGATTTTCAATAGTTACCAATTTGTTCTCCAAACTGAATTACAGTTTTTATTCCCACCAGCATGGTAAATTAATTCGTATTTTCCCGAATCCTCTCCACTATTTGGTGCTAACAGACTTTAATTTCTGCCAATATAATGGGTGTAAAATCGATATGATTATTGTTTTAGTGGTATTTCCCTAACTGCTAACAAAACTGAAATATTCTTCATATAATCATTGAGCATACATATGAATCTTACTTCTGTGACTCACTTTTGCATCTCCACTGTCTACTTTTTATTGTGATGTCTGTCATTTTTGGTGTTTTTTCATATTCTGGATACAAATCTTCTAACAGTTTTATGCACTGCGATGATTATCTTCTGGTAGATTATCTTTAAACTTTGTATGAAGTGTCTTTGTTGAACAAGAGTTTAATGTTTTAATACAGTCAAATTGATCAATCATTTCTTGTCTTGGCTTCTGCTTTTTAAAGCCTGTTTAAGAAAGTCTTCCAGACCGAGATCACAAAAATATTCTTTATATTTTCCTGCAAAAGTTTTACATTTTTCCCTTCATATTTAAGTTTCCCTATAATATATTGTTACATGAAGTTTGTGATGGGTAAATTCAGTCTTTGTCTGAAAACAAGTATTTTGCCTCACTCTAAAATGATAGTTCAGCTGGATATTAAAGCGTAGGTTGATGGCTATTTTTCTCCCAGTCCCATGAAAATGCTATTACATTGCCTCCTGGCTTTCAGTGTTGAGGAATCTGTTGTCAACATAATTGTTCTTTTTTCTCTGGTTGCCTTGGAGGTTCTACTTTTTGGCATTAGTGATTTATTATTTAACTACAATGTATTTATATAATAATTTAGCTTTATTTAGCCTGTTCAAGGCTCTTTGAACTTCCTAAGGATTCATATTTTTCCTCAATTCTGGAAAATTCCCAGCCTTGCTTTTCCTTCATTCTCTCCTCCTAGACCTCACCAGATTTGTGTTAGACAATCTCAGTAAAGCCTGTGGGTCTTTTAAAATCTCTTTCCTATTCTCTATCTTTTTATAGCCCTATGTTAGATTATGGGTGATTTTCTCATGTTCAAGCTAACTGTCTCTCCATGCAGTGTCAAGTATGCTGCTTAACCTGGCCAGAGAAACCTAAATTTCAATGACTATTCTTTTATTTATTGAAATTTCATATGGTTCTTTTTTAAATCTTCCCTTTTTTCTCAAAGTATTTAATTATCTCCTTATGATTTCAAACCCTTCTTTTATGTCATTAATCCTTTTAAAGATATTATTGTATAGTATCTTCCAGGCTGCCACATTATCTCACTTTCTTAGTGTATTAATTCCTCTCATTTGTAGTGAGAGGACTCTTCTCTGTGGTGGAGTGTTCCTTTGTGTTATGGATTGATTGATTTATACTAACTCATAGTTATCAGACTTTCTGTACTCCTCTGTGGGAATCCCTTCGGCCTGACTGGTAGAAGTGACCCCTCTGTGGGAATCTGTATTTGCTTCCTCCAGGTACTAAGCCCCTGAACACCTAGTCTTTCCCTTCCCAGTGCTCCTGGAATTTCTTTTTGAAAAAACAAATCTATGATTAGCATTAACTTAAAACAAAGCATAAATTTTAAACAGTGTAATAAGTGTACATATTGAGCCTCTGAGCACAAATGGAATTTTCAAAATTAATAATAAATTTAAAGTGGAAGCACCATTCTATCAAAAGCCTGGTTGAGTTATGTTGCCAACTATATTTACTTTAAAAACAAAACAAAATTACTTGTTTTCAATCACCTATCTTTCCTTAGAATTTGATATGTTTGGGGAAAAAATAGGAGGTAAGAGAAAGAATATCATCAACTTTCTTTAAGGACAGGACCATGACATTTTTATCTTTCTGTCCCTTACTTCACAAAGTAAACATTTTACTTTGACATTGAAAACACTGAGTTTTAAACAATTGAGCATTGTCTCTGGTTTAGCAAATCTATCTGCATAGCCAAAGAAGTAAGCCCGTAACAGCCTCACTATCCCTTTTCCCACTCGGGGCAAATGGTTCCACGACTATAATAATTCTGTGACAGTAAGAAGCCCAAATCTATCACTTGTAACCTGCCAGCCAACAGTGGGACAGTGTCATACAGGCTCTAGAGGATATATTTCTTTCTTCTCTAAAGCATTTCAATATGAAGTAGTGAAAAACAATTCTAAGCATAAGCACATACATCATCACCATTAGAGACAAAACTGAAAGGCAGATCAACATAGTCCCAGAGGCTGCCTCTTTATCGTAGTATGATGTCTAAAATGTTAACCTGACATGAGGCACTCATGACTCACCAGCCTCGTGTACCTCTCAGGCCTCATACAGTCCTCCACCCTCGATGCAGTGGAGTTTTTTCAGCTTCTGACTGCTCATGCTCTCTATTACCACAAGAGGAAATTCTCCTTTTTCTGTCAAGAATGCTCCCAAAACCCAGCCCTGAGCTCTGTTAACTTCAGTCTCAGTTCAAACGTTGTTTCCTTAGAGAAGTTCTCTACTTGGCAGCTCAGGTCAGGCTCCTTTATTACAGACTATCATGGAAATGTGTTCCTTCCTTTAGTCCCTGTAATTAGTATCTCATTAGTTAATTAGTTGATTAATGTATGTCTCCTCCTCTAGACTAGAAGCTCTAGGAAGCTAGAGACCATGTCTATTTTCACTCACCACTGAACCCTCACTGCCTGTTCGATAAATTTTTACTAAATGGATGTACAGATAAATTCATATTGAAAAAAATAAGAAAATTTTATTTAGTCTTCAATTATTAAGACTGACAATTTGTGGGCTGTAAAGAAAAATGGAAAGAAGTTGAGGACCAGTCAATCTCACTGTTGTTGACCAGACATCTGCTGGGAATGATAAAAACAGGGTTTGGTTGGGCTTAACGAGAACAGAGAAGCTTTCAAACACCCACAAGAAATCAATAAAGGGTCCACTGAGGTCAGATAGCATTAGCATATTAAACCTCAAGTAACATGTTACATAACACATTCGATAAAATAGTGTGGTAACCACCAAGCACCAGACTGGTAGAGGATGCCTGGGTTCTAGTCCCAGCTCTTCTACAATGAGGACTTGGCCTATCTCTGACTTCAATTCCCTCCCCTGAAACACAAGGGTTAGGCTAGGAGTTTTCTAAGGTCTCTCAGCATAAGATTTCAGGACTTTGGAAAATGTTCTCAAATGCGTGCTGCTCGCAGATGTGAATGCCAGGTACACTATGTAAGTCACGAGTCCTGTACAGGAATGAATCTTGGATGGTAAAAAATGCCTCAGGGTAAGAAGCAAGATTTGCATGCCGGCCACTTTGAAGATAGAGTTGACACGTGACCCAGCTACATGTTCCATTCCAATTTTTTTTTTTTTTTACTGCGTTACAAGGATAAACAACACCAGAAACAGACATCATTTCTCCTGTGACTGAACACTATTTCTCCAGTAAGTGGTTTTCCCTCTCATTCTGGGACTAACCCATGACGCCCCTGGTCTCTCCCTTCCAGGTTTTGCCTGTATCTGTGGTCATCTGCCTTCTGGGGTTTCTCTAGGGATGCTTTCTTAAACACTGAAATTATAAATGCTCAGAAATTTTTGAAAAGAATAAAAAACAATTCATACCTACTAACAATTGTACCTAATGACAAGGAAATTAAAGAAGTAATGATAGACAAAAGGTTATTTTAAGTGCAATGAATTCATGTAAGTTGACATTTGGGAACGATGGGGCAAGAGAGAGCATTCAGTAAGAGTTAAACTGTAATGTTGTTTTATAAATTTTTAGAAAAATAATAAAATTAAGAATCTATTGAGTTCTCTGTTTTTCCTCTTTATCATTTCACTTTATGGACACCTACAATCTTAAGAGATGAATCAGTCCTCACTTTTTATCATATTCTAATTTGTTACTTCACTTAACCTATAAAAATTTTTTTAAATAATAAATTTTAAAATCATCTTATAAAGTATCATAAATAATCAATACCTATATAGGAAGAGACAGATGGAAGAGAGACAGTTCTGCCTTTCCATACTTAAAAACTCTTATAATAAAAATAACACCTATAAAAATATCCAGTATGATGTTGGATTATAAGCACCCACACTCTTCAGACTGCGTTTTGTGCCTCTAAGTCTGCCTCTGCCTTAATATTTTTGATATTAAAGAAAAAATCAGCCAAAGGCCCAGATCTAAAATATCCCATAAATTTCTTTTAAAATGAAATTCTTGGCAATGGATTCAAATATACACACACTATAATGGCAAATTTTGAAAAGTGCAATCACATTTTCAACAAAACTCTAAGATCAAATGAAATTTACTAAAGAAAATTAAAACTTCCTAAAAATTCTTCTTGGGATGATTTAAAAGAATCACATTCAAGTCCCTCCAAAAAGGCATATAAAGTGAACATTAATTAGATATTTAACTAGTGTTAGATTTTAAACTGTGACAACTGTATCCCCGTATTCTGGCAGAATGGCTAGCACAAAAGAGGTCTCAAAAAATGTTTTTAATGAATTAAGTGCTTGTTTTCACTATCACAATGTATTTGATTAGATTTATATTTCAGTAAATTGTGCTTTTATTTGCTCTATGTGTTCATTATATTGAATCTCCTGCTTAAGTAATTTATACTGTCTTATGTAAATATGTCATATGATACCTGTATTACATTTGTCTATGCATATTTTAATCCCTTTTACTAGTTGTTGTTCAACTTTAAAATTGCTCTTGATCTTACAGTCTAATGTTATCTTATAAAGTAAATATGGCCAGTACTTAAGAGTACAGAAAATAAGAGGCACAGATTCAGAAGAAAGGTTCACGTTACAAAAGAGTAAATAAATAAAATGTTCCTGTAATCCAGACCTGTGAGAATTATTTGAAGCCTTAAGTCCCTCCATTTGTTCTGAAAAAAACCCATCATTTTAATGAAGTATCGTAAATTACCAATAACTCGTCCTTCAAGATTTAAGTAGAAGCTTAATAATAAATTAAAAAAAAATTCTTAGTATTAGATTGTGCTCTTTATTTAGCTTTCAGTATGCTCTACTGAATTTTGGGGGGTTCACAGCCAAAAAGGGTCTGAGAAGCTAGTTCCAAGGTTATTAAACAACTCTCTTTAGCAACGTCTTGTATTAGGATAGAACACACTCAGATATTTTTCCTTATCTACGCTGTTAAAAATTGTATTAAGAAAATTTCTGTTACACATGGAACATCAAGAGTCCCACTCAAAGGGCTCTTAATCCTTTAAGACATATTTCCTTAGCAATATCTAACACCATGGGATTTCTAAGAAGTCTTTTCTCATAACCAGAGAGATGTTCCATTGGCACTTATCCTGGTTTTACACCCTTTTAGAAAACCCTATCTGGTTCCTCTCCATGCACTGCTGTTCTAGGAAGACAACAGGAGTGCATGTGCTCATCATTCCTGTTGATTACTATTCCATAAAACACCGATGAGAACTCACCCCTGAATGGTCTAACCTTCGCTATTGTCCCGCTGGACCCTGGACTGTGAGATGCTGCCTGCCAGGGAGACCCTTTCAAATACTGTTTACTGGATGGCTCTTTGTCTGTGCCTTTTCCATTTTAATCTCTAACCTATGAGAAAGCACCTTAAGAATCATGGGAAAATGTACCTATTTGGGTGTTTAGAATGAAAACAAAACAACATTCTTCTTTCTTCTCTCCAGGGAAAATTAAGAGCCTGAATGTTGATATTCTCACACCAAATGATCTGACAACATTGAAAAATACATTTGCAGTATAGGGTTAATATAAAAAGAAAAAGAAAGGGACCTATCCTTTCAAACAGTCTCTGATTTCATTATAAATACAACCAAAAAATGAGGGGAGGGGGCTCCTGGATTTTTTCGAAGAAAATGGGTAAAGCACATTTTCTTTTCTTTGCCTTTTCTAATTTGTCTTTGTGCTCTTGACCCAAGAAACTGTATCTGATTACATATCAGAGAGAATAATAAACCTAAATTGATGATTGACATTCTAACAGACTGAACAGTAATATTTCACCACTGAAAGCCTGGACAGTTTTCTAAGGGCTCTTTTTACAAGTGGGCAACGTAAATAGCCGGCACATTGAGGGTTTAATTATGAAATCAGAAGGCCTGATTCACGACCCTCTCTTCAAAGCCCAACCTCTTCATTCTCAGACTTGACGTCTTAGAGATGCAATCACAAGCACTTACCTTGTTTATTTCCCAGTCTTCCTCCAACTTTTCCACTGCAGCTGAGTCCTGAGTGGACTCCTGCACATCAGAGGTGACCTGTTTCTCTCTGCCTGGCAGCGTAAACTTTTCTTTCTTTTCTGTTGAGCCTTTTGATTGGAGAATGCTGTTGAGACAATTTTCCATCTCCTGCTTAGCAGATTCAAGTCTGTTTTCCAAATCTTTTTGTTTATGCTTAAGTGATTTTATATCATCTTTAATAATCTTCTGTCCCACTGAAGATGTATTTTGCTTGATGGATTTTGCTAAACCTAAAATCTTCTCGAATGTGCCATCTTGTAAATGGAGTCTATTCTCCAGTTCCTGTGAGTGGAGAAAAGATTGTCAAAAGAAGTATCTCTGTTCAATTGTCATAAGAGTTAATTGACTTTTGTAAATCACAGCATATTCTGCTTCACTAGTAGGAAGTATAAAAATTTATCAACTCAGATCACAAAGAAACTTTGGGTAAAATTTAAACCAATATAGAATCCCAGATCAAATTCTCAAACAGATTTTATATGTAACTAGAAGTTTATAAGAAGTAACAAATTTTCACAAACTGTTCCTGGAACTTTGGAGGCAGTCAATACCTATTTGTTGAGCATATATTTAGTTCAAGATAGAGCCTTTTTGCACAATCAAAACAGTAAAGTGCCTACTATTAATACTTGCAAAACATTTGGGGAAAAAAGTAAAAAGGATCATTTAGGATGTGCCCATATGAATCTAAGTGTCAAAATTTTAAACTAAAATTTAAGCTTAAATCTACGTAGTGGAATATGTTAGATATAGCAGGAACTCAATCAATAGTTACCGGATGCATGAATGAGTGAGACTAATTTGAAAACTCTAGACTTAAAAGGAATTTCAGGTTCTGTGGTAGCTACAGATATTACTGTTGAAATAGAATAAGCTTTAAAGTTACTAGGTGAACAATGTAGGATTAGTCACTACCCTAATGGACCACACAATAAATATTCATTCATTCAACTAACAGCCAAGTATTATGATAAGTTTTGAAGTTACATAGGTGAATAAAATGCAGTCCCTTCAAGTTCCTACAGTCTAATGAGAGAGACACAGACGTAATCAGACAATCGGAACAGAATATGAAAAGATCTGTGCTAACAAATATGCACAGGTCCCTGAAACATTTTAAGCTGAAAGACTGGCATTTTAGGAAGACATGGGGCAGCCATGGGGAAGGTGCAGCCATTAGAGAGGGTGACACTGCAGGCAGGGAGCCCACTCGTAAATCTAATACAGAGATCTGTGAGATGAGGGCCTGCTGGAAAGCAGGGGTCACGGGGGAGGGACAAACTGTAGAGATACTCCAGAGATGAAAGAGACAGCGCTTGATGTCTGACTAGATTGGAGAGTCCGGGAAAGGGTATCCAGGTTTCTGACTTGAAAGCCTGGAGAGATGGTAGAGATATTAATGGAGTCAGAGAATACAGTAGATAAAACAGGCGCATTGGTAGAGAGCCAGGGGAGGAGATGATGCATTATTTTTTGGACATGCTGAACTATAAATAGCTGTGAGACATCCAAGTAGAGATGTCTAGTGGGAAATTAGAAAAAAGCACTCACCAGACTGGGGTCTGAAGGCTTGGGTTGTAGCCTCCGCTCTGTCATTTAACCTGAGTCACCTTGAAAGTCCCTCGCCTCCCCCAGGACTTAGTTTACCACGTATAAAATGAGGGTTCTGAACTTGATAGCCTCTAAGGTTCCTTCTAGCTGTAGCACAAAGTCTGTATTTTAATTTTTCAACTGAAGTCTGAGCTCCTCAGGGTAAGGCTCATGCCTTATACCTTTCTCAGCATCCGAGGTACTCAGGCAGTGCCTTGGACACGACAAGCCCTAAACACCTGTCAAATGGCCACTGCTAAAAAGGGAGGCAGACTTGTCTTAATGTTAGGCCATTATGAAGGAGAAGTCTGGCTTTCTGGCTTGATTCCCAGGTCCCTAAAAGGAAGAGATCAGACATTCCCAAGCTCGCGCCAGCAGTGCTGCCCTGAGACTTACCCCGTGAACTCTCCAGTCATGGAACTACGAAAGGAAGAGTTGAGAAAATGCTTTACTTTGTATTCCTTCTAGAAGACACCACTCGCGCCTGCTTACGTTGGCCACGCAAACAGTGAGAATCCAAGGAATGTGCTCTGAGGATGTGGGTCAAGGGCTGCAGTTCTCACTGTCTACGGCTAGGTGTTGTTGGAGCTGAGAGTGAGAATTTGGAAGCCCTATGTCTGGAGAGAGCTCTGATGGAGTCCATGAGCCTGGAAATTAATAAAAACTACCCAAGTCCCATCCACCCATGACGAGGAATGCAGAACTGAAACATTTCCCCCTGGATCTTACTCTATTACCTGCCTCCTTGACTACCCAGTTATATCCTGGAATCAAATGTCTCTCAAGCAAGGATCTCCAGGAGCTACAGCCTGGTCATGTGTGAAATTTTCTCTGAGAGTCCTGAGTACAGGGTGCTGTTCAACTCAAATTTTAAGCGGATTTAGTCACTCAAGAAGATATTTCCCATTTTTTATGACTGGTCAGAATTTTAATTATCTAATAGTCATCTGAATAGTACTTGAATTTCTAAGCAAAGACACTGATTCGTCAAGTTGAAATTAAAATTGAGTTTTTTTAATGTCTATCATGTCTGAACACTGTTTAATACCTGCAGTTCCTGCAGTTTTTCTTCAACTGCTATTTGATCCACAGGCTTCTCAGAAAAACTAACAAATTCCTTAGATAAATTGTCCAATTCGGTATTCAGGTCTGTGACGCAAACCTGGTATGAGTGGTGTTCTTGAACATGATCTTCCAATTTTTGCACAGAATCCTAAAAATAAAACCATTGACAATTTATTAATTACTTCTCTCTGAATTTTCTCACTCAGAAAATAAATTGTTCATAAATACTTGTTTCATGAGGTTTCATCTTGAAGCAGGAATATTGGCCACAAATCGTCCAGAGTTTGTTTAGATTTTAGTGTTTGCAATATTTCACTGTAAAACCTCCCTAATCCTCACCCCGCAATGACCCTTATTGAAACCACATTTCTTTCAACCATGCTTCTTTGCCTTCATTTCATTCCTGAAGACAATTTGTCAAAACGTTTACAAAATGAAATGGCTACAAATTATATCAAATCACAAACATCCAAAATAAAGCTGCTCCCTTAATTATCCTTACTAAAACCAAGTACCCACACTTGGAAATGAAACTATATGAGATCAACCTAACCCTCAATTTCTTTCACAAGATTCAAACTCCAAAATTGTGTGTTACGGAAAAGTAATCCTAACTCAAGAGCTAAACCATCTTCAGGTTCTCTTCCTAGAATAAGAAAATAAGGTGACCACACCTGATCAGAAAAGTAGCAATTATTAAACTGACCAACTTCAGCCAAGAGGGTATATCTTCACCCCTGCACAACTCCTGCTATCAGTATCAGGAGGATTTCTTACCCTGGTAATTCTTACGTTGAAGCTGGCTTCAGAGAATTATAAACAATTCTCTTAAGAGAAAGCACTCCCTCATGACAAGCTGACATTTCACCTCTTAATTCTTACTGCAGATCATATGAAAAGATGCAAGGGAGGGACACCGATAAGGTTTAATCAGAATACTGGATACAAACTATTATAAAACATATATGATGGATGGATGGACAGATGGATGCCTAGATGCATGGATGGATAGATGGATGAATGGATGATACGTGAATAACTCCGACACCATCACCTTCATAGAGATGCCTAACCCTTCGTATTCCTGAAGATGGAAACTTCAATGAGAGAAAATAACATCATCAAACATACACAATGGATTCCTCTAGAAAAAATGACTGGACTTATTCTTCCATCCTTGAGGAGTTAATATTTTTATCTAGAAGTAATAAATTAAAATTTGAAAACTTTTGGTTTACTGAGAGAACAATAATAATAATAAAAAAGGTTCTGTATACAAATCTTCCATAATTATGACGATCATTTAAATTTTTATTTTGACCACTTCACCTGTAGCTGTTGAAGAAGACTTTCATGTAGATGCTTTATTTCCAGCCAAGGATCTTCACTGAAGTTGGGATTTTTAGTGCATTCTAAGAGGTAATTTCCTTGAGATTTTAACTCCTTTAGCAAGGAGGTCAAATCTTGTGCTTTCTGGAGGAATTTTTTATAAATTTTTAACTGCGCTTTCTTCTCCTGCAAACCATGTTGCAGAGCACAGCCTACTTCTTGCTTCTTTTTTAATTCTGTGAGCATTAATCTCAGATCCTCTTTACTTTGCAAATATTTCTCTCCTTCTAGTAGAAGCTTTTCCTGATGGCTAAAATTAACAAAATATTTTACAAAGGAAATGACACTTAGCAAAATGGAATGGCATTTTGCATATTATAACATACATTAAAATAAAAAGCATTAAATAACAGTAATATACATTATTCCCAGAGACTCTTTTGATGTTATAACATTTTAAATAGCATTAAGTTTAGCTCAGAAATTACTTGTAGTAGTACTAAAAAATTATTGGGTTTTGTTACATCATTTGACCTGAGAACAAATACTTAATAATTTAGATTTCTATCTAAAAACTATCCCAGTTCTTATTATATTTACACATAATAATAACCCTATATTTTTCTTTTTCATGTAAGTAAAATAAATAAGCATCCACTATATCGGTCAACTAGTTTACGCTTTCTATAGCTTAAATTAGCTTTGATCTGATTGTCTCTTTAGAAAAATATAAAACTCACATTTCCATCAAACATTAAATGTATCATTTAAAATGTGATATGAATTAAGAGTTTTTACCAGAATTATGTCCATTGAGTCAGACAACATTTATCAATGTTTACACATTTAAGAATCTCTTAGAATATGTATTTAAAAGCATTAATTTCCCACAGTAAATCCATGCAGATACTAAGGTTGCCTGGGGAAAGGGCATTTCAGTGCAGAAGTAAATTACTGAAGGTAGAATGACAAAGTCAATTTGTTACCAAGAACCACACCAGTTGATGCACCAGCCAAAGTAAACACTGCCACAGCATTCTGACATTGTGTTTTATATCTGACCCAGGGGGACTGTTGCTCCTCGATTCTGCCTCTGACATTTTGGATGTCCCTGACCTACTGACTTTCTCTCCAACAGATATTGTATCCAAATCCAGGAAGCAGACAAAACATCCTTGTTATGGCTTCACTGTACAATGAAAGACCAAGAAAGTGGTGAAGGCATGCCCTTTACCTTAGATACGTGTTGGCTAAATGGAGTGTGTTGACCCACTGGTTCTCGATATCAGTAATGGCCTTTGAAACCAATGGAGCCTGGCTGCTCTCAGTCTGACTCAGGATTGTCTGTATTTTAGCGTCCCCTTCAGGTTTTAGTAAAATGATTTCCTGAATGAAAGAAAAAAGATTTCATAATCTCATTCATATTACTTAGGGGTAGTACATACGGTAGCTTTTTATTTATAAACATTATATTCAGATTCTAACTGCAAAGTAAATTGCAAAATTACCCTTTCATTTTTATGTATACTCAAAAGACAAAGGTTATCTACTTCATGTGATGCAGGACTGGTTCATAATAAATGTCTGTCAGGTTGGTCTGACTGCATTCCTGCTCTTCTCTTGATTTCCAATTGCCTTCAAATAAATTATATGCCAAAACAAACACAAACAAAAAAACCTGGAAAATCCTCCTTCTTATCTATTCCATTATTTATGGATAGAGAGTTATGGTCACAACCTAAACAAGACTTATTTATACACCCAAAATGAGACTTGCAGCTTCCCAAAGGAAAATGCAGTGCCCATCCCGTCTATTCTTGTCTCTCTACCATGACATAATTAATCCCCACTCCCTGTTCTCTTTCCTCCTTTGCCCTGAACCATCAAGTTCTTCCCTTCTTGGAAACTACTCCAGACTCACCTTCTCTGCAAAGCCTTTCGGATATAATTCCAAAATATTCCAATTAATGGATTAAGTCTCACCAACCCTTACAGCCCACTATTCTTAACCATGTCTTCCTCTAACAATGCTTCGATTACTGTGATTTCACTTCTCCTGAGCTTCTTTTCAGCACATGTGCTCGGTCCCCTGCATTTTAAACTAGCAATATTTATTGAACCCCCCCCTTCAATAAACGTGAGCTCCAGAGAGCTTGAGACTTCCTCGCCCTCCACAACCTACTCAGTATCTATATTTATGAACCATATTTCCACTCTGAAGATGAGTCCTCTCCAGCCCAGCCCATGGCATTGCTGATCCCTCTGCTGTACTGACACGTCATTTTTTTATATCCTAGCCAACTCCCACCTGCCACAGTTCCAACTTATTGTCTGTATTTCAATTCCTCTGCACTCAGTGAAGATGGACAATAACTGAGAATTGCCCTCACAAAGAGAAGATTTTCTTTCTTGCATCTGCATTAAAATAATTTTAGATCCATCACAGCCCTTCTCTTTTGTTAAGTCTAGTCATCTGCATGTCTTCCACCATTCCACAGTGATCCTATTTTCCATTAAGAAACCAATCTTTGCCAATTTCCTCTACATCTTTTCAAAATGAGAGTTCACTCTGACCACTGAAATTTAGTTTCCATAGTTTTACCTTAATTTTTTGGATTCTTTCCTCAAGTGGCATTTGGCCTTCCGATGAATTCAAAACCATAAGAGACTCTTTAATCCCTGTTATCCAATGAATTACATCATGTGCCAGATCATTAAAGCTCTGGTCTTCAGCAGGAGGTAACTTATCCTCTTCCTCGGTTTCGCATATTTGTCTCAATAATGCCTGGTATCTATCAATCAAATGTGTTGATTCCGTTATTATTTCTTCTTCTGCAGTCAGCCCATATTCCTTCAAAGAGTTGTTCAACTGGGCCATAGATTCAAATTGTTCCCTGTAAATTTCAAATGTCACTGAAAGTTTATAGGAGCCGTGACACCATGTAAGAAACCATATTCCCAGGAAATAAATTTTATACACGATCAGCTATACCTCTTTCTTTCTAGAGCTTGGCAAAATAGTTCAGTTTTCTCTCCTGACGCTTCCATTTCTTTCCATTTCTCTTCCTGGTTAGTCAACCACTTACTCAGGTTTCTATGGTCATCCTGGAGTCTAAAAGAACATTACACATGTTAGAATATAAAATACGCAAAAAAAACGTTTACCTGAAGAGAAGATTGGCATGAATATTGTGAGCCAACCAGGTTTTTAACTATATGTTTTTGTTATTGTTGGAAAAAATTTAATTTGTATCATTAATATCTGAATAATAGCTTGTATTACAGTGGTATGCCATAAAGCAATGAGCCACACAAATGTATCATAAAGAATAGGAAACAAACAAACAAAACATTTTCAGACTCTCCCCTAAAGCTTTGCCATATTAAATAATCTGAAAAATTCTCCAAACTTCTAAAGCCAAACTTAGATTTGAAAGTATGTATTTTATTTGTAAAAATCTGTGTGTAAATGCATCCCAATGCTAGCTGTACTGAGGCAGAGTACATAAAGTATCGTTAGGAAACACGTTATTTAGATGTCACCTTTACTTCGTACCTCAGTAGCTGCTGCAAGTAGTCATCAAGTTGCTTTGCTTGTGCCTGGCACACGGACTCCATTTTTTCTAATTCAATTTCTTGATTTACAATCCAACTGTGAAGCTCCTTAACATGTGCTTTGGGCAGATGCTTCTTCACATGATTCAGTACAGTTCCCACCTGCTGTATCTTACTGCCTTTTCCTTCAAGAGTCAAGAAATCCTTTAAAATAAAACAAAACGTCTGTATCCTACTGGCAAGTCTAAGTACGGTGTCTGCCACCCCGTGACGCTTTCCAAGCTGGTACCTAGACATACCATCTTTTGAACGTGCTATACAAAAGGTGGGCAGTGGAGACATGACTAACTCCAATGGCAAAAGACAGTTTACATGATTAGTTCTAGGATGTTTATATACATCTGACTTTCTGGAAATGGCATCCAGCAAAATAATGCAGTGTCACCATGAAGGTCAGTAGAAGTAAACCCAGAAAAGGTGTATTTTTTTGCTCAACTTCTCCTAAATACTTGTTGCTTTCTATTAATCAATTTGTGAAACTAAACAGACTTTGTCCAAATCATAATTTATTTCAATGTTTGTGTTTCAAGGTTTGAGCATCAATTGCTGAGGTCCATGTAATGGGCAAAGTTAGAGGCAAAAGAGGGGAAGGAAGAAAAGGAAAGTGGAAGGGAGGGGAGGAGGAGAGGGGAGAAAGAACTTTACACTAAAAAACGAGAAGACAGGCATTTCTATCAATAAAAAACAGTATCATCAAAGCAAGGAATCAGAGAGCCTATAATGCCATCACTAGGCTTGACAGCATGATTTATCATCCAAACTACAGTGCCAGATAATGTACCCTAAGCAATCAAGAGTTAAGGGTGCAACATGTACTTTAAATGCCAGGCACCCTGCCTTTGATTTCAGGCTACCCTCTGTTTAATACAGCAATGTATTCAAGTTCGACTGTAATTTGTAAAAGAAATCTATCTGGCTGGGAAAAGACCTACAAAATCAAGGGAAAGTAAAGGATTCCAAAATCCAAATTAGGTCGTCTTTATTTTATTTTTTTATCAAATATGATTTTAACATAACTGACAAATGGCAACTCAGAATAGTTGTGAAAACAGAACTTGTTTAAATCACTTGCACCCTTACCCAGTAAACAGGGTTTCAAAATATTTGGAGAAAAGCCAGGTTATTTGCAAATATTGTCTCTCTGTGGGAAATTAATAAGTCAAAGTAACTATTATCCTACTTACTTAAATACAGTTCTATGCCTCTAATATTTGAGTTTTGATAAATTCTGATTGAAATTAATATATGTCTTACAGAAAGTTTTTGTAGCTTTTGTTCCATACTCTTTTTTGTTTCTGATGATTCAAAACACTCCTTAAGGTTCATATTCATGTTGCTGAACCAGTCATTAAAGTTCTTGCACTGATCTGTGGGGGGGAAAAAAAGCTGCATTTATTCAAGGAAGACTTCATATATCTAGTTAAAGCGAGAGATTTTGAAACTTGCTTCCCACGCCATGGGTACAAAACTGTGTACAGTGGTAATAAGCTGAAACCAAATTTTGAGGGTTAATAGAGTTTAGAAAGTAATTACGGAGTACTTCCTACACTAAACCTTTCCAAGCACACAGGACCCCAAAAAACATCAGCAGTGGAAGCCTGCTCATGGGCACATCCCCAGACTCGTCCACTGCAGTGAGCAGGTGAAACATGATACTGGTGACTTTCTGTTGTGAAATAAACAACTGGGACTTAAAAGAAATAGATGTTGTTTATGACATGCATAGATCAGTGAGTGCCTCCCCCCAAGAAAGACTTATCTGAATAAATCCTTAATCAATCAATCAATCAATGCTTTTCCTTAAATATAATCTGTGCAACTATCTCTAAGTGAAGTTTAGAATGGCCTTTGTACTTATTTATACTTCAAGGTTCCCAGATACACAGTAAGAGAAATATTGCACTCACCATTTAGTAATTTAGAAAAGTGATCTTGCAAAACACTTTTTTTAGTATTAAATAAATCGCTGACACTTTCATACTGCTTTTTTAATTCAGAGAGTTCAGGAGTCAGACAACCTATTTGATTCTCAAGTAATATCATACTGTGCTTTTGCTGTAGAATTTGCTGTTGTATCTCCTAAACAAACAAACAAACAAACAAACAATCAGTAAATCTTAAAATGGGCTCAATTTACACAAAGCATAATAGATCTCCATTGTTTTTATAAAAACCTAGATGATTTTCTGTTGGGTGGATTTGCTTTCTCTTAGCCAGTATATGTATAATGCGATGCAATTTAATATCAAATAATTATTGCCCACAAAGCAAGTCAAAGTGAAACTGCTAAATATACATAAATTGTTTCTTTGAGATTCTGCCCTTCCCCCCCCCCCCCCCCCCCCNGCGTTCTTTTTTTTATTTGTTTCATGCAGGAGTTGAACCGGCAACCTTGCTGTTAAGGGCGCACGCTCTATCCACTGAGCCATCTGGGCAGCAGCTCAGTTCAAGGTGCAGAGTTCAGTCCCAGCTACGGGTGGGCATAGCCCACCATCGAACAAGCAATCTTGTTGTTACACCAACTGAGCCATCCTGCTACCTGTTGGCAGCTCAGCGGCAGCTCAGCTCGGGCACAGCTCACACAAAGCTCACTGGCCCATGTGGGAATTGAACCAGAGCCCCTGTTGCTCAGAGCTCGTGCTCTTAAGCAAACTCTTAACCAACTGAACCACTCGGCTGGCCCCAAACTTTCATTTTTAACAATTATTTTTATTAACCTCAAGAGGTTAAAACCATCAGAAATAAATGTGAAAATAAATCTGAACCACAGAAGAGAAGCCGCTGGGAAGTACCTCTAGTTTCGTAAAGATCTCCAAGCTGTCGGAAGGAGACAGGGCTTTTAAGAGGGATTCCGTCATCCCGATCTGGGTCTTGGCTTGATCGAGGTCCTCCCTTAGCTCAGCTGTGCTGCTACTGAGGGCAGAAGCATTGGATTCTCCTGATAAACGCATTTTTACTTGTTCTATCTTGTTCACAATAGAGGATTCCATGACCTGAAATCATGAAACATACGGCTTCATTTAACTAGATTTTAAGACATCTGCACTGCTAGAGAATGAACTGAGACTTCACTGCATTTCATGTCAAATAGTCTTCTCAACTTCTAATTCTTCATTGTTCTACATCACTGATAGGACAATGCAAATGCTGCCTTTAAAGAAAAAGGGTAACGTGAAAACCAGAAATTGAATTCTGACTTTTTCCTAAGAGATGAATTTGAACTCTACCCCCTAAAGCGAGTTTTCTCTAACATACCAAAAGAGGTGTTATTTCATAGCACTCATTTGAAAAGATATAAAAAACATATACAAAAAATAGCCAGCATTTATTATTTATTATGTACACAGCAGCATGGTAAGCACTTAATGTACAAAAATACAGGCTTAAGAAGGTTCAGTAAGTTGCCCAAGGTCACAAAGCTAATAGGTGGCAGTGCCAGGACCTCATCCAGAAAGTCTGACTCACATTCAGCCATGTGAACATTCAGATTTAGCCACTATGCACTTAGATCTACATAAAATTGTAGCAGGTCCCTTCACACAATACTTGGGCCAATCTTCCTGTTTTTCTATCTACCAGTTAATAAACCTAGAGTCCAACTGGTATTATCCTTCCTAAATCCAAACAAGACATTCATGAGGAAACCTCTGCTTCTCTACACGGAAGCACAATGATGTCTCTCCCTCCACACGAGAGACCTGTGAAATACCTGTCATGAGAATACAAGAACGCAAACAATGACATACTCATTCTAAAAGGGGAACGAAGATAATAAACTATGCAGACTATTAAAAATTCGGTTGGACTTAACATAGGAATCCAAGATGAGTTAAATAATAATCTTAATTTTATTTTAGGTTTAAGATTAGAATTCCGGTTTATGAACATTACTTTAGAGTACTTTAATTGTGACTTTTAAATTAAAATTCTCTTACCTGCAATTCAAGAGGTATTTCACTGCTTTGAAGCAGAAGCTGTATTTTAGCCACTCTTTTAGAAAATTCTGAAGTTTTTTGTTCATGGACTTGTAACTCTTCCTAAAACACATAATTTTAATTAAAAAAATATTGTTATTTTATACCTATTTTCTGGTCCCCATGATTGCTATTGTTAATAAACTGAGAAAACTTTTGCATTGCCCTCTAATCACTTATATTTTTTGACAGAGCCCTGGGAGTTACAAACCCAAGTGCCTCATGGGTCAGGCAAATTTTACAACTAAGTGAAGGATTCTAGTTGTAAGACAATAGAAAGGGGCTAGGCTTGTGCCATACCAGCATGCACAGCCTACCTAAAGGCATTACATTTCATATATTTGTATATGTAAACTGTGTCAAAACACACACACACACATCTATCTCTCTTCCCCCCCACCCCACAGGCTGGTAGCTTATAACCCTTACTTCACCTTTTTAAACAACCTGTACTTCAGGACAAATTTAAGGGACTCTTAGTGATAATTCATTTATACTTAGAAAATCATGCTTTCACAACTATCATCATATACCCAGCAAACTCATAAATCACCACACATTTTGAAACTCTTTTCCAATGTATAAAAATGGCTATTTGAATTTAAAAGTGAATAAAATGATACATTAGAGAGGAAATGAGATTTGAAGCATTAGACCTGGCATACTGTAAAGCTATCATGTACACACACATACATTTTTACATTATTGAACTAGATATAAGTGCCAATATTTCACTGTTTTTTACCTACCCAGATAGTGATTTTATATGGCCCAAACTAATATGTAAATAAACAAAACAATTAGAAAAAAATTCTTCCTAGAGTTAAAAGATAATAACTTTAATTCTTTCTAAATGGAAAACTTGAAATTATTATTTTAAAAACTAGTCTTTAAAAAACTCCATAAAGATGTTGATACTCTATAATTTTCTAATCTTTTTGAGGGACTGCTTAATTCAAATTATGAAAATCATCCATAATCATGATCTAGATCAGCGATTAACAGTCTAAGGGCTGCCAGTCTGTTTTCATAAATAAAGTTTTATTGAAACCCAGCTACTTTCAGGCACTTATGTATATTGTCTATGACTGACTACTTTCATGCTGCAACAGCAGGGCTGAGCAGTTGTGACACGTGATGAAATGAATCTACGAGCCTAAAATATTTGGTATTTGGCCCTTTAAGAAAAAAGTTTACCTAATCCAGGGACTAGGCTGACCACATGGGAACAATTATGCATTTTGATGGGGCTTCTGCTAGGAGTTCTTAACCTTTTATATACCATAAACCCCACTGGCAGTCTAATGAAGCCTATGGACACTTTATATATTGGGTTGTCGGAAAAGTCATGATGTATTTTTATTACGTTTTTCATTGCAAAAATGTGTCATGGCTTTTCCAACAACGCAATAATAATATTTTTGAAATAAAACATAAAATAAATGATGTAGGACTATAAAGGAAAACCATTCATTACACTGGGTTCCAGTTATCAAAATATTAAAAATAATTCATGCTATAGTGACATGTTTCTCTTTAATACCTTAAATAACAAGATCTAGCAGTAGCTCTATTAAATACTGGATTTTCAATAGTAACAACCAGATAATGATTTTTAAAATGCCAGTGATTTTCTTGATAACAATGTCACATATGAGTTCATCCTACTATGTTTGTTGACTTTATTTATAATTGAAACAAGTATTACATTTCAGTTAGACACTCGCGAAAATAAAGATACAATTTCTCCCATGTGAGGTCATTTCATCTATGAACCCCTTAGGTGTCTGTGAACTCCAGGGGAATAAAACCTGCTAACATCTTCCCAAATATCATAAAGGAAACGAGAGTTCAGGTCCCACTCAAGGATAACAAAAGAAATGAAAAAGGTTCTTTGTGATTTCTCTATCCTGCTTCAAAAAAGCAAACTCAATATTAAAATGCCAGCTGTGTAAAAAAGAGCATATATTTTATCTCTGTTAAATTACCTTCAGCTTTTCTCTTTCGTCTTCAGTCAGTTGATGTAATTCCATTTTTTGAAGGACCTTTTCAGTCCACTCATCAACTACATCTTTTAAGTTAAAAAGTTTGTCCCATAAAGCCAGAGCTCGGCCAAGATTTTCATAGTAGTCTTCTGTTTTCTCATTTATCTGCCATAATTAATAAACAGAAATAACATATTTAGTGGTTAAAAAGTATGAAAACCATTGTCTCAAACACTATTTTTAAATAAAATTTTAGTTTACCTTTACTGGCTACTTTGCATTATTTATCAACAAAAAAACTTGCTTTAACATAGCATGTAGTTCTTTCTTCGATAAAAAAAAAATCTTAGTTGATATGCTGCAGCTTATATGCAATTGAAAGCAACAGTCTTCCTAATTTCTAAACCACAATAAATAAAAGGTGCTTTTAAAAACCCTGATGAAAATATAAAACAAATTCTTAATTTGTGATTCATAAAAAGTATCATTAGTTCTCAACCAAAAGTGTATTAAATAGATATACAGTTGAACATCAATATCTTGCGTGGATGAGTAACATATTAATTAGTTTACTTTAAATAAGTTAAGTTTGCACTTTTATATCTAGAAGATTATAAACCCATTTGTTGGTAGTGCCTAACTGTGGGTGTGAGGTAATTCCTCAGTCAGCAACATTATATTATTTGAACATTTTTACAATGAGCACTTTTGAATTTTGTATTTAGATAAAAAATACTAAAGATACAGCAGAAAATATCAATTTAATTGCTATACAATAGAATTTCTAGTCAATTAAATTATCACTTACATCAAGCCACCTATCCACAATAATATTAGCCTCTTTCTCAAAAGGAGGCTCTTCAAAGGTTCTCATTTTATTTAGATGAAATTGTAGATTTTTGCAGATCTGGTTAATCTTGTCTACAACTTCTAAATGTTCATTAAATTCTTCTTTGACAATTTCAATCTAAAAAAGATGAAACATGTTTTGATAATATTAACATAGACAAACTGGTAAAACTCGCAATTCTATCATTGGCTTTTATTGTCCGACTTTCTCAATGAAAAGTGTTTAGAATCCTAACTATCTGGCTTAATAATAATTCTATACCCAATTTTCTTTCCACTCTGCGTAATGAAATATGGTCTGAAACCTTGTTTCTTGTCCATGTGAAATAGTAATGTACAAAAAAACCCCACCCCAAATCACCTCCATTAATTGGTATAAAAAAATTACAGTTCCTAGATTTCTCCAACGGGAATCACCTTCGGAATGTTGAAGAAAATAAGTGGTCAACTGAATAAAACAGGCAGAGCTCTAAAACGTATTTAATATGACTTCAGTTTAATCTTCCATAATTCTAACTCCAACATCATTTCTAACATGGAAGGTAAAGTACTATTTTATGAAAAGGCCAATAATCTTAGACTATAAAACGAAATTCAAGTATGGACTAATGTTATCTTAAGGTTTCATTCAATTTACTAATATTACACAAACATTTTTAATGTTTACATAAAATCTGAAAACAGATTTCCCATAAGCAAAAATCTAGAAATTATACACCCTAGGGGGACTTCCATTTCTGGGAATATAAAGTAGAAATACTTTTGCCTGTTCTTCCCACTAAGTACAGCTAAAAACCCTGCATATCATATACACACCAAACCTAAGAAGACTAAAAAGTGGAGAGTTCAAGAAGGGGGAATGACTGGGGGCATCAGCTCTGGAAGAACATCCTGGTGGTGAGCTCCCTGCGTCTTCTTTTTCCCTTCGATATCTCAGACTTGTGCTGGAGGAGCCAGCAGCTGGTTAGATCACAGACAAAAAAAAAAAAAAAAGCCCCAAGCAAAACCTGCGTACTCTTCAGCCAAAGAACCAGGAATGGGACACCCTAGCAAGGCAGAAAACTTTTAGAAAACAATTATTCACTGGCGACAAGTACCGCCGAAAAAACTGTGACTCAGCCCCCACCATGCCAACAAAAGTTCAATGTACAGCCTAGACTTCAACCAACGCCAAGCTGTAACAGAGGCCCCACCTTCACTCAACCAAGGTAGTGTCAGGGAAGGTGAAATAGAGCCAGGACTTTCATTCTTGTTGGACAATAACAAAGCACTCCTCCCTGTGATGTCAGCAAGAGCCAGGGAGCTATGAGTGGAGGCCTGCTGGGAGCCAGAACTCTTATCCCCAAAGAGCTGTAACAAGGCAGCCCCTATCTCCAGTGTCAAGAAATTATCCTGTTTGCAGCTGACACGATTACCTATGTACGAGATCCCAAGGAATCTATAAAAATACTCCTAGAATTGAAAAGTTGGTTCAGAAAGTTCGCAGAATACAAGATAAACAGAAAAATCATCTGCACTTCTACACACTAGCAATGAATACAAGGACACTGAAATTTAAAATACAATACCATTTCCAATTACTCAAAAAATAACTACTTAGGTACAAATCTAACAAAATATGCATAGGACTTATATTCTGAAAACTACAAAATGTTAATGAAGGAAATCAAAGAAGGTCTAAATAAATGCAGAGACATACCAAATTCATGGAATGGAAGACTCAACATAGTCAAGGTGTCAATTCTCTTGACACTGATATACAGGTTTAATGCAATTACTACCAAATCCCTGTAATATTATTCTATAGGTACAGAAAAGATTATTCCAAGATTTACATGGAACGGTAAAGACACTAGAATAACTTAAACATTTGAAAAAAAATAATAAAGTGGGAAAAATCAGTCTATTTGATTTTAAAACCTATCATGTGCAGTAATAAAGATTATGTGCTAATGGCAGAGAAACAGACACATAGATCAATGGAAAAGAGTAGTGAACCCAGACATGGACCCTCACAAATACACCCAGCTGATTTTTGACGAAGGTGTAAAAGCAACTGAACAGGGAAAATGATCTTTTCAACATATAGTACTGCAGCAATTGGACATTAATAGACATAAACATGAACCTTAATTAACCTAAGTCTCACATATTATAGAAAAACAAACTCTAAATGGATGATAGACTTAAATGTCAACCATAATGCTATAAAACTTACAGAAAAAAACAGGAGAAAGTCTTCAGGAACTTGAGTTAGGCAAAGAATTCTTACACTTAGACACAAAAAGCACAACCCAAGAAAGGAAAATTGGACTTTACCAAAATTAAAAACTTTTGCTCTACAAAAGACCCTGTTGAGAGGATTAAAAGACAAGCTACAGTTTTGGGGAAAATATTTGCAAACCACCTATCTGACAAATGACTAGTATCTAGAATATATAATGAACTCAACTGTAAAAAAAAAATCGATCAATCTAATTAGAAAATGGGCAAAAGATATGAAGAGATATATCACAAAGATGACATACAGATGGTAAACAGGCACAAGAAAAGATGATCAATATCATTTGCAATTAGGGGAATGCCAATTAAAGCCACATAGTGATACCACTACAAACCTATCAGAACGACTAAAATGAAAAATAGACAGTATCTAATGCTGGCAAAGATGTGGAGAAACTGGATCACTCACACTGCTGCTGGGAACGTAAAATGGTACAGCCACTCTGGCAGTTTCTTTAAAAACTAAATACACAATTAACATACAACCCAGCAACTGTACCCCAGGGTATGTTTTCCCTGAGATACAAATATTACGCTCATACAAATGAGCATAATTATGCCCCCTACATGAATGTTTATAGCAACTTTATTCCTAATAACCAAAAACTAGAAACAACCCGGACGACCTTCAGTGGAATAGTTAAATAAATTGTTGTACATTCATACCACAGAAAAAAAGAGAACAGCAAAAAAGAGAACAGCAAAAAACATTATCAGTACATGCAAGAATTTAAATCAATCTCCAGAGAATTGTGCTGAATGAAAACAGGAAATCCCAAAAGGTTATATACTGTATGGTTTCATTTTTGTAAGATTTTTGAAATGACAAAATGATAGAAATGGAGAACACATTAGTGGTTGGGAGGGTGTGGGGACAGGAAGGAAGTGGGTAGGGCTATAAAATGACAGCATGAGGAGTCCTTGTGGGGAAGGAAATACTCTCCGTCTTGACTGTATCAGTGTCAGTATCTTGATTGCAATATTGTAGTTTGATAAGATTATATGATTGGGGAAACCTAGGAAAGGGTACACAGGATCTCTGTATTATTTCTTACAACTGCATAGGACTACAATTATCTCAAAATAAATAGGTTAATTTAAAAAATAAAAATTAAATAAAAAATTTAAAAAACAAAACAAAACAAACTATTGGGAACGTTTCTATCTCCTGACTGGACATTAACTGACACACTGGCAAAGCTGAGATGCAAACCCAGGTGTTTTTTCCTCCTAGTTCAGGACCCTTTGCATTGGGACATAATAAATGTTTAATGAAATGGAAATACACACACACACACACACACGCACACATAAATATATATAACAACACACACATATATATATCTCCTAATTTTTATTACATTCAGAGAACATTGTTTCATTGACACAACCTACCAGTGGGTGAAAAGAAAAGAGCAGGAGAGGGTACGTTTAGCATTGACAGGAACTGCAGGTTTTGTTCTACAATGAATGGAAGGGGTAAAATAACGAAAACTAGGCCCCCTCTGACGTTTCGCAAACTTTAATAGTCCCCTGACAGTCTAGCCTTCTAGTCTTACTTTTGCACTCTGTCTCTCATTAAAGAGAGTAGAAATTTGGCACCATATCCTAGATAAACATCCCAGTTTCTATGGTTTTGAAGGACAAAAGTTCTCAGTGGAATCAGGTTTCGGCCACTGGTAGAAAGCATTATGACAATACCTACTACAGAAATTGATTGTTTCTGAAGACAGTACCTAAGTCATCACAAAATTAACTGAAAGTTATGTTAATGATCAGTAGTACTAAAATCTGCTTTTTTTTTCAGTAAAAAAAGTGAGAAAAGAATTAAACACCAATATACAAGAACTTCTATATCTTCCATACAAAATAATGTTATTTCAGCAAATACATAAAGTGTCCGTATGCTAGACACCATACCAGACACAAGATTCTCAACATAATTTTTAAAAAGCTTGGCTTTTCATACATTTCTTAAAGGTAATTAGTTATTTTATTAATTTTAAAAAGTAACTTTTGTGAGCAAACCTTTACAGTTGAGAAAGTGGTATAGATTAGCAAAGTTAACCAGTTTTTGCTTTGCCATATACATATTTCAACTATGTCTTCAGGGAAGGCGATATTATGATGATTAACACACGACTTTGTAGTCAGATGGGCTTAAATAATGATTCTGCCATTTATTATTTAGCCATATAATCTTTAGAATGTTACTTAACATCTATATCCACTTTCCCCCCTCTTTTTTTAAACAGAGAAAATTGCTCATCGGAGTGTCCAAATTCCAAGACTTAAATTGGACCACACTGACTGGTGAGCAAGATCAGCACGCATGAAAAATTCAGCACACGGATGTGGTTCTTTTTTCTGCTTTGTGTTGCTCCTTATTGGTGCTGGGTAAGATCAGTTAGACACCAGCACTAGGCACCTCTCTTAGCCTAAGCTGAAGACACCACCCCGCCCCCTCTCTGGTCATTGCTCAATATCTGAGCTACTCTATGACGCCAACCAAAGTGTGATAAGATTCCAAAATGTGGATTTAGATCTGGTCAAGATAAAGGCCTTGTACATGTCTAGGCTGGCCTGTACCTTTGAACCCATTGTTTACCGGAGCATTTGCTGGCGTATGGGGCACTCAAGCAGATAATAATAAAGTGGTACCATTTGGTCTTGTTGTTTTACTATATGTCTCCCTTGATGATCCCACGGCAAATTATGAAAACTGATGAGGCAGGATTGAGAATTCTTTGTTCTTTTCATAACACCATCTTAATAACAATAAAACCCCAACAACTACTGCCAAAGTTCTTTAAACCTTGTTTTTTTTCACCAGTATAAGCGGGATAATAATACTTAGCTTATAGGGCTATTATGAGAATGAAATGATATAATAATATTCAAAGTACTTAGCACACAATGAACAAGCCATCATGGTACAAGTTATCATTATCATCATCATTATTATCATTTTTATTACTACTACTAGTAGTAGTAGAATTTAAAACCACAAGCCCACATCATAATCCTATTTGTGGATAAAACCTGGTTTCAGGGTTTTCCAGCTTCTGGGGCAAGTCATTCATTGGAGCGGAGCGGGTATGGTTCGACCAGTAAAGAAAGACAGAAATTAGTAAATTTGTGAAGTGCTGCAATGATAATTTTTGATATTAAGAATTTTAGATATTTAAGATTTTACCCTTAAAATAGATTCCTAGAAGTGAAATATTTGGTCAAATGGTAGAAAGATTTTCAAGGTTCTTCAATAATACTGTCAAAGTGTTTTCCAAAAGGGTAGTATCAATATAGGTATCCTTTCACCAGCAATATAGAATGCTCATTTCACTAGCAAAGCTATTTTTAAAAAACAATAAAAAAGTTAAAACTTTATAACAACTTCCATTTATGAGAGCATGTTTAAGTGGACTAGATTATTAGTAAATATTACATATACCTAAAACCATACTATACATAGAAATAATTTATTAAAAACCCTCGTTCTTTGACTTATCCGTGGTCAAAATTGCTATTAAAACAAGGAGCCACAAATTTTTATATTATTTTTTTTTCTTTTCTTTTCTTTTTTGCCCCCCCTCTCCCTCATCCCCACCCCCCCAACCAACAGTCATCAGCTGCACCCCCACATTATATTATTTAATAAGAAACTATAAGAAGTTCTTGTCCTAATCCCAATGTGATGGTATTAGTATTAGGAGGTGAGGCCTTTCCAGGTAATTAGGTCATGAGGGAGAGATAAATAGGATTCACGCCCTTATAGAGTCCCCAGCGAGCTCTCTTGTTCCTTTCACCACGTGAGGAGGCAGGGCGAAGACAGCCCTCTATGAACCAGGAAGCCAGCTCGCACAGACACCAAACCTGCAGGCGCCTTGACTTGGGGCTTCCCAGCTTCCAGAGCTGTGAGAAATAAATTTTTTGTTGTTTATAAGCCATCCAACCTAGGGCATTTTTTAAATAGCAGCCCGAACGAGGCAGAAATTGGTACTGAAAAGTGGCGGCGGCAGGGGCAGTGCATCGAAGGCAACAAACTCTGAGAGTTATCTCCAGAACTGTGAGAAATAAACTTCTGTTGTTTATAAGCCACCCAGTCTGCTGTATCTTTGTTATAACAGCCCAAACAGACTGAGATAACAGCCATAGAGGAGCTAATGATGGCAGAAGGGTCAAGATCTGGACTTAGATTCTCATCAGGGAGGCTCACCCAGGACAGGTGCCTTCTTCGTCCCTGCCTGATCCCTATCAGAAAGAAGTTTTATTGGTCAGAAAGTGTCCAGTATACAGTTACAGGGTTGCTTATACAGTTATGGGGTGGTGGAATCGTGTTTAGCACTTGAAAAGAGGGAGCGTTTGGAGCTGCAGTTAGGCCACATGGGGGTTCAGAAAGAGACACCCCAAGATGTGCCTCATCATAATCTGAATTTGTGCTCAGAGATGTTCAGCAAGTCAGCTCCCCCTTCAAAAATCAAAGTTATGCTCAACGAGAGCACGTCTCCATGCAAAAGCTCCCCTATTCCAGTTGTCCTGAACCAGGTGGGTGACTGCTTCAGGGGTTTCCTCTTTTGCCCAAATTCCACCTAATAAACTTCTAAGAGCATGGAAAAAAAAATGTGGGTTGTTTTGAGCAAAAGTCAACTTTAATTAAGGGCTCAAGAGAAACTTCTGCCCCTCCCTTAACTACCTAGAAGAACTTTGAATTAGGGACCTTGCCCATAAAAAGAATTATTAGAGATAATCTCTTTGACTTGTTTATAGGGCAGAGTAAACTTCTATTTATTGAACATCTGCTCTTCTTATCATCCTCTGATGCCCCCAAGGCAACTTACCTCATTGCTAGCTCAGACTGTCTTATATACCATTTCCCTTTTTGTTTCTGAACCTCTCTCGTGCCCATGGGGGTCTGACTCTCTCATGTATGCAGGGTTCCCATACATATGTGTGTATTAAATTTGATTATTTCTCTTGCTAAACTGTCTCATGTCTATTTGATCATTAGACCAGCCAGAAGAACCCTGTGGGTACAGGAAAGGTTTGTACACCCCCACAGCTACACACAGTGTGGGGCATCAGGACTGACACTCATCAAGATGGTAAGTCCCAGGAACTCTGCTAGGCACTTAGATGCTACCTCATGTAATAGGACAGGCATAAGCTTTCTGCTGTTAATAGGATTCTTAAGAGGACAAAGGTAGGACGTGAGGACTAAGGAGGATCAGCACAAACCAAGAACAGCTGTAAGTCAAGAGGGACTCAGGGGCTGTGAATAAGGCACAGACCTTGATTCCAGAAGAGTACAAGAGTACAAGGTGGGAAACTGATATCAGGGACACAGTAGAACAGTAGCTATGTGAACTGGGACACAGGTTCAGGGGATCTTATATGGCTGTCCATGTTGGATTCTCTCAGAACCAAGGGAACCATAGCTCCCTAAATCCACTGGAACAAGGACAGGATCCTTCTATATTCTGAGACCACCAAACCCAGAAGCTTCCCCTGCTAGATGGAACCAGACAGGCTGCATCTCAGCAACTCCCACTGACTGCTCATGGTCTTGGTGGCTTCCCTCTATTTGGAGTCTCATAGGAAATCAGGTGCACAGTCACATAGTGTACAACTAGTATCTAAGCAGGGCTCTTTCTGATTGGTCAGTTTCAAGAAACTGAGTATGAGAAAGTGGGTTCCAGATGGCTATTCCTCATCTGTGACACTGGCCATGTGTCTACACCTCCAGTGTCACTTCAGCCTCAGGGACAAGAGTTCTAAATAAAAAAATAAATTCTAAGAATCTGGTCTATGTAAGCTTTTATAGATGTTGCTCTCAGCAACTGGGAAGTTTAATAAAATAGCTTTCTAACAACCAGACAAATCAAGTAGACTATATTTCACACATGCTTTTGACATTTTGAAAGTACTTTAGCATAGTAATCATAAAATCAACAGGAAAAGCAACTTTCTGGTCTATAATAATAGAGTGTAGTGGAGTGTATTCTCTTCTAAGTATTTCATTCTTCTGCCACTCTGGTTGATAACCACATAAAATCATAGAAAATAATGACACCTAGTGTTCAAAAATGATATTCTTCTTAGAATATGAAGCTGTGACTGGTGAGGCTATAAACACAGATGGGGCAACATGGAGTTCAGTCACACACCTTTATATAAATAAATAAAAACGTAATTTTTCCTTTCTTCACTAACAACAGAGGGGGTTTTCCTACTATCTTTATTCTCTCAGGACTTCAGTGAAGTCTCAGGATCCTTTTAGGTGGGTCGGTGCAAAAACTTACAACCTTACAGAGGTAACAGGGGGTAACCCCAGACTCCACCGCCAGTATTGAAACCCAAACAGAAGCCACCCAGCATCAACTTGGGGGATGATTTTTTTTTCAAGCTCTGGTGCTATACTCAATAAATTCTTAGGTATCTGGTAAAACAAAGTCACTAGCAATTTCTTCTAAACCAAGTTTTGAAAATGACTCCATTTATAATGTCCCCTTTATTGTCAGGCTTGTGAGCGAGGCTACTGTGTGGCTTCCTTTAGAGCTTGGACTCACCTCTGCTATCCTTTTCTTCAGGTTCTCCTTCCCCATGTATGAAGCCTGAAGGGAGATGACATTCTCTTCTTTTTGAATCAAAGTTGTCAAGACACTTTTAAAATTGTGATATTGCTTTAAGAGCTCCAAAACTCTTTCACATTGGTCAAGGCTACGAAGGGAAAAAATGGAAAACAACTGAACATCTGAAAATAACAAAACCATTCTTTCTCTTTTTAAGTATCTTACAATAATGACTAAGTTGCAGCAGGACTTTTCCTCTTGACATGGTTTATAACAGTTCTAACAATTTAACCTAAGAACGATGGCACATATAAGTTTCTGGCAAATGGACGGTATAACTAATCACTGGATTCGTATTTTCACCAGATCAATATTCAAAAGTCACCAGATGTATGCTCTAGAAACATAAGATTCATAACCGTTAGGAATCAGCATCTCAATTTCACCCTTCATCAAACGATATCTTGGAAAACAGTGCCTCCCTAGCATTACTCTTGGAGATTATTTCAATATTAATTCAGCAAGTTGCAAGTTGTTTATGTCTATTTAACTCATTCTAAATTTAGCCCTTTTAAAAAAGTGAAAATAGTACAGCCAATGTGGCAGTTAGGACACCTGGTTTCTAGTTCGGGCTCGGCACTAATTAGCCATGTGACCTTAGATAAGTTACTTTAGCCCTCAGGACCTCAATTCTTTTCTCTGTCAAATCGAAGGGTAGACTAGATTAAATACCCCAGATGGGCTTTATCTTGACTACTGTTTGCTCAGATTCTGGACGGAAACAAGAGGGAGTCTGTGGTGAAAGGGTCACTGACAGCACAGCTAAAGGAATCACCAGGCAGCTCAGGCACCCAGGACGAACCAGGGCAACAGAAAATCCAGCACTTGGCTTCAAGGGGAGAGAAAGGGCCCTGAGTCCAAGAAGAGGGCACCAGTAAGAGCTGCCAAGCCACGTGCTGAAAAGGGAGGGGGGTGGTTAAGGCCACTCTGGCCTCTCTCTCTTCCTGTTCTCTAATGTCCTACTACTACCTTCCACGTCTTAACCCAACTGGAAGCCTTGGGATCAGGGCTAGGGATCAGGCAGGGACGAAGGGGGAGAAGGCATGGATTGAGAATATTCAGCAGAATCATGGGGACTGATAGGTAATGGCTGTCACACAGTTTAGAAAACGTTTGGGACTTGCCCAGGCTCTGTAGGAAAGATGGTGGCCACTGACAGGCAACATCTGCTATTCAAGTAGGGTGGTTGGTAGACTAAGGCCCCAACCCCCAAAGACGTCCATGTCCGAATCCCTGGATCCTGCAAATTTGTTACCATACATGGCAAAGGGCACTTTGCAGATGTGATTAAGTTAAGGATCGTAAAATGGGAAACTTATCCTGGATTATCCAAGTGTGTGAAATATAATCAGAAGGGTCCTGTAGGAAGGTCAGAGTCAGAGAACATAATGTGACAAGAGAAGCACAAGCGAGAGAAAGAGATTTTTTCCTTACGATTCAGTGACCGAAGCTTTTGTGTTCTCCCACAAGAGTGCTGTATTTTGGCACTGCTGACTCAGAGCTTTTTCTCTGCCATCTTTGAATTGTGGAAGAGAATGAGCCATCTCTTGCAAGTGTTTCTTCTCTTCTTCACATTCATCCAGGTCCTTATCCAGTCTAGTTAATGATTTTTTCCTTGATTATGAAAGAGAAAAGTTCAACAGCCAATTATTAGCCAGTTTGATTTGACACAAACATGGATAATTTCAGGGAACACACTGACTTGTCCTCATGAGGTTTATGAAGACAAAATTACACATCCCTATTACAGAGTACAGGAGGCTCTTTGCATTTCCAGAATACTCATTTGGTGTTTTGTAATAAATACACAAAACCAGAAACAGTAACATTTTTCTGTGATGCACACACCTGTCAAGGGTGTGCATGTGCAGATGAGAGAAAAGAGAGAAGGAGTGTGTGTGTGTATATATGAATGAGGAAGAGAGCAGGAAAAGAGACATAAATGGTAGAGCACTGCAGACTCCTAAGGAAGGATGCAGGGGCCCATGGAGGAAGGAAGGAACTAGGGAAATCTGTGTACAAAACAGCTCTCCGATAGATTTTTTTAAAAAGTCATTTGAACTAAGGGTTTTAATGTGCAAACTAATCCTGGAAGGATTAACTCCATTCGTTCATCTAGGTCTGAAATGCTTTTATTATATCCTCACCGCCTCTCTTCCAATTTCTCTTGGATCCACTCCCCTAAGGCTTTCACTCCCCATGGCTCCTCCAAAGCTGCCCTCAAGACCTCCAGTAACCTCCACATTCCTAAGTCCATGTTCCACTCTCAGTCTGCACCTCCCTTCATTAATCAGCAGCAGTTGCTTATATCCTCTTCCTTGAAAGGCCCTCTCTTAGCTCCCAAGACTCTCGATTTTCCCTTTCCTCCACTGGCGGCTCCTTCTCAGTGTCTTTGGCTGGTTCCTCTTTATCTGCCAGATCTCTTAACATGGAGTGCCCCTGACCTCTTGTCTAATCTATCTTAACTCACCCCCTGGCAATCTAATCCATCTCATGGCTTCAAATAGCATTCCCAAATGCGGATAGCTCTCACATATACACTGCTAGCCCCGACTTCCCTCCCAACTCCCAATACCATCTATTTTCAATAATCTTGTGGATATCGCTACTTCAGTGTCAAACAAGTATGTTGAACGTATTATTTCCAAAGCTAAGCACACCTGATCTTTCATTCAATACCAAATAAGCTTCAGTCTTTCTCACCTCAGTTAATGGTAATGTAACAGAGTGAAATGCTTAGTCTCTCTGGCTCCATCTTGGTCAAGCCTGCGTTGTTCCCAGGGCCTTTATGCTAACAGCTCCTGCACAGTCTTGTGTAGACATGCTAATCATTAGAGGAATTCTGCTTGGTGCTGGAGTTTTGCAAAAACAGCCCCTCCTACATTCCCTTCCCTGAACTCTGTACTTTCTTAAAATGGATTTGAGGATCAGGTCTCCATCTTCTTGGTTGGCACCTTCTCGACCAATAAACCTTTCCTTACTCCAAACGCTGACATTCTGAGCTTGGCCTTTCGAAGTGTCATTGGGCACATTCGCTGATGGTGGACCAGTAACAATGTCTCCAATCTTTCTTTTACACCCCGTGTCCAACTTGCCAATAAATCTTGCAGACGCTACTTTCAAAATATACTCGGATCCAGTCTTAACACTTTTCACACCTCCCCATTGGCCCACACCACCGCTACCCCTCTCACCTGGGTTACGGAAATAGGTCAAACTAGACTTCGTCTTCCCTTAACTCCTACAGTCTATGCTTAACACATCAGCCAGGGAGATCCTGCTATAATGAAAACCAAATCATTTCTCTCTGCTCTGAAACCTCCAACAATTTCCCAGCGCCACTCAAAGAAAGAGCTAAAGTAATCACAGGCCCCCAAGTCCCTCCATGAGCTAAGTTACCCATCCCACCCGTTAACTCTCTGACCCCCTTTCATGCCTCTTCTTCTCGCTGCTGGCCCTCTCACTCCCTGGTCTCCCCTCAAACACACCAGGCCCAGTCCCACACCTGGCCTGTGTGCCTGCTGCTCCTTCAGGCTGAAAGGTAAGTCACCTGGCTAGCTCTCTCATTCCGTCTTACTTAAAGGTTGCCTTCTCAGTAAAACTGTCCCTGGTGACCCTATTTGAAGGCAACTCCCTCGTGTTTCCTTGCTCAATCTTTCTCCATAGCTTTTATCACCATCAAACATACTGACTATCTTACGCCTCCCACTACATAATAAGCTCTAGGAAGGGCAAGAATTTTTGTCTATTTTGTTCACTGCTATATCCCCTGTACCCAAAACACCACAAATTTCTTGTATTAAGAACTAAATTAAAAATTAACGTATTACTTAGAAATGTATAGTTTTCACTTATAAATTAATATCTAATTTATTTACTATTTCTAAGTCTATAATAAAAATGTTTTCATAACGAATTAGTCACTAAATTAGCAATTAGTTTAACACCTCATTGAGAACTGGGCACTGCGGGAATGGGAACCTCACGGACACTGAGGTCACAGGGAAATTTCAGAGCAAAGAGCTTGATCAGCGAGAGCCTCAAAAGAGCACCAAACCCGAGGGACTAGCGGTGGGCAGCAGAGGCAGATAGTGGGCGAGATTTAGAAAAAGCTCCACAAAAGTGACTCTTGCTAACGTTTTTGTTTCCAGGACTTAGAGGCCAACTTTGAACATCAGAATGAAAACTGCAGCAATCCTACTGAAGGCTGAGACCTCAGTTTCCCCCCAATTCTGGTCTGTCTCCGGAATCAACACTAACCTTAGCTTGCCTCAATCCTGTGCCCCCCATTCAGTCCCCACCCTAACCTTGCTGGGAGCAGAGGAGGAAACCAAATAACAAAGGAAGAAGTAGGAACAAGGTGTGGCATGTGAGTCTGCCATCACCTGTTTATTTACTATCCAATGTGTGCAGTTTTCCAGGTGTTCCCCCAGCAAGAGAACACCATAACAAGTACACAGAACGAAGGGGACTTTGAAGCAACTCATGCACTTAATACAGATCTAATTTCACTACTCCTCTGTCCGTGAGAATGAAAACTTTAAAGAAAAAAAAAAGATGTAACATTTGGTAACGGCAGAATCTCATCAAGAAGGAAGCTTATTTGAAGCCTAGAGAAAAGAATGCTGAAAGCTGAACAGAGTGGGATGGACCAGAAATAGAAAGACATGGGAAGTATTTGTTTCACCTAACAGATATCTGAAAATACAGAAAAGTGTCACCTGGGCTGGAAATGCACGGAAACACTACTTACCGTTGTTTGATAGCTGGAACAGTCGGATCCTTAAGACCAATATTACTGATTTGATTGTGAACATCTTGAATATTTTTCAGGAGTTCATTATTTTTGAACACACAAGCCTCTAGTAATTTGTCTTCTTCAGTAAGTTCCTCCTGTCCGCCATAGCCTCGTGTTTCAAGTAAGTTTTCGGACAAAGCATCAAGAAGCTTTTCACAGGAGGTGCCTTCACCCCGTTCAGCATCTTTAAAGCTTATATCAAGCATCTTCAAACGTTTATCCAAATGTCTGGCTCTCTCTTTCATCAGAAAAATCTCTCCCTCTTTATTTTTTACTGTCAAAGTCTGTTGTGGTGCCACCTGTGTGTCTGCGGCTGAAAGGTCTGTAACCATCTCGACAGAGAGTTCAGCTGCTCTCAGAGAAGCCAAAAAATCTTCCAGAGCCCTGAGGGCATCTTTACTCCTCTGGACCCTGTGGCTCATTTCTTCGAGTTGTGTTCTGTGTTTCAGTATAATATTCTGTGTTGCATGTAGATCAAGTGGGTGTAATTCCTTGGACGCGAAGTTGCCCGACTGCTCCAAATTGTTCCAGGTTTCAATCTGCTTTGCTGCTGAATCTTGGATATCCTAAAATAAAGGTAAGAAAAGCTGAGAAGACAGGCAGAAAAAAAAAAAGACTGCACTTCAGAAACTAACCTCAAATTATGTAACTAGACTTCTTCTAGAAAACTGCTTCTCAGTTTAACCAAGGCTGACAGTTTCAATGGAAGGAAACATTTTAATTACAAATGTTCACATGGCCCAGCTGTTTTATTATCTGATACCCTTCCTGATGTTTCAATTCCCAAGAGAAAACAAGTAAATAAATCTATTGCTTCAGTGAAAACAATTAGAAATAGAACTATTGAGGTATCTGTTTATAATCTGAAAAATAAAGCAAATATTTTTTATGTACGATGGAATTTGGAATAAGTAAACTGCAGAATATGCCAATATAAGCACATGGGTCTAGCATATTTAAGATTTTAGTCATTGGAGAAGGCATTCATAAGAAACCCTTCATTTTGAATTCAAAACCACAGTACCTACTCCCAAATTTGAAAGGAATTAAAGAATTGAAAAATAAATAACAAGCTTGAATTACGGAAAATTTTTCTGTCATGGCTTATATTATAAATACATACTACTGATGTATAATTAAACATGCATCAACATATATAAATTTCTGAGGAACTGATCATTCTATAGTATACTGTGAGAACTTATGTTTACCCTTAGGTTTTGGTAAATGCCATCAGCATCAGTGAGATGAAATTCTTGAATGGTCATTTCATGGAGAAAGAGCAGGTCTGAGCCACAGAGGAGGATTGATTCCTTCTCTACAGGTAACACAATCTGCAGCGCAGTCTCCAAAGACTCCATTCTGAGTGAAAAATAAATCAGATATAAAGGAAAAACACAGCAGAAAGATATCCTATAAAACATATGAATGTCATTACTTAACCAAGAACAGAAAATAATTGTCCAATAAAAATATATACAATGATATGTACAGGTCATCACATTAAAACCCAAACCGAGCAATCCAAAATGCCAAAGAATGAGAGTGTTTGCTATACCCAAGTATTCTTAAAGTTTAATAGATAACACACTGAAAGAAAAATTGTAAAGTATACTAAGACTTTCCCTCCCTTTTGAAATATGAATTACTGACTATAATTTAATTTGGCCTTAATGACAAAGAAACCTCATTATGACTACTAATTATTTTATTAATGGGAATATAATAGAGTTCTACGAATAGGCTCTACCAATAATAAAATGAAATGTGTGACCCTGGATAACTAACATGTAGACTCTGAGGCTCAGTTTCCTCCTTCGTAAAATGGGGCTATGTACTGGGGATACTCATCCTATGTACGGGGTACTAACAGCACTCTCATTTTACAAATAAGGAAACCAAGGCCAGAGAATTTATGGGATGTGGTTACGCGCATGCCCCAGAGGACACAGTGAAAAGAGTGTGGCTTTTTTAACTCAACAAACTTTGAGCTGCACTTAAGTTTCTGGCCAGAGGTGTGGCTTGGTTAGCCTCCTTATATAAACTCCTTATCAGATTTCTCATCAGTAAAATAGCAATCATAATGGTAGCCTCTCTTATGGTTGTTGTGATAACTGAATAAAATAACATATTTAGTATAGTACTAGCCTAGCTTACAATGGCATTTAAAATTTTAGTAAATTCATTATTAATAGATCTCAGAATTATACCTGGTATTAAGAGCCATCTGAAACTCTCTTTCTTTTCCCTTTAATCTGTCTCTTGCTTTAATTACAAAAGGCTTCTTTATGTCACTCTCAAGCTCTTCGAACTTCAATGAAGTGATTTCAAACTCTTTCCAGCAAGCATCAGTTTCATTTTTTAAGACCTAGAAGAAATGCATACATTAATGTATCAACTAATGGGTTAACAGGCACAATTATTCTGTTCTTACAAAATGAGACATCCACCAACTGTGGGCACAAAGTTTCACATGAAAATACATTAAAAATTATTTTTGAACCATCTAGAAGTGAAGCATCCTTCAGAGCACAATGATTTAATTGTGCTGACAGAGGATCCATCAATGAAGTCAAGGAAGTGAACAACATGGCTTTCCGGAAATCCAAACTCCCTTCCTGTAAGTCAGGTGCACAGAATACAATCCAGAAAGACATAACGATGTTAAGAACAGATATTCTGTTTCCTCTAGGTAATAAATTTTTGTTTCTCCATAAACTAAAAGAAATTTGGAGCAAACCAACACTATTTCTATCAAATAAGAAGTCAATAAAATTAATTTATGATTTATAATTAAACACCTAAAAATTATATGCCATTTCAGCTCCTTATCTTGGTTCTTAAAAAAAAAAAAAAGACACTGCTACAGAATTTTACTGCATGCTTACTAGTATAATTTGTTCATTATTTCCCCCAAGAATTAATATAGCTTTTCTAACCAATTCATTATTCAGGCCCTAGAGTAAGGTCTCAAGACAGTTTCTTAATTGCATTGAAAACACGATAAATCCATCACTTGAACAGAGATTTTAACATATGAATTTTGCTTATTCAGATGGAAAATAGAGAGAAGCTAGACAGTCGAGTATGACTCAGGAACTGGCATCATAAAAAGAAGACAGAAACTAGAAAACATGAGAGGACATTGTATGTACCACCCATGGCCCTTTCTCTACCTGATAAGTTTTCTGTGAAGGTTTACTCTAATACACTTCCAAGCATACAAGTATTGCACTGCAATGCACAGATCATCTTCAAAATAAGGAAGATACGTATTTGAAGAGCTTACAACTGATGTGCCCACCACTAGATTGTTGTTGTTTTTTCTGTAGCCCCTGAGTCAAATGCAATACTTCATCTGATGGCTCTTCAGGAAGATCATCCATCACTTAAGAGTGAAAACTCCCTCCACTGCCTGCCCCTTCCTTCCTTAGTGCCCAACATTGGACAGACATTGTGACAATTTGGTTAAGATGATGAACAACTGAAACAAATATGTACAGTCACTGGTTTTTCATGTGTTATTAATTTTAGAGCAACATGGAAGCAGTGTTGGTTGAAACTGCCTTCAAACACATTGTTTTCATCAATTCATCTGAAGCCCTCATCCCCATCCCAGGCATGATCCAAAATTTTGCAAACCACAGTATCTAGAGTATCAAATTAGAGCATGAGCAATAAATTAGAACCCTGAACCAAAGTCTTTCCTGGGTTTGGTGCTTGCATGCAAGTCACTTTCTGGAATTGGGTGACATTAGAAATGCAATCCAACAAAGAAAGTTCTTTGGAAACCTATATAGCATATGTGACCTCAACAAAAATGGTGAAATCTATACTCATGGTGGTATTATTTTCTAATAAAAGATAAACTTCTCTAATAATATTTTCAATAATTACCTGTAGATCTGTCAGTTTATCCTGCAGACAAGCACTGCTCCTTTCCTTGTCACCAGGGAAATCAGAAGTAATCCTGAATGTGTTATTTTGCAAGTGTAGTTCAAGAGCTTCTCTGTGTGTATCATACCTGGGAAAAATTAAATGTGACATTACATAATTTAAAACATAAAACAAAAACCTTTTAAAATTACTGTCGATTATGTATGAGGAAACCCCAGGGAATTTCTGTTTGAGTTACTGGACCACATGCAAAAATTATGATTAAAAGGTAATAAAGCTTATTACAGTATAACATGTTTGCATTGATGAAAGCTTTTTGGTGGGCTTTCCAGTTGGTTATAAAGAGTTTACCTCTCTAGTAAAGAATTTATAGATGTACTGTGATCCTTTCCAAACTTCTCCATGTTTTCTTCCTGTTGAGGCTTTAACTCTGATTCCAGGCTCAAATTCTTAATCGATTCCACCGCCTAAGCAAATATGCAAATAGTAAATAGTATCTTCAATATACTTAATTGCCTAGAAAAGATAAACACTATAATACAAAGGCATATTATTATACACCAAACCAGGAGATAGTACAATTTATTTGAGGTTTCTCAGCTCAGAGAAAGGCCTTCCCACAGGACTGAGGAGATTTATCGCTAAATCTCACTTTCTAATTGGTACGTCAACACAGTAAAGGAGTTCTCCCCACCCCTAAATGCTTCCACGTGTGACCACACAGCCATCGTCACAAGTAGACAGGTGCCTAGAATGTAGAATCAGGCCTCTGAAAACAAATACACCTCCTTCCTTCCCTCCACCTTCCGACTGACAGTCTGGGCTGTGATATACAGTAAATGCCCACTTGCCCAGAGTTCTAAATGAAAATTTAATTCCCAAGGCAAGTAAAAGACATTAATTATAATGAGAAAATGACAAATGATAAATGAACTAGTTCATCTCAGTGACACTGGGGCTTCTGTACAGATTAAACCCAACCTCTTATACTCTCAATAGTAATGTGCAGTCAGTATGTATTCACAATGGTTCAAATGGTCTGTTTTTGAAAGACGTGTGTATCCTCAGAGGAAGATTAAGTTATGCTCGCTATAGCTTTGGTTCTTTTCAAGTCTTTGAAAAACAAACTTCCTTGCATTATTTAGGTGGGAATTCTCAGCTGATGGAAACAATCAGATCATTAAAACCAACACTTAATGAGAAGTAGATTATTGTACATGTGGCCTTTTTCATTGGGTTTACTTCTAAAATACATTATCCCCATTGAACACCTTTTCAGTTGATGGCTGATTATCTGATTTTGCAGAGGACACTTCATTGTGAGCATTCCTTCCTCCATTCTCAGATGTGTTCATGGTCCCCCTAGGAAGGAATCAAAATGGCATATTGAACCAGAGGGAGAAAAATGAAGCTTAAAGATAAAGAATAATAAGACTCAATGTTTTTTAATTTTACAAGAGGCTTTATCTCGCTTTTTCCCCTGATGCGTAGCAATTCTTACGAAGCACTAACTTGTTTTTCGACGTGCCTCCCACTGCGGGTTGCAGGGTCATGTGAATCTCGGAAGCACACTTGCGAAGTCTTTCTATCTTTTGTTCATAATCCTTGAGCGCGCGCCTCATGTCTTGTTGCCTCTTCTGGGAAGTCAGCTCTTCACACAGCTCCCGCAGGACATCCATGTGGTGATCAAGCTGGTACAGACTGCCTTCCTCAGAAAAGCAGGCCTAATTGAGCAAATCAAGCAGGAAATGTGTTTCAAATAAGTTTACATAATTAGTCCATGAGGATTAGAAACTACCAGATGTGTGTGACTTGAACAACACAGTCTTTTAGAGGACTGCCCACTGTGTGCCTGGGGTAGTAACGGTCACTGGAAAAATAAAGATGGGGCAGTCAGCCCTAACGCAATTCGCCGCAATCCAGAAACGTAGTGAAGCAAGCCAAAATATGTCACCCCAAAGTATGCCTCTTTGACATGAAAACTGTTTGGGGCTGAAGGCAATTAAGAAGCAGTAAATGCAGAAAAAGAGCCCCTTTTTTGCCTAAAGACAGGAAATAAAGTCTCCTTCTACTGGAGACAAACTCTTATCAACTCAGGCACCAGAGGAAACTGCAAACAAACCTTGTTAAACTAACCTAGTTACTGCCTCAATATCCACTACCCCCCGGCCCAAACCCCTTTGTCTTCTCAGTTCTTCACACATGTATTTTTTCTTAGTCTAAAAGGTATAAACGATTCCTGCTCTGGTCACTTCTTTGGGTCTTCAATCTCTTGTGAAGGCTCCCATAGTTCACGTAAAAATTCAGTAACATGTGTATGCATTTCTTTTGTTAATCTTTGTCAGTTGAATTTTCAGACCCAGCCAAGGACCATAGGGGGTTGAGGAAAACTCTTTCCACCCCTACAGCAGTCACACAAATAATGAGCGTATAGTGTGACAAGTGTGCCACCATCTGCTCTAAGGAATCAGAGAAAGCCCACTTTACATAAGGGAACCATCTGAGCTCGATGAGGAAACAAGGACCAGGAGTCTTCCAGGTAAAAGGGGAGAGAGGGCATTCCTAGCAGAAGGAACAGCCAAGAGATGAAAAGCTCAAGATGTCCTGAAAGGACAGGTAGTTTAGGTAGTCTAGTGTGGCCAGAGGCACAGCACAGAAGAAGGGACACTGTAGGCACATCCTGGGGCCAGACAGTGAAAGACGTGTATGGCCTCCTGAGGAGATGGAGATGTCCTGTGAGTAACAGTGAGCCAGTGACACTATGGTGATGGTTTTGGAAGATGATGCAACCTTCGTCATGCTGAGAAAATAACCCAAGCTAAGGGAGGTGGCAACACCGATAGAAAGAAAAAGAAACAGCGGTGCTGAAGAGTAACAGACGGAGCCTGGCACCTGACTCCATCAAGGCTGAGAGGAAAGGAAAGGGGACGGAGAGGAAGGGCATTCTGAGACAGCAATGCCTTTCATACCCGAGATATCTAAGAGGAAGAAACATCTGAGAAGAGATATTATTGGTTCGTTTTTGGACATGCTGAATGTGAGGTCTCTGAAGAACACTAGTGATATCTCAGTTGGAAAGAAAACCTAGAGCTCAGAGGAAAGTACATAGCTAGAGATAAAGATTTAGGCACCTCCTTGTAGAAAGGGCAGCCAAAACCCCAGAGTGCATAAAATAGCCTAGAGCAAGCATGAAATTTGCCAAAAATAGAGACTCCCAAGCATCAGTTGGCTTACATCCTGATTTGATATCTTTCACAAAAGCTGTGCTTCTGAGGACACCACGTCCTCACAAAAAGCAACTGTGAGTGCTTCAGCAGTGGGTGACGCGTTTGTACCAAGTATCAAGGACAGGGCCACTGAAACATATCAAGGGAAGTCATGAAATATTAACTCCATGCTGTATTTTTCTCACTTTTAAAAAGCAAGAAGCACAGGCTCTAGTTAGAACTTCAACTTCATGAGGAATAATCTCTAGGGGATGAGATGGCTGAAGAAATTTTTAGAGTAGATTTAATTCTTGGCAAATGACATCCACAACCCTTTAAGAAAAACCTCAAAATGACAACCAAATGTAAATGGAAACAGGTGGTTTACCTCATGTTCCTTGATGAGACCCTTAGTCCTTCCTCTGCGAATTAGTTTCTTTTCTTTATTTATTTGTTTTTCAAGTCTTGAAATACTGTCACTAAGTTTTCCTTTTTCAATGTCTATTTTTAGTTGTTGAATATACAGACACATTTCATGATGAAGAGACTGCAAACAAAGGCACACATTAACCATGGGAACAGAATGTATTGAAAAAGTTTTCATTAAAAACACAATAAAAAATACTTGTAGTAACAAAGCATAGAAATAGAGCTTATGAAATTCTGATACATCCTTGTGTCTTTGGGGAAGATGTTTTAAAATATACCAGACCCATAAACATATTTTTTTTTCCTTTCTAACAACTAAAAATGCGTTTGAGCTGGGAGAGACACTGTCAAGAGAATTAAAAGACAAGCTGCAGATTGGGACAAAATATATACAAAACACACATGTGAGCCTATGCAGAAATAACGTTACTATAATGTGCAACCTGGATGGAATTCTAGAACAGATAAAAGAGGACATTAGGGGGAAACTGTTGAAATAAAATATAAATTTAGTTAATAAGGTATCACTATTAGTCCATTAATTGTGACAAAGGTACTATATTAATGTAAGATGGTAATAACAGGAGAAATTGGACACGGAGTATACCGGAACTCTTTGTACCATCTTTGTAATAATTATGTAAATCTAAAATTGCTCTGAGGTAGTTTATTTAAAAATGTGTTTTAAGAGGACCTCTAACAATTGATATTCAGTTATATTACTTGATTCTCTCTTCATATATTCACACACACTTAATACTAAATACTATTTATTGAACATAACCTCCGTGGTAAGTGCTTTATATAAATCCTTGCAACAATCCTGCCAGGTTGGTGGGATTATTCCCATTTTATCAGTGAAGCTCCTAGAAGTTAAGCAACCTGCCAGAGTCACAGCTGCTAGATCCAGGTCTGTCTGTCACCAAAGCCTATACCTATTTCGCTATGAAACTCTGGGTATGTGTGTCAATATGTTGTCTCAGTCAGGGTCCAACCAGGAAACCAGAAAACTTTGGGGAGAGTTAGGCAATCCATAGGTTAGCACCACCACTGGGCTGGAAGCTTCCTAGAGCCCAGGCAGAAGGGTCACCCACCAGAGGCTGGAATTCTGAACCCGCATCCAGGGGGAGACACAGCTGCCAGAGACAATGTCCAAGAGAGGAAAAGAAAGCCTCTGGGCTCCCCCTCTCCGCCCCCTCTAATCTCCAGTGTTGTCATTGGCTGAACACAGACAGAAGCCAGATGCTGCAGGACCTGAGAACCACAGCCTGCAGGGACCAGCTCTCTGTGATACAGAATAAATGGGAGGACCACCAAAAATGACTGATGGCCAACAGCTCCAGGATCAGATCTACAAGCATAAGCCCCCACATACATATGCATATTCTTACCTCCCACTTGGCACAGACATCTCTACTCTCCTCTTCCAAAGACAGCTTTACATCTTCAGTTACATTATTTTTCAGTTCTTCAACAGCTTTCAAATACTTAGCCAGACTTTTTGTATTAAAAATTAATAATGCTTCCTTAAAAAAAAAGCACACAAGAACATGAAAGCCTCATTGTATGACAAATCTTTGAAGTTAATTTTGGTAGGTATTTCACAGGTAGAACTAAGAAAAGGACTTTATGAAGACTATTTACGGGTTTTGGGGAGACTTCTCTTTGTAAATTGAGGTTGATACCCCATTTGCATCTCCTGAATTCTTTTGAAAAGAGCTGCAAAATATTTCTTACTTAAATGTAGTTACACATTTGAGGCCCAGATAAAGACTTCTTTATGACAGTTAATTATTTTTGTTACCCCTCTGATACTAATTAAAAGGCTTATTGTGCAGGGTAACAAGCCACTGGCAGTTTCCTATAAAGTTCTTAAATATTGAGCAACCACACTTCATAAGCAATACAACATGAAGAGTAAACCAGCATATATTAGAGATCAGTGTTGCATTAAGACACAATTTACAGCAGGGTTAATATGGCAAATACTTACTATTGTACATTAGCATTTTATGCTGCAAGGCAACATCACCTCGCCATGGACTTCCAGGTTTTGTCTAGGGCCCTAGGGGACTCCTGCTAGATTCATGACCTAGAGAGACAGATATTCTAACCCTACATGCTGGCAGGGGGCTCGTATGACTCATGTGTCCCTGGAGTCTGGGGTCTCAGGGAAGTACCTGGCAGGCACCTGCTTGAAAATAGATCTACTTCACTAAATGCCAGAGACAAAAAGAGGAAATCCCTGGCCTCGGGTTCCAAAAGGAAAGTGGTCAGGGAGAGGGAAACGGTGTGAGAGCTGACCCTCTCACTCTTCTCTGGTAGCTAAGGCACCTGAGGCTTCTACTTCTTCTTCCCCTTCTTTCCTTCCTGAGCTGACCAGCCTAATTAGGTGATTATTTAAAAGAATCAGTGACTCTTGAGGTCAGTGCGGCCCTCACAGCAACTTGGAAATAAAAATGGGGAAAAAAGGACGAGGAGATTTGATCAAATTCAGGGGCCAGCAAAGTGCAAACAGTACAAAGTACAAGATGGCGATAGGGAAAGCAATGTGGAAATGACTGTAAAAGGGTCCAGTGTGGTTATCAATCCCGAAAGCCAGAAGGGGGCTGAGGCCCAAGAGAAAGAAGGCGGCCTCGGTGATAATGGAGGGGCTCCTGTGGGAGACCCTGTTACCGAGACTGGGAGCAGCAGCACCGGGAGTGTTGCTTTCCTTCTTTTCTTCCTCTCATAAATGCCTAGCTCATTTTTAACACTCAAGTGTGTTAACTATTGAATAAATAAATGAGGAAAAGAACACGTATTGCTCTACCTCTCCAACAGTCCACGGAGAGAGCCCTGTTTTACCTTTATTTCCTATCCCCCCAAGTACCTCCCATAGTGTTAATTAATAGTAAGTCTCTGATCTGGATACATCGTAAACTGCCTAGCCTATCAAACCATGAAAAGCCAACTTAAAAATGTCTCCATAAAAAAACATTATTGGATCTTTATTGATAAGTGTATGTCCATAAAGAACTTGTATCAAAGCATTTTAATAATAAGAGTGTTATTTTACATTTGGAGAATTTTAACTACTCGAAGTGTCTTCATTTGCCTTATTTTCATTTACACAACAAGTTTGGCTGCTGGATAGTGCTAGAATTTTTATGCCTATTTTATTGGTTTAAAAAGCCAGAGAAGGGGCGGCTGGTTAGCTCAAGTGGTTAGAGCACAGGCTCAGAACACCATGATTATCAGTTCAATTCCCACATGGGCCACAGAGCTGCACCCTCCACAACTACATTGAAACAACTATTTGACTTGGAGCTGATGGGTCCTGGAAAAATGCACTGTGCCCCTATAAAAATTTCTAAAAAAAAAGCCAGAGAAATTAAATTATTGCTCAGTGTCACAGAGTCTAGCTGTGCTCTTTGCACTATATAATTGAGTCCATTTGGTGGGTCTACAGTAATATTTTGAATTTTAAAAATTCTTCATTTGAATGTTTATTTTTAAGAGACTCTGGGGAACAATGCATAAAATTGGGAGATTTTAAAAAGTTACAATAACACTGTATATAATTATAGTGATGGAAACATCTTGATTTCAAATTAGATAGATAGTTAATAATAAATACCCTACATTTGATGGTTGAAAGAGTCCCACCTTGTACTTTGAAATTAGTCCGCCCCGGCTCTCTCTCTGGCCAAGTAACTGCTCAGCCCTTGTAATGTATGATTCAAGCTCCTTCAGTGATTCCTCCACTTTCAGTCTGACATCCAGGTCCGGTGAAACCTCACCTGAGTTCTTCAACATTGCAACTAAGTTTACCATGTTGATCTGTGAAGACAGAAAATTCTCAGCTTCTTGAGTAGCAACTAATATTTTCCCACTAGACAGAA